CATGCATGGAACATCTTTTTCTCCACACTTATCTGCGTCCGCGCATCAGTCTAATGACTCGTACCCAGACTTCGAAATTAAATCGTAAGATAACCGGCTTACTTTTTTCCTGTGCAGATCTTTCTACGTGGGTGTCTTAATAACGCACGGGAGGGTCTGAAATCGAACGGAACAACCTGCTGGGGGCTGGCAGGCGGACCGAGCTAGCAGCGGTCCGCTCCTGCATGTACTACTGCTGCTGAGTTAATCGAGTGTTGAGGGGGACGCGAAATGCGAGTCGAGTTGTCACCAAGCTGATGTCTGAGAGCAATTCGTGGGTAATATCGCTGGGGAAAAAAATCTTATTAGTGGATAAAAGTTTACCTTTGCATTTGTTCTGCATGTCACTTTGTATCATCAACTGCTCACTGGTTTCGGACTTTTGTTTATAAAATTCACTTGGATCGTCAAAGAGTTATACTTAAGTCTGAAAAGTTAATATGCCTCGTGATTCTTTTTTTCATTCTCCGACTATAAAGTGAACGTAGACATGCGGTTTGCATATCCAAAAAGTTATAAAAAAAATTGAGAGGTGCCCAAATGAAAGTTGACGAACAAATCTCCTAAATCTTGTTAAATACCAACTTTGAAAGTTTAAAGCAAACAGGAAAATAGCACTGCTTTAAAAACGGGAGACGGCTTTACTTTTGGGCGATAGAGGGCGCTATTATGCTTGACGGCAGTACCTCTTTAAACAAAACCTGTTGAAATGAGGCGTGCCTGCGCAATCTTTTTTCTTTCTTTCTTTCCTTTTTCGCTTGGCGCTGTTAGCCGCATCGATGTGCCCTTTTAACAGGCCCGATCAAGTTCTTCGACCATCGGCCGGGGACCCCTCAATATACCCCCAAGGCACGGCACAACCAACCGTCGATTCTAATTAAGGCAACTCTAAAGATTCCTCACAGTCACGTTTCAATAATTTCCCCTGATTGCATCCTTCTTAGCCCCGCTGGCTTTTTTCTTATGATTACGGAAGAGCCGCCTGAGAAAATGTCAAGGAAGATGAGGGGAAAATCGCTCCCACTGATTATTTCTTCTTCACGCATATTTGGTGGGAGGAAACTGCGCCGTTCCGTTCCCGTCCCCAATTTCGTTTGTTTATCTGTGGGATTGAGCTATCGCCTGCGATGGTTTGTGAACCACAAAATTAATTTCTTGATGGCACTAATGGAAAAGTTTCTGCCTGTCTTTCACGTCCCCGGTTAGCTTTTTCATGTGCAAAATTAATCGCGAGGATTTTTTTTTGTCTTAAAAGGGTAGATGAGCGCGTCCTAGACCTAATGGTTTGGGAAGCTTCAACCCTTCGTAATAAACGTTTTTCTCCTTCACTTTTTTATTTTTTTAAACTGATGTTAAGTAAAATTAAAAAAAAAATGGAAATGTCGAATGAAGCGCCATCGATACTAAAAGGTTTGTAATTAGTGAATTTGTCATGGATGGGCTTCGGTTGTCAACTTTGATCGGTCCCCTCCTCGTTTGGCAGTCCAAAGAACAACAATTTATGCCCTTCTTGGCTGTCTGTAGGCCTTGGTGTAGAAGGGACAATTAAGGTGGGAGTGAAATGGTTGAACAATTATTTTCTGAGCAGCTGAGCCACACACAATGAACTTCTCATTATGCTTCTCATTACTGTCCTGAGATCTGCCAGCTAATCCCCGCGAAATTGCCTCCCGCTAGTTCTTGTTCTTTTTTGAGACCGAGACTATTCATTAACATTAATACAAAACAGCTGTATGATAAACTCTTGAGCAGTTTGTTGTTTTTGGAAAGAACTGTAATGAAACAAAATACATTACCATTACTTAACAACAAAAAAATTGCATTATTTAGGAGAAAGAAAAAAATGTAACGATGTCCAGTAAATTTACAAGAACTAGAAAAAATGCTCTAAATTACAAACTTCAGCAGATGCGTCAAGTCAGCGACTGCATATTTGGTTAGGCTTGATTTTTTTGGGAGTGGGCAGCTTCTTGCGATGAAGATTAGCTCTGCGCACAAGAATTCCCGTACAAAAAGTAGTATTAACATTAGACTGCCTATATATAAAGCTTTTGTACCTAAATATTTACATTTAATAGGGGCACATGCTGCACTGCAGGCAAAAACATTGTGTCAATCGAAGTTTCAGACCATAATGGGCAACATATAGTAGATGCACATTGCACTATTTTCCCAAAATATTCCCGATGTAATTTGACACTTTCCGTTTTGTCCTCTATACCCCATTTCAATTTCACAGTAAATTTATCTATCTACATAAAACTCTTATTTTTTTGAGAAAGATTTTCTTTCATGGTAACTGGAAATATACCCACAAAAATATGGGAATGCCTCGTTCAGGAAAGAATGTTGCATCCCGACGCCACTTTTTTTCATCATAGATTATCTTAATGAAGGTCTTTCATTGCAAAAATGTTGAATCTGGGACTGAGAAACGGTCCCAATTTTGTCAGAAAATACTTTGAAAATGCTATCGACTCTCCATAGACTTTGTACACAACCAAAGATGTGGCGTCCAGATACTACATTCTTTCCCTCGTTCATTCTGCACTTCTCCATTTTGAAACAATTCGTAACGATTAACATTTTCTGTCCCAGTTTCCCCCTTTTTGGTGCAAGGCGAGGTCTCCAAATAGACACAAACATTCACGAGAAAGGACAACCACTAAGAACGGTAAATGTTTTACCTGTTAAGCGCGAATTCCAGGCACAAAAGCCGTACAAAATGTTCGCCAGTATACAACCACTCCCTCCTTTCGCGAGTTGTGAATCAAAAGGCGCCTTTTTACCACTAAGTCCACAGTGCACGTGTGCTTACAGCAGTGTGTATCGGGCACTAGACCTACAAAAACTATCGCGTAGAGGAAAATAGATACATTCCATTTCTGGGACAGGTTAACGTGCTCGAATTAACTTTCTAGGATATAATTTGTCCCAACATTTAAACTTGTATACCACAAGCTGACATTATAATATTGTAATATCTACTGAATATACTAAGCGTATGTGTTCTTTTAGAGGATTCTTTAATTCGTTCTATATTATTACACATCAAAAGCACGTGCGGAAACCCCCACATTTGACAATGGTTAAGCCCAAAAGTTTTCGTCTGCTGGGCATTTGCATAAGAATAGATCACGCAGGTGTCCGACTATAAAACGCAGACGAATGTGACGCAAGTCTGGAGGATTGTACATACAGTGAACTGCAGAGAGGCAGGAATCAGACTATACATTATTCAAAAGAAGTTTTCTTGAGAACTGCGGTACTACTGCAGTAACTCGCACAATAACTTAACTTCGACAAACGCACGAAATGCGCCTGGCAACGTGAAACTTCACAAAAAGAAGGTTAACTTTGTTCTTAATATGTACATTTGACATTTCAGACCTTTTGCTGAATGCAAATAAAAGAAATCAAGCACAACACTCTTTCAGTGTGTTAATTCGGCAAAGAAAAAAAATGTTCCCCTGATGAGTGTACCCCAAGTTTGCAAAAGAAAATTAAACTGAAAATGTTCACTTCTCGACAGTTCACGTAAAAAGTTTCTGCCAATATGTTTTCGTAACTCACATGTCGAACAACCACTCAAACACGATCTTGCAGTTTTTTGCCGATCGCAAAACACGTTATTGCCACGATTTCAAAAGAAAATCTAACAGTCATGTGCACCACACGTCAAGAAAAGAAAAGAATAAAGAAACACATCACAATGTGTCGCCAACAGAATCATTTTCTTCAATTTCCCTCGATATTACAAAACTGCCTTCTTTTTTTTGGTCAACAAAACTGACAGGCGTGCCAGCTCGATAGTTAAAAAAAAAAGCCGACGGGGTGATGTTACGAAGACGACCCGTTTGTTGTGTCATCTATTTTGAAACGTGATCTGCCATTTGCAGCTTGGATTTCTGGGCCCGAAGCAATCGAGTGTTTCTAAAGGGTTGGATACGGTCGGCGCCCACACATCGATTACTTTAATTTCCCTCAAGTTTGGAGAGATATTTGGCAGAATTCCAGTCTCTTTTTTCTTTTCTCCAATCAAGTTTCGTGAATAGAATTCGCAGTTGCATGTGTTATTTCTTAATTTATGTGGCAAATGTCGATTTAACATTTATATTTATTTTTTTAATTTTTATTTGTTGTTTTTGTTTTAACATAAACTTGGTTTCCACTTAAACCACAACTAATCTACATCAATTAAGGCAACAAAAACTGTACAAGTGCATGAAAATCATTTAAGACATTACACCACTATGAAAAAGAACTTTTGGTCGAACTATCTACTCCAAGTTACATAGTGCAAGTTGCAAAACTCAAGGCGTTGCAGTTATCTACATATAGGAAAGACTTCGAAGACATGTACATGAAAGAACACTCCCTTCCATTGGAAAATATTTTTTAAACTAAATTTCAAAACAGAACCACCACCTAAACATTAACAATACAATGTATAACTCAAGAGTCAAAAACTACAAAGAGTTCTAAAAGTTAAAGAGTACATTTCATCTTTTTTTCTTTTTTCTTTTTTGTTTCTTTGGGGTTTTTTGCTTTTTTTTTTGTAATTTTTTTTTGATATTTTTTTAGCTGAATAGCATCTGAACTCAATTCAGGGATGTTGCAATAAAATAAAATGGTTGAAAGGGGGGGGGGGGGGGGGGGGGGGGGGGTAGTAAGAGGTAAGGGTAACCAAAACCAAGGAGACGTAAAAATTAAATTATGAACAGAAAACAAAATTGACTTTTTTTGCAAGGTTCCATGAAGTAAAAGTACAGTCGGCTCTCGTTATAACAAACTTGTTTGGACCTAGCCAAATTGTTTGTTATATCAGAATTTTGTATTAAGAGGAACATCAGTCCCATTCATTGGGCATATAAATGCACAGTCGGGACCAAGGCTTTATGTTTGTTATAACCAGAATTTTGTATTAACAGAGTTTGTACTAACGAGAGTCGACTGTACATGTATGGATAAGCCCAAAAATTGTAAACATTGTGTTGCCTGGTATTTCATTTGAATAAAGGTCAAATGCAAATGATGTCCAATTTGCATACACTATATGCGTGACCTAGAGGTTATCTGCTTGTATCCAGTGTGTTGTCACATGGGTGATGTTGCTCCCATGCATAGTGCCGTCTTGGGATCGATCTTAGACGTGCTGGTGTTCGGTGAGTTCAGTGGAGCTGTCGTCATCCTCGTTCTTCAATAATCCTGCAAAATAGATTTTGGTGAGAGAATTGTTGAAAATTGACAAAATACCTGAGAAACTGAGGGATTTCTCTTGAGAAGTTGAACAGAAACTCCTCAGAAGTACTTTATGCAAACCGAAATATAGTACTTCTACTGGCGAGTATCAAGGGCTCCCTCTTGTGGGCAGATCCTGCCAGGCTGGATTTTTTTTTTATATAACCACACTTTTCAAAAAGAGTTACCTTTTTCAAGAGAAACTATTTTAAATATCCAAGTATAAATATCGATAAGAGTAGTCAGGTTTTAGCTTGTAGTGAGATAGAAAGATCCCCCTCCACCAAAAAAACCAATAAATAAATAAAAAAAAAAAATAAAAACTAAATAAAATTATGGGAACTATTGACCTGAAAATCTGGGTTCTATCTTGATTTTATTATTTTTTTTAATGCTGGTTTTTTTCCACTGTTGATTTAACAATTAGGTAAACTTCAGTTGACCAGCAGTGTTCATTTCCTTCATATTGTGATATCTGTTGGTATGGGACAATTCATGTAAGACTAAAAAAAGAGGAAACATACGCATATATATAAGTGAATTCGTTTAATTCTTTTGCATTCCTTTAACCCAGTATAAAACATTTCCAATCACTTGGCAAGCAGAGTTGTAACATTATTATTCCCGATCAAAAAATTGAATTACAATTCCACTTTCCAATGGTAGTACGAGCAACTCAAATGAGGCAATTGTTACAACTCAAATATTGGCTGCCACACAACACTTGTAAACATTCCACCAATAACTGAATTGAAATTTACAAATCTATAAATTGATCAATTAAATTAAGGTTTGCGACAAAAAGAATCATCTGAGTATAGTAGTCGAATATATGGTTACATAGTATGGTTTATACAACGCCTGAATAAATCCCCATCATCTAATTGGTGGGTCGATGATCACATGTCACTGAATTATTCATCCAACTCCCCCCCCCCCCCCCCAAAGCCCGGCCGCACCGCAAAAATAGAAGTTCTAACTGTAAATAGAAATTACGTGGTTCTGACCAATCAGATGACAAGGATTTTATTCAGTTGTATGAAACAAATAATGGAAAGAATAACTTCATCATTTTCATGAGGTTCCATTCCACAAGGCGAAAACATCCACCTATCACCTCATGAAATTATTCTTACCATTACACTCATTTAACATTAACTTTTTTTTTTTATAATAACGACTTGTGCACAAACGTAATTATTTTCGCGAATATATTCACCTTGCAATACTCAGTAATATTTACAGAAATTTGTTCATGCTCAACCCGTACCCAAAAAATTGTTTTGGTGGCTTATGATGAACAATCCTTGAATGTTCTTATTATGATCACTTCAAAACCACAAAACTATTCTAATGAAATGGTTACCAGTGTTGTAGTCGAGTACTTTATCAGAGTATTAAGTTCTGCCGAGTACCAAGTTATCGAGTACCACTCAAACTCGGGAACGAGTACAGGTATCTCAGTCCGCGAGTACTTGGATGTCCGAGTATAGGTACATGTATGAGTACTTGCAGTTGCAGCCCTACAAGCAGGGCAACGGAGCATGTGCATCTCCAAGTGAGATTCTTTTGTTTCATTCAAAACTAAACTACTCAAGTTTTCCTCGAGTCCTTATAATCGAGTATGAGTACTCTGATGATTGAATATGAGTACTCTGATGATTGAGTACAAGTACGCTGATAATCAAGTACGATATCACATAGTCGAGTCCAAGTACTTCGCTTCTTGAGTACGAGTACTGTGAAATCGAGTCCGAGTATTTTGATACTCGAGTACTTAGACCTTTGAGTATATGTTTTGTAAAGTCGAGTCCGAGTACTTGGACTTCAAGGGTCCACGTACTCCGAGTATTTTGATACTCGAGTACGAGTGCGAAAACGAGTACTCTAAAAAAAGTACTTGAGTATGAGTATTGAGTACGAGTACTACAACACTGATGGGCACAACGAAATCTTTCCATTGGAGCATTTACTTTTTAAACAGTACAAATTGCGTTAAGTGCATAGACGTGTTAATATATAATATAGTATTAATACGTAACATACACTGTGAAAATTACTTTGCAGTTGGTATATATGTACCGGAACTTAAACTGCCGTTATGGATTTCTTTAAAATATTCTCATCCACGTTATTCTACAATTTAACTAATAATTTTAATTACTTCTTCAAATCTTAAAATCCAATTCACACTTGTTGTTTTTTTTGTCAAAATATTATTAAAACAAAATAAATTTAAAATCTGTATTCATTGCAGGTTAAACCCGGTTCATAAAAAAGCAAGGAGTATTTTCTAACAAGGCTTTTAATGTAACAGCAACTTTTGGCATTCATTCTGCTATCATGCAGAACACGGTTTGAAATTCGTAGGAGACTTCTTTTTTTTATTTCTATTAGTATTTTGGAAAGTGTTTTATCATGTTATTGTGAAATAATGGAAATTAATTTTAGAAAAATTATATTTATATTTCTTGTCTTTAGTATTCATTAGATTTATATTTGTTGTCTTATTCATTAATTCATTAAGTGCAAAGATAAATTTAAAAGGTTCTATTAAAATGAATACATAATCATTCTGAGTATATAAAGTATAATACAGAACAAAATATCATACGAGTTGTGGTGGTGAACAAGGTAATTTAATCTTAACTAAAAATGTCATCAAGTCTAGTTACCCGCCCCAAAACATCTATTTTATACATCCTAACATCAGAAGATCCAGACTATTCTTCACCTCCAAGCATTGTGGTGAACGCTCCAAGTTATATGTTTACACAAAAAACTGGTTATTTACCGGTTATGTTACCGGAAAGGTACATATAAATGTTAAAATAAGAATGTCATTTAATTAGCAGATATTTCATTTGTTTATATCTAGTACAAAAACGACCCCAATGAAATGAGTACGACCCTTTAAAAAAATCAAAATGTACACAATGTTCCCGCCATATTGTTTTATCACTGAATGAGCTTATAATTACCCTACGAAACTTATTTCTGCAATTCCAGAGAATTATTGCAAATATTCACACAGATTCCGAGCCGTTTCTTGCAACTTGTCAAAATTCACCCACACACTTCAAAAAGCTCACACATTAGAAGTCTCGCACGAGAGAACACTATCCACAAAGAAGAAAATAATCTGATCCTCTACAGTCCTGAATAATGTAGACGTTAATGCCTGTGCATTACAGAATGTTACAAAAGAGATGCAGTGGGTTTTTTTTTGACATAATAGGTTAATAACACCGCAATGACTGGCGGGAAAAGAGGAAATTAATCCCATTGACATTTTTAGAATGGCACTTCACGGGGGCTGTTTGGCAATGTTTCTAGTCGTTCTAACGAAAAGTTCATGGCAAATCTGATCTTTTGAGGGAGAAACTTTATCCCGTTAATTGCTATTGAACTGTCCGTCACACCTGACAATGTTATATTTGTCACAGCTCTTCAAGTCGATTTGTTTTTATAAAGCCCAGTCTTCCTGGAATTTCTGGCCTCTTTCCAAATTTTGAGACTAATTTTTCACGGAGTGCCAATTTTTTTGGCAATTCAATTAAGAGACAAAGAAAACAAAAAATGACACTCATTTTTGCTAATGAAAAAAAATCTATGTACCTTGGAATTAAAGGGAATAGCTTGAACTGTTGGAGGGATTGCGTGTTTGTTTGTTTGCTTGTTTGTTTGTTTTTCTGTCCGTTTTGGAGACAGATGAGAAATAGAAACAATGACTCCCGAAACGGAGAGATTTGGAGGATGCTCATTTGCTTATCAAAAGATTGCATGGACATGTAGCTTGTCATTCCTTGAAGTGTGTGGCTGTTCGTCTAGTAATACTACTTTTTTTTTCATTTTCTTAACCCTAACTCCCGAGGCTGTTTTGCTTAGATGCAACCTCAATCCTTCAAAATCCTCCAGATGCCTCCATGCAAAACTTGCATACAGCGTCAATCCTCCAAAACTCTCCGTTATTTCATGAATGTGGTCCTTGGAGGGGTGACCACTGCCTCAATCCTGCAAAAATCCTCCAGCAATCACTGTCAATATGTTGAGGCAGAGCCAGTGACATCCCGGAGCAGTGCAGAGGATTTAAAGTATAATCTAGGCCTAAATGTATACACGTCTAAGACCTTGACACAGTGCATCCTCGTAAATCAGGCACACAATATTGCCATGTAGCCTCAATCCTGCAAATTCCTCCATTTTGCAAAGAGGATTTTGGAGGATTTGGGAAGGTTAGGGTTAAACGTTTCATCCCTGTCGTAAAAGCCATACAGTAATCACAGCACATTTTCTTAAGGGGAACATTGAAATTTTTTTTAGGGCAGACTAGAGAAAGGGATAAGAGTGTAAACATATTGGACACTGTTCTCTCGTGTTTGGGTATTTTTTCGGTGGGGCATTCCTACCCCACCCCAGCACCCTAGCCGATCCCCGGTGGTGCCTCTACGCAGTCTCCTCAAACTTGCGGTACGAGCCTTCGTCGTCTGGCATGAGACCTGCGGGGAAGACAGGCACACACAGAAATGCTCAGCCAAAAACGGAAGAAAAAGCCATGAAAGGGGAAAAGAAAGGCTGACGTTCATCACTACAAGCACAAACTATGGCTTGACACAGCTGACAGAGGGCGCCCTAACCATTTATGCTTACTACATGAAGATGAAAACTCCTAGAAAGAAAAAATTGCTTCACATTGATGACAACAGAGGGCGCCCTCACCAAACTGTACAACACAACACAGAATCAGGAGAGTTGGTGCTCACTACATTATTAACCAGTTCGCGCCGGGATTATTTTGACAATGACCGGACCCAGGCGCGGGATTGTTCTCACGAACCTCGGGTTCAGGCCGTGATCTGTGGGTAGCACACCCTGATATTTCTGGCCTTGCTTGCTGCGAGTGGGTCAAACAGATATTTCTGGCCTCGCACGTTGCGTGTTTATCCGTCATCCGTTCTGAATGCGGCAAAACCTTCGCGTGTATACACGTCATCCGACATGAATTGGTTAACTTGAACTACAATCCACCACTTAAAAAAACCACTGCTTCACACATATGACAACAGAGGGCGCCAACACCAAAAAGTCTCATTCATATAACAGACACACTGCATGTATGTCTTCAAGAGATCCTAAACGACTTCTCACGAAATGTCAATGACTGCAATGATGATTCTAAATGTACACTGCGATGCTATGAGCGGCAATGAATCCTAATGAATGTGTGAATCGGTGGAGGATGTGATTACATAGTAAAGAGCAAGGGAATGATGGGTTTCCATGGCAACAGCGGAAATGAAGCATTGCAAAGCATTTTGCAATTTTTACAGAAGCAAATCAGCACATAATCAGCAATGAAGACAAAATGTATTCATTTTTTTTTTTAAGAAATGTGATTTCCCACTGGGCCGAAAATAATTTCCCAGAAATTTCCCAGATGTCCTTTTGTCAATGACACTTGTGTAAAAACACCACGCCAATTCACGACTACTTTTTAGTTTTTCATCAGTCATATGACAAGCGTTTCAGCAATTTTTTTAGGTCTTCCCCAGGAAATTCACGCCAAGATGAACTGCCTTTTGTGTGGCGTGTTGCAATTACAGCAAGTCACAGACACGAGATGTCTAAAATGTGTACTTGTATTAAAGGGAATGTACATCATTGGCTTTTGCTGTAATTTTCAGAAATGAAGTATTTGGGGGGTTAGTATAATAGATCAAAAATTGTTACACTGACATGTTTGAAATTTGGTGTTCGAAAATGCTGGAAAAACCAAGAAAAACAAAAATATTCAAGTAGTCTGGTTCCCTGACTCCACTAAAGATGAAATGGATCAAAAATACCAGAAAATTGTAAGGTAAGGGAACCAGTCTAGCTGGCCCGCACCCGTTCATGAACATGGAACCAATAGCTAGAAAAACAAAATTTAGACTAAAAAAAATGGTAAATTTGGAGCAGTAATTGAAAAAAAGTTAGGTTTTTCCAACGGTGGTCGGCCGACCAGCGTTGGAAATGTATACAAATAAACCATTTTCTTGAAAATGGCTTCACACCAGGTGCCATAATTTTACAGGATGCTTAAGCATGTCATTTACCAGCATCCTAGTAAGGTATTTCGTAACACCTTGGTAGTTTTATTTTTCGATATTTGCAAATGTTGTATTTTCCCTTTAACACTCTGGCCTATAAATAGTAGTACGGCTGAATAGCTAGGCATGTACGTAGCTTCACATTTTAAGGCCATTATCGAATACACACACATATTGGATGATTGGTACAAGGCAGTAACAAAACCCTGGCCTTCTCAAGTCCAAAGTTCAAGTATTTACAATGTAAGTACATATGAAGCACCTGACTAATAGCCACGATGTGTATTACATGCTAGTATCAAAAATCTATCAAGTGGTAGAGTCCAACCTACTGTATACATAAGACTCATCATCGATGTCCTTACCAAGTTTCACAAAGTCCGTGTCATTGTTATTCCTGTACTATGGCGGATTTTGAAGATTTCAGTTAGGTTCCCAACAAAAACACTTTGCATATGTAGGATTTACAGGTAGAATTAAAGTTGAATAAAAAAAGAAAGAGCCATTTTGTAACAGATATTGACCATTTGGTGTACACCCCAAGACACTACTGTGCGGCACAAGGTCAAATATCCAATTTTGATCAAGGTACAATTTATCTCCTTTGTTCTTCAAACACTTCACTTCTTATATCAGTTATTGACAAAAACCTTATGCACTCTTCATGTCAACAGATACGTGCAATAAGCTTGAGCGAGGCGAACACATTGTCAAGTGGCATTTTTTTTGCTTGTCAGATTCTTGTAACATTTGAAGGGACTCATGATAACAAATAAAAATGTGATTGAGTCATCAGTCCAGGCATGATATTTTACTCTCACGGGAAAAAGTAAAAAGTGTCCAGCAGACAACCAAAAGTGCACTGTCTAAAGTATTAAATGTCTAAAATGGAGGAAACAAAATAATACAAAGAGGAAAAAAAATGGAAATCCTACTGATATAGGAAACTATCATGCCTGTGTCAATCTTCAACTAAAACATATTCTCTGATACTTGTAGTTAAATGAGTGTGAAAAGGTTGGTTTTTTTTTAAATCTGAACTGAAACAAAAACCTAGAATTTAAATTCAGAAAGTCATAAAAAAATTGTTCTGATCAAACTTGTACTCAACCAAAACAGTTGTCTCTTCATTTCACTTTCAATGTGATATCTCTTCTTATTGACAAAAACACTTCAAGACTGTTTTTTCTGAGTGGTCTTTTTGCAAGAAAGAGAAAAGTTAGCAAAAACTAAATTCAGCAATTTTTTTGGGGGGGAATCACTGATTAGTGAGTCAGTCAATATTGCGTACAGTAGGCGGGATTCAAACAGGAAATTCAGGATGAAGATTCGCAAAATTTGATCACTTTGGTTTGTAAGGAATTAACTGTGACAGGCAGTAAGCCTTTTTTACTACAACGATGCACAAGGATATTTCCAGAGCCCTAACAATTGGACACAACTGACTATCACACAACTAACAATTCTTCAATTTTGACCCCAAAAAATATATACTCGAGTAAAAAATGACAAAATACAGAAAAGTGCACGGTAAAATTCATAAATTTGCCATTAAAAAAAAAAACAACGAACAAACAAAGCTGTGCAGCGATTTTGCTGTGATTTCTCAGATTTTTTTTACAAGGCGTGGAAAATCTTTAATGACGCACAGTGGAAAATGAGCGTGTAACTGGCATTTCTCCAACAGCATTGACTTTAAGCCAAAAGTAATCTCCAGCGAAAGAGGAAACATTGATCAACAACAATGGGAGCATGCACACTGACATGACACAAACGGCCAGCTGGACATATTTATACAATGGTCCTTCACATGTGTACAATTATAACACAGACGCACAGCTACATGAGCATGTACAGTGCCTTTACAAAGAAAATCTAAATTGTGGACAAAGATTATTATTTTTTTTATAAAATACCCAGCTATCATAAAACATACATTCTAAGGTTTATGCTAATACTCAAACGCGAGTCACATAATTTTTTTATAATGAATGTTTTACACAGAGCACGACAGTAATGAATACATGGTATCAACTTTAATAACATGTAATATACAGCAAATTTTGTTTTACAACTAATTACAATTGTAGTAAGGTTAAACTTCCCGGGGAACAAATGCCGAGTATGAGTTGGTTACAATTTACATGTGTTGTGTGGCAGCCATGGATTTATTAGAATGTGTTAGCAAAATGTCCGTGAATCGACAATAAAAAAAAAATTTTTTTAAGAAGACTCAAGTTGATAGCGGAAAAGCATGAAATTACATATCGTAAGATGAAGCCCTGTTTTATTGCAAGTTGTCAACGTTTTTGACATGTTCGTACTTTCACTTGGCTTCGGTCAATGCACCCAGTCCCTCATTCAAGATGTGCAGAGGAGAAGTGAAGAAAAAAAACCCACCAAAGTCTGAAGGAAGTGCTTGTAAAAATATAAAATGTATCCACTCACCATATTTCCGTCTGATTTCATCATTTTTGGCCTTCCTGTCCGCTTTCCTGTTAGGAAAACAAAAGAAAACGTTTACTTGCTTACTATTCTTTTAGATTAAGGGTGGTAGGGGTTCAAATTGAAAAAAGAAAATGATGAAAAAATTAGGGGACAGATCTCTTCATTTTTGAGGATATTTGACATCATATTGTCAGGTTAATCATCAAGTTTCATTCACCCAATGGAAAGCACACGAATGTGACAAATCACACAAGGGGAAAAGCAACAAAAAAACAAAAGCAACAGTACATTTTAGTGACAACACAAGAGATTTTTTAAAGACGCCATACAATATAGAAATAGAAAGTCCTCACAATGTCAGATCGCTTTTAAATAGTTACAACTTGGTGAGAAAGAAACTCTGTACTTAACATGCGTATCACATGTTTTGGCTTGTAACCCATTTTATTTCATGCAAAAATGTCTTTGCTCAATGAAAAAAACCTAAACGTTCCCACGAGACTACAAAAACACTCTAACTCCAAAATGTCCATATTACTGGGGGAGACCGGTTGGCGTAGCGGTTCTTTCCTCGCCTTCCACCGCTGCGACCCGGGTTCGATTCCTGCCCTGGTCAACATGTGGATTGGGATTTTCAGCTCTGCTCTGATTCCATGGGTTTTCCCCAGAATATTCTTCCACCTCTTAAACTGTAATTTCTTCTCATTGTCTTTTCTCTACAGGTTTCTTCAGGCTTGCGAGCTACTGAACCTCAGCCACTTTTAAGGAATCTCTGGGTTCATTACCAGAAATAACTAATATTTAATAATAATAATAACAATTTTTTCTCAGAGAATTTACTTTATACGAAAGGTATTAAAAAAAAATCATAGCCCTTCAAAGTTTTTGATCTGTGATTCTACTTGATGAGCTTTCAGAAAGGACATGGATTTTTGTTCACATTTGTGTTTTTAAGTGGCACAACAGTCTTACTATGGAGGATTAAAGGAACTGGTGCAAAAATTAACACAAACCCTAGTGATTGTGTTAACTGTGAGTATGCTGCCACCGTTTTTCAAATTTAGAGCAGGAAAATCACACACTGCAAGTAAGGCTGTCCCAAGTATACCGAATACTGGATGATCAACTGAACATTCAAAAAGCTTTCTGCCAAAATTTTCGGGGTTTAAAATTTTCGGGGTTTTGTTTTACCTCTCTCAAATATTCAATCTGCAAAAACCTTTTCGAATATTCGGTCGATAAATCGAATATTCAAATATTCAGAACATTCGGGACAGCCGTATAACAGTTGCAGCAACATTGAAGATGCGAGAAAGTGTGTCATGGTGAATGAATTTAGATGTTAAGCCGTGACAATGCGTCCGATCATCAACAAATCATTCAAAGGCCAATTCAATTCGTAACATTTGCCACCTTCCGAATTGACTTGACAAAAAGACTCTTTTTTAAGTAAAGGTAAAGATGTCGATGGTATAGAAGTCATTGGTGCAGAGTCATTTCTGACTACATGGTGCAAGCAAGCCTTAAGGTATGAATGCTGATAAACTATCTTCATGATACAACTTGTCTGAAGCTCATGACATTCATAACAGTATCAGAACAAACTCGTATTTTTAAAATTGCCTCTCCTGATTGAAACATCCAGGGATGAGATTGCCAATTTAAAAAAAAAGCCTGAAAATTTGATGCACGGTCTGAAAGATGCATTTCTTTCTATACTGATAATGTCTTTCTCTCAGATTCAAAAGTCTGAATTCAGACAAAAATTTGAAAAATCTGATGCCTGAACATCCTTTTATTTCCATATTTTTTTTTGGGGGGGGGGGGGGAATTTCAACATTTTCATCAGTTTGTTTCATCAATGTCAACATTTTCTTCGATCTGTTTTGCAAATGTTACAATTGGCCTTCAAATGTCTACAAGCTGCAGCCATTGCTTAGGCCAGATTTCGGTTGAGTGACTGCACACTTTCTAAATCTACAGCGGCCGCTGGTGAGGTCTTACTTCTGGCCACGTTTGACTTGACGTTCGGCTTTCTTCTTGGCGTAATTCCTTTCCTCTTTGTCTAGTCTGAAAAGGATAAAGAGATCTTTCGTTGTGAAATGTGATTTTTCGGGTGAAGGGGGAACACTTGCTTACTTCTGTTCGTGGTGCATCTTTCGCTCGGCCTTCTTCCGTTCGAACTTTGCGTCCTCCGAAGCGTACCTGGAAGGAACCAAAGGGACGTCAACGCGAGAAAAGGGCACCGATGCGCAAAAACGGCGGAGTCCTCTTATTTTGTCAAGTTTTAATCTTCTGAAGTATACATCCAGCGTCTTCAGCAATGAGTCAATATCAGCCGTTTTCAGTCAAGTTGAAGCAAGTTGCACTATAGCCCTATCAGCTGAGTAGTATTTCCAGTTTTGTCATCAGTTCACTATTGCCTACCTCACTGGTCAATATTATACAACTATTGAATGGCTCAAAGTGGAATGGGAGGAATATTATCACAAGGTAAAATCTGGACTTTTCCATTTCACAAGGCGAAGCCGAGTGAAATGGGAAAGTCCAGATTCTACCCAGCCATAATATTCCTCCCATCTCACAATTTAAAGCCACTCAATATTTGTTTTATATAACTGACATATAGATCCTTGTCATTTGATTTATTTCTAAATAAAATTCTAAACGATTTCAAATCATTTACTACACCATGAGATAAAGCATTCAGTAGTTATTTTATAACACCTCACCAGCAAATTCGGCTTGGTTTTACTATTTTTTTAAATTATTTAAATCTAAATACAGTTATAATGAGCTTCTATTTCAATACAAAATTGGTGGAAAATGTATTTCTCTCTTCCAAACCACCCCTTCACGAAATGTTTGACCCCAACTCTGTAGCGCTGGCTCTTGGGAACAATACGCGCTACGCGCAATGCGCACACCAGCATACATTTGCATACAAATATCGCGCCATAGAACAGAGATGATCCTAACTGTTGAATATGCAAATCCCATCCACCATGGGCCAATGGGACTTTCTGAGCCCCGGCGTAAATGGGAGCAATAATGAATGGCACGGTAACTTGAGTTCCACCAATCAAATGGCAAGGATCTGTACACGTATGTCAGTTATATAATCGCATATATATGCCCCACCCCCACTTTACTACTGCCTCCATCAACAGTCACTTACAATATTTATCAGCCTGCCGAACTCGCATAGGTAGTCAATAGGTGTCACATCTAAAGTCAATGTTATACCAAAAGATATTTACCTCCATATGCGGTCAATATTACTTCTATGGCCCTACTTACTTGGCTCTGTTGGATCTAGAACGGCAGCAGCAACAGTAGATGCATAGGGCAAAGCCAATAAGCAGAATGCCTGCAATGACTCCCATTGAGATGATCAGAGCCTCAAAGTTCACTGGAAAAACAAAGAGAAATATTCACATTTAAAGTGAGCACAGGCCAAAGGATGTGACTTTGCGATTAGTTTTGTAAACGTTTAGTAAATGTTTTAAGAACTGTTAAAAAGTTTAAACATTTAGCCATTCACAACGGCTAACGCATGCTCTTTATGTCTGCAGACCGGTGTGATTGACATGCTAACTCAACAATGGTAGTCATTGAAAAAATAAAACCTTTTTACATGTGCCCTTAATATAATCAAGGAAAGTATTGACGTGCTTTGAAGGTTTTGTAAATTAAATAGGTTTGAAAACATTGCTTATTTTTTGTGCTATGTAGGTTTAACTCAAAGGAATACTGCGTGAACGTAGGTCCCTTTTTTTATAATTCGGTTTCGTTTTAACGTTTTTAACCAATTTAGACATTCTTAATTTAATTGTTTTCGTTTAAAAGTTTAAACGTGTAAACGTCACATTCTTACAAAGGCCAAGATCATTATACCTTAAAAAAGCAGATTGGGCATTTTCTCAGGTTTCTTTCCCTAAAAGTGCGTAAAACCCATAATCCATTTTTTGTATGGTTGTGTGTTCAAACCAAATCACAAACAATGGCAACTATGCCCCTATTAAAAGCACGTTAGTTTACCTAAAGCAACGGACCGACGGCAACAAATACACAAGCGATCTGTGTGCATGCCATATAGGATTATGTGTTCAAACCCTACCGCAGACAATAGACAATAATGTCCCTCAGCAGGGGTCTTTACCACAATGACAGACAGGCAAAAGAGAGAATACGGGTACTTACAAAAACACACTCCCCATCTTGCTTCGGATAAGGCACAATACTTGGTAGGAAGGATTTCCTTGGCCGGATACAGGGCGCAAACCTTATTGGTGTTACAGTAATAGCACTGCAGAAAAGAGAGTAAAAGGACGCCTTTTACACTTAGCACTTGTCATGAAAAATACTTCAGAGATTTGATCGTATGCATTAGCACCGTTGATGTCAGAATTTTCAATAACTGACATCTTGGAAATCCAATATCAAGAATATTTGATATTAAAGACCATAACGATGACACTTTGATTGAAAAAAACTAACATTAAGTCCCAAGTTTCCATGGCCTTCTCTTGAGCATATTTCTCAAACTGTTTAAATAAATCTCAAGAGTGTTTGCCCAGAACGGGCGGTTTCTTTTGAGGTTTTACATTTGGGGAGACCGCGAATTCCAGCGAACGCAGAGCACAAAGCGTCGCCGCTTGACATTTCGTGATGTTTTTATTTTGAGTCACAAGCACAAGCTGCTGCCGAGTTTTATTTCATTATACAGCAAATGTTAAACACAAAGTAAAAGCACAAACGGGAGATTTATTTTGACGATAATCGGACGCATTTTCGATATTATTCCTCAATACCAAAAATTTTGATATTTTGATGTGATTAAAAAATTGCTATCGGCGATATCGATATCAAAATAATATTGAATAATCGAGTAATATCGATATATCGACGGAGCTTAGACAAAGGTAAAACGGGACTCAGATTAAGGTTCAACCGAAACCAAAAAATCGACCATCCCTTCAAATATTTTGACATTTTCCCGACTACATGCAAAATATCCAACTTTAAGCTCATTTTATGATGACACTGTCAGGTCACATATTTGAATGCCTGTCATTATTTACCCTTAACCATCAAATCCTAAAAAAATCCAACAGGATTGAGAAAGGAAGTTTTACATGAGATGCCAGCAAACTGGTCCATCAAAGATGACAACATAAATTTAGGGGGGGGGGGGGGAAATATCTGATTCAACAGGTTTTACTCACTTTAGCTCCTGGGAAAGCGAGACATTTGTCACAGCTTCCATTGTGTGCGCCACAGGCTGGTGAGAGAAAAGATGGGAAAATTACATTTATTGTTAGGCAGTGGATAGTTGACCGTGAACTGGTCCGCGATTGTTTTTGTTGTGGCACTGGTAAACAATGTAACAAGTTAACATGCAAAGTTATCTTACTACAGTCGATTTCCTAGTTCCAGATTGCAAACATTATTCAGTCTGCTTTTGGTTTAATAGTTTACCTTGAGTGATGGAGATAGCACAAAATAATTCTCCAAATTTAACCTCTTTTTCTGAATATACGTCCTAGTTCCGAAACGGTTTAATCAGTTCCGGAATGGATCAAAAACTGCTTTGCGTGAAAGAAAATAATCACGCGAGAAAATCATTTTTTTTAGCCAGAACCAACTCGAACGAATCAAACATATTTTCTGATAAACCATTAGGAAAGATTCCCATATCTGGCCATCACTTGTCACCCTGTGCACAAACCCTATGGGACTGGTTTGAAAATTTGTAAGTGTTTTCTCAGTAAAAATTCAAAAATTTTCCCTGCTAATTTGGACTTTTTAGGACATATTATCACTTTCTGATGGCTGCTAGGTCATTTAAGGGGAAAATTACTGATGGCCAGATATGGGAATCTTGCCAGGCGTTATTTAATTTAATAAGAGAATTCGGAAAAAATTGTGCAACTTGACGCCGCTTTTTTCTACTCCTAGAACTATGAGGCTCCGCGTGAGCGGAGCCTCATAGATGTAGAAGCCCGCAAAATTGTCTGCAGCACAAAACACTAATAAAGTACAAAAACGTCCATCAAAATGCAGACATTTCACACAGAACCGCTGCACAGTTTGCCCCTATACTCCGTACTTTACCTCTTGACATACTCACGTATCTTGGGCACAACTAACATAGGTGGATTCTGTCGGTTTTTAGGCCAAAATGATGAAAAATATGCCCTTTCCGCACTGAGCCAACCGAACACTTGAAACGTGCACGCATATGATCGAGCGATGATTTTCGGTTCGCTCGGAGCGCGCCGCGGGGGGTACGGTACAGGCGAAATGATAGTATGTGCATGCGTACAAGTGCATGTACCGTACCCCCCGCGGCGCGCTCCGAGCGAACCGAAAATCATCGCTCGATCATATGCGTGCACGTTTCAAGTGTTCGGTTGGCTCAGTGCGGAAAGGGCATATTTTTCATTATTTTGGCCTAAAAACCGACAGAATCCACCTATGTTAGTTGTGCCCAAGATACGTGAGTATGTCAAGAGGTAAAGTACGGAGTATAGGGGCAAACTGTGTGCAGCGGTTCTGTGTGAAATGTCTGCATTTTGATGGACGTTTTTGTACTTTATTAGTGTTTTGTGCTGCAGACAATTTTGCGGGCTTCTACATCTATGAGGCTCCGCTCACGCGGAGCCTCATAGTTCTAGGAGTAGCTTTTTTCATCATACAGGCCTATCATCTCAATGAAGGTCAGTCATTGCAAAAATGATAAGACATGATGAACCTGGGACTGATAAACATTTACAATTTTGTTAAAAAATACTTCAAAAATTTTCTTGACTCTCCATTGACTAATGACTTTGTACACAACCGCTGAAGTGGCGTCAGGTTGCAACATTTTTTCCAAACCTTTAGACCCATCACAGAACACATCACATAAAATCGATTATGCGCATGCAGGCCTAGGCCTAGTTGGGTCATACCGGTCATGTATGCACGCGCGCGATCCCGAACTAGGCAAAAACATCACCGACATAGTCCGAGTAACTTGGACATGTTGGACCCTACTTATTGCCTTTTTTAACATTCGGACACGGACTATCGCCAGGCCATGTCCATTGTTAAAAAAGGTGATAAGTGTAGGGTCCAAGTTCTAGTTACTCTAGCAAAAAGGACGTTCATTCGTTGGCGAATTTTCAGATTATAAAGTGAAAGTCGACCTTATTTTGATTCAACAAACACTTCAGTTTTAAATGTTCATGACTTCCCAAACAATCTTTGGTAACAGCAAAGTGGTCTTCAAGAGCTATTTTCTTCCGTTATTTTCTTCAGGAACAAAATAAAAGTAACACAGTTTTCACTCACTGTCGGCAACAGTCGGTGCGGCAGTTGCAGTTGTTGGTGTTTTCGTCGTTGCGTTCACAGAACTGACGAATCCAAACTCCGAGCAAAAACACACTAAAACAACAAGAACTACCGTGGAAAATAACAAATTCTTCATCTTGAACTCTTCTATGGATATTCAGAACACAGAAAAAAAACTCCTCCGTTTGAAAAATTGTCGATAAATGTGACAAAAGTACCGAAATAAAATCAAATTTCCTTGTTTTGGTAGGTGTCTGCGCACTTCTCGATTTTCAATGGGAGGTCACTCAGAGGTCAACGATGAGTAAGTGGTTCAAAGGTCAAACCAGACAACTAAGCGGAAGAATATTATTTTTATTTGGGAAAAAAATGAAAACACGTAAAGCTCTGTCAAAACCGCTTTCAAAAACGTGTAAAAAAATACATTCACAGCTATACAAAGGGTCTTTATAATTTTCAACACGTTTTTGTTTTCCGCATGAAAAAAAATGGGAACTACTTTTTAATAATACTAGGGGTCGTAAAAAAGTCTGGGACAATGACGTAATGTTTATGGTAATCTTGTACTAGAGAGGGCGCTATTTGCTCTCTACATTTCCAAAAGTTAGGCCGCTCAAAAAAAAAAAACCTCATCCAAAAGAATATTACTATCGTACGAAATGAATCGAATTTGTGACAAACATTTTTGTGAAAATGACAGTTATTTTATTTTCCACTTTGCAGTGAGAATCAAGAGTTTGTGCAAGTAAACTGGAAGAGGTTTATAGCCAAATATAAAAGCACCCACAACAAATTTCACACACGCATTCCAAAAAAAAAAGAACTTTTTCTTTGTAAATTTTCATTCGCCACAAACCCTTGTCCAAAACATTATCATACAATATAATAATATACAAACAATTATTTACAAATTATTATGCAAAATATACAATATTTTTTGAGGCCGCCTACCCCACTTCACTTTAAAATTTCCAATTTCAAGGCATAACTTTATTCCTATTGGCTAAGAACAAATGCATTTGTTATTGCTCACGTCACTTTTAGAAGAAAAAAACAACACAGAAGATAGAAACTTATTGAAGGTAGACTATAAAATTATCCATCTAATTTCTTTTTGACCCTGAAAAATAATAAATTAATAGTTTATCACGTTGAAATTGATTCATGAGAACTTATACAGAAATAAATACTTATTTTTGTTTGATTATTTTGTTTTGTATCTGATGCATAGCTTTAAATCTCCCAAAGTTGTGTCAAACTTCACTTTATAAAAATATAAAATTATCGTTTTAATCACAATTTTAATTCAAATGGAATGTAACCTAGCTAATTACAAGTATATGAACTTGTTCCAAATGACTTACAAAAGTTTATTTCAAAAAAAAAAAATTATCTCTATATCAACGGCAAGGCTAACAAAACACAATGTCTGTTCAACTTATAGGAAAACACACAATAGCCACACACACACATCACCTAAACAAAGGAGTATTGTTGAAGCAATCCATACAAAATATAAAAGACCATTTGAACATTAAAGGCACTCTATCAAAATTCTAATTATGAGAGTGAGGGTGATTTCATAATTACTTTGAGAGATGAACTGAAAACAAACTAAAATTTAAGACAAACGTTGAGAATTGAAAAATGAAGAGTGCAAAAATGGATTCATTAAAAAAGAAACCAAAATATGGCACCCTCCTCACAGTAGAATTGATGGTTTATCCCAATATGTTGCAAACTTAATTTGGTTTTAAATAACTAGACTTTGTTCATCCTCTGCTATTTTATTATGGAAATAAATTAAAAAAATAACCAAGCATTCCGAAAATGACATAGTAATAAATAATTACGATAGCAATATCAGCATCAGTACATAACAATATTAGTGACTGAAAAAATAGCGACATTTTAAGATATTACGTCCCCTGCATCACACACACCAAAATTTTGCATAGAAATTTCAAAGACAAAAAAAGGAAACAATGCTATAAAAGGCACCACGCAGATCATGAAGAAAGTCACACTGAAGAATACAATGAAAGTCACTGGCATCAACTACATGTACAAAATGGAAGACTTTTGTTGAATGTTGATTAATTGAGGTATAAAGTGAGACACAGGATAAGACGAAAAGACTTTGGCAAATGTTGCTCTCAGATCAATCTTTCTGATTATTGTATCCACAATTTTGCAGATCGGTGCAGAAAAATGATTGTTCATATTCGGAATGAGGCACATGCAAAACACATCTTTGAACCTAAGAGCTGGAATGACTAGAAATGATGCAAGCAAAATCAAAGCATGTGATATGGCTTCTGGACAGAAAAGAATGTAGTATCCAGACGCCACTTCAGCGGTTGTGTACAAAGTCTATGGAGAGTCAAGAACATTTCCGAAGTATTTCCTAACAAAACTGGAAATGTTTCTCAGTCCCAGATTCATGTCTTTTTTCAACATTTTTGCAATGACTGACCTTCATTGAGATGATATATGAAGAAAAAAAGTGGCGTCAGGTTGCAACATTCTTTCCGAAAGAAACACTTCAAATTGTAGCTTTTGGTACTAAGGCTGTTCATTCACTGCACACGTATTTCTATTGGCTCGCCTACCTCCAGACACACAAGGCACGGTGACCATCACGGCATTTTGTGAATACCACTGTTGAATAGCTTCCCATGTTGTTTTCACAGAATTTGTCATTGAGTTTCTGATGTTTACCGCATATTCTGTTTTTATCAATAGACTTGATATATTATTAATTTTTTTAATTTAGAGCACCAAGTTATTAAGACACCTGCATAAAAGATCAAGGCACATAAATACAGACAGACACACCAATTAAGTAATTTGTTTCAAAAGCACAGATTCATGACGTGGTGGCATTGTTCTGCTTGTTCTAAGGCACAATATTGTTCAGAGACATTTGCTTATCGAACCGGATGGTTTAAATTTGCCATCAGTTCGACAAGTTGCCGCTTGAGTAGCAACAGGCAGTTCATGTGTCTAATGAGGCAAATTCAAAAGTATAGAGCACCTAGTGGTCATAATGTTCGGAACCCGATAAACGCTTGTCAAGGCCTACATTCTCCTGTGTTAATGGTTGATTCCCTCCCTCTGTGTGTCCCCGCCCCCTTTGTGGGGCGCTCGCTTGTTTGGCGCCCTCCTCCTCCCCTGGACCTCTTTGGATTTCATCAGCATGTGCCGGTAGCTCAGCCGCAGGGAGGGGACGTGGATCAAGTGCCGGTCGTGGAACATTGTCGTGACTTGTAGCGGGGGTAGGCGGGGACCCCATCAGCTAGGGGTGGTGGCGCCGGTCACCACCCGACGCTGGGGCGCGTACAGGCCCCGGGGCGGGTGGGGCTGGGCGGGGGATTTGGTGAGGGAGGCAGCGGAGCCTGTGGAGGACAGGGCGCGGGGTTTCGCCAGGCCTCGGCGACGGATCTTGGGCAGGTTGTTGGTGGAGGAACTGGAAAGAAAGAGAACAATTAGGAAAATTGAAATCATCAAATAGATCTACAAGCAGTGTCAAGTCATTCACAAGTCCACCACTAGTCTGGTAGCAGGTAGGTCACATATTATTACACAAGTCTGGTTACAAGTAACAACTGGACCGAGCCCAGTCTAATGTGGTCTTCTCAGATACCAGCAGCGCTCCAGCACGTAACTGGTTCGTCACTCAAATTCTGATGGGAGGCAGGTGGCTCTGGACAACAACACACATACATCGGGGATAGCCTGACTGTTTATCAAGGACAAGCCACTGCACTCCCGCAGTGTTAGTTACAAAATATGCCAACATATTTATGGTCTTTTACTGATTGAGAAGCAATCTCAGTAGGGTGCTCATGAATGCGAACCCAGGAATCCCGGGTTCCTGAAAGCCACATTAGACTGGGCTCAGCCAAGTAATGCATGCGACTTGTTTCAAATACTGTCACAATCAAACTAACAATGCAAAAGTATGAGTTTTTTTTAATTTAAAAATTCTGAGTTAAAACAAAATTGTAACAGGACTCGTCATCTCCCTCAATGATTTTGATCCCAGGTAGATGTTGAATGATAAACATAAACCGATAACCTTCAAATATCTACTAGCTAATACCAAGCTTCCGAGATACAATCTTGATTGTTTACTCACCTCTTCTTGAGGCCCGTTGTTGGTGAAGGCGCGCTGGTGACTGGGGCGCTGGACGTCCGTGGGTCATGTGACTGGATGATGCTGGAGATCGGTGTCCACTGGGAAAGGAAACCATGACAACCAATTTCTGATAAATTTATAGCAGAATATTTAGGATGTGCACTGCCTGAACAGCAAATTTCAACAAAAAGGTTTAAACCATGAAGACAACTTTCAACCTCAACTGACTAAAAAGGGGGTTTCAACAGCACAACAAAACCGTTTGCAAATTGGGAGAACATTTCTAGGCGCTCTTACATAGAAACTACTGCTCCCCAAATTATCGTGCATGGCACACATCAGCTGAGTACCAGTCAGTGTGCAATGCTCGTCATATGGCATTTTGGTTGGTAACCAGTTTTGCTAGATTTCTCTCTTCTGTGGTTGCGGCTGAAGTGATAAGCCCTTGATGAGTTGGACAAGTCTTGTCTGGTTTCATGTATAATTTGCAAACTGTGCTCAAAAGACTGTAATTGATTCCATCTGTACACACTCATTGAGGGCGCTATTCACATTCTTAACTCACGCACCTCAAAGGTGGAATATTGCTGCCCGCAATACAGCCAAATGCAAGGAGCAGAAACACAAATGCAATCATTCACATCATTGTGTGTGCAGTGCCATGCTCAATGCTATATAAAATACACAGAGTTTCCACGGGAAGCCATGTTGAGGGGCAAATATGGCTGAGTTTTGTATGCTTATTGAAATTGTTTTTCAAATTTTGACAAACTGTATTCCATGCACAGCTCCTCGTGAAACTCTCTCTCTCTGAAAACATGCGTGAATGGTTTATGATGGTGCACAATTCATTACTGCTGCTCATTAATACAGTAAATGCAGGCTCAGTGACAAAAATGAAATGGTTTGATGATCATGATGATGATGACGATGGAAAGTGACACACGGTGTGCTGCCTACAAAACCATTAAACAAACCAAAATCTTGCCAACAGCCTGTGAAAAACAAAAACTGAGCAATACTGCAACATGCTCAAATTTGTCTTCTGAATGTTGTAAAACCATTTTTGGGGTGTGTTTACCCTGGACAAACCCATGGGGTCAATTGTTATCACCACAAGACCAAACAGCCTTTTTTTAAATTTCTGTTCATACTTACTGGGCTAAACCTGGGTGTGAATGCTGGACTCCATGGCTGACGCTATTGCATGCCATAATCAAAAGCGTTAATTTGTTTACTCAATGACGACATGTACATAGGTTGGTAATATTAGTGGTGGCAGAGGTGGGATGTTAGTGGCAGAGGTGGGATGTTAGTGGCAGAGGTGGGATGCGCAATATGCAGTCCATTCTGTCCATATTACAAGTAGAATGGCTTCTTCCACCAAAGCATCTGTGGTTCTCTAGCTCCGAGGCCATAACAAACCTTAGTTCTATTAAGTTTGGGACATAATTGATACTTTTGGGACACGGTTTTATCTATTGTTATTATTACATTTTGTTTTTGCAAAGAATCCGTTTTGTAGTGCTCCCAGAAGGTTCAGCCTAGATTATCATGGCAGGATTTGCTTCATCATAAGAACCAGCCTAAATTTGAATGCAACACTCATTCTGACAAGTGTAAAGTTTCAGATAAGGTTGCTGCTGGAAAGCAAGTCTAAACACTGCTAATACGGTATCCGGAAATAATGGAATGGTTTGTTAGATTTTGCACTTACCACATGCGAGTTGTCTTTTCCGGTGCTCAAGTGTATGCCTTCTTGACAGTACTCCTCCAATAATGACAATCCTAGACGGATACAATAGACCACACATTGCAATTCATTATCTTAAAAGATTTGAAAAAATGATTTGATGGGGACCAATAAGGCTCTACATGTAGGTGTCTGACACTCATCGAAGACAATATGGTTGCACTCATTCAAAATAAAATGTGTCAAGCCTAACTCGCACCATACGGGTGCAAACCAAAGCACGCAAGCGGCGTGTCCCTTCCAGTGGAGTTCTCATGAGCGGTGACAAAGTCCATTAGGCCAAAAAAAAAAATATTCGGTCTCTGGTCAGACCAAAGTTCCGTAATCGACGCGGCCACGCGGCTTTTTTTGGGGGGGGGGCTTTTTTTTTTTTCTTCAAGCTTGGATTGTACAGACAAGGTGGGTACTATTTTGCTTTTTTTGTGTCCTCATGTACATTGGTGTCCTCCATAATTTGCCTTGGTGCTTTCGATCATTTGCCTTGGTGCAATTTTCCCATTCCTTGGTGCTCTTTAATAAAAAAAATTGAGGAGGTGTGGAAATAGAGGGCGCTGTTGAAGCTACCGCGGAACATTTGGGAAAAAAAAAGATCGACGCGCATGATTAAAATCGACACGCGTGCTGACCAGAGACCGACTTTTTTTTTTTTTGGCCTTACCGTTCAAACACAGAGTTCAACGAGTCTAAACTTGCGTTACCTTTGGCGTGTTGCCGGTGGTACTTGCGCACCCATTCGTCCAGTAGGATGTTGTAGTATCGCGGGTTCTCAAAGAACCTCGCGTACTTGTGGGACGTTGGGGAGGGGAAGATGCGCTCAAAGCCCCCACAGCGGCTGTACTCGTCCTCCGCCTCGGTCAGTATGCGTAGATCATCGGGGGTCAAGGTGTCCAGGATGGACATGCGACATTGCTGGACAAAGAAGCATGTCAAAGTTCACATCAAAATCATACTCAGTCTAAAATCATGAGTTAGGGATTAATATGCACTTGTCATTGTTTTTATGAATGCGACAGGGGTGTTAGATACCAAAATTGACAAAATGCAAAGTATGATGAAGTTGACTATTAAGCTGACCATTATTGCTTGGGGGTGCACTGTCTTGTCAATCCTGTCGGTTTAAAGTCTAAATTTTGACTTAGGCATTCTCGAATGTCTCCACTGACTGCAGTTCAAACGAGTAGAGAGTTGCTGCAAAGTTACCATGAAAAGGAAGACTTTTTTTACCTCGTCGATGTGTTTCTGTGTGTAGAAGACATGCTTGGCCCTCTCATCGTTAGACAGCGGAGTCTGATACAGCCTCTTATCCATAAAAATGTCGCTACCACGGATCCTGAATGAGGAAAATTTTGAGTTTATTCAAAAAAATTAAGACAATGGACAAGTTTATAGCACCATTGCAGTACTCTTTGTTCAATCCCAACCAATTTAAACTCTTGTCAGATATAGCAACTTTATCAGGATATCAGTGAGAACATGTATGTGAATTCACGTCCAATTTTCCATCTCAGCCGAAAATCTCCAACACGTCAAACACGTGAAATGGTCCTTAAGAGCAGAAATTTGGAGACAGAATATTGACCAACATACTTGGAAGCCGAGTTGCTGGTGGGCGTCAGGATGGAGTAGATGTCTCTCTTGTCTGGGACGTGGAAGCTGGAGATGTTGAGAAGATCCTTGATCATCTCCCCCTTGATGCTGACGTCCAAGGGAGAATTGGAATGGAGACTGAATGCAAAAGTTAAGGTATACAAAAAATAATGGAATGTTAATGTTTTTTATGCCAAGCATTCTTATTTAGCATACACAAACTTGTCTACAGTATTTAGGAATTTTTTTAAATGGAGAAAATAATGGAACATTTTAAACTTACATGTTCAAAAGACTCTGTGTCTTATATGACAATTAACTGTGAACGTTAAATATACCTGACAATTACTTTTACTAATCTCAGAAAGCAAACAAATTTGTTAGATGTTATGCTGTTATCATTCTTCTTGACTACAATTTATGTAAAAATAAAAATGTAAATGAAAGTTTGTAGTTTATTTCCAAACCAAATAAAACGTTCGGCAATTTGCGAAACAATTTTGTCATGAATTACCTTGGGGAGATGTTGACTTCTAGAATCCACGGTTTCAGGTTCTCATCCAGCATGACGTCAAAGCCAAACAGTTCATGGACGCAGTAACGACTCTTGACGTTCAGCTTGACCATACTGTTGACGGTGGAGTCCACGCTGCGATACACAAAAAACAAACAGGTATCCAATCAAATGAAGATTACCACAAAACCAAACAGCCATGTTTTTTTCCTGTTCAATCACTACTCACTGTTCACACTTACTGGTCTAAGCCTGGGTGAGAATGCTGGACTCCATGGCTGACACTATTGCATGCCATATTCAAAAGCGTTAATTCGTATACTCAATGACACCATTCACATACCCTGGTTTTATTAGTGGTGGCAGAAGTGGGATGTTAGTGGCAGAGGTGGGATGCGCAGTATGCAGTCAAATCCAGCCAGGAATTTGCCCTCAAAAAAGTGACAAAGCCTTCTTTTACAAAAGTATATGTGACTCTCCAGCTCCGATGCCAAAAGAAACCTGAGGTTCAATAACTTTTGGGACATAACTGATATTTTTGGGACTCAAGTTTTTTTATTATAATTATTACATTTTTGGGGGCATAAAAACCATTTTGTGATGATCCCAGAAGGCTCATCCTAGATTCTCATGGATGCAATTATAAAAGTCTGAGCTTCATAAGTTTCTTTCTAAAAACAAAGTGCCTGCCAATGATAGCGAGGTGAAACTTGCCCACTCTTGAGGAGGAACTTTTACAGAGAATATACACAGCTTCCCAGCTAAGCATAGAAGACATACCTAATGATGGTCTTGACCACAACGTCCTTGATGGTCTCCCACACGCTGACGGTGTCTATGCCCATTGGTTTCAGGTAGCCCCATAGTGCCTTCAGGCCCCTGTAAAAAAAAGACAACACGAAGCAATTACGAAATCTGAACCATCTCTTAGCTCTGAAATTACTCTAGTTCTGTACGCATTTACAGAGAAATCGTACAAGACAAATCTAACAGTGGCATACTTGTAACTGATTGCCGATACGTGCACTTACCTAGGTCTCATGGGTGGACTACAGAATGCAGGCTGGTATATTTCTTTGCAATTTTCTCTTGGAGGGGTACATGTTTTTCTTCTTCAAACTTGCATTAGGGCAATTCCACGGCTACTCACGTTACAGTTTTGATGTACTTTTGAGCTTCCTTGGGCTGTAATTACCTTACTGAAAAGGTTTAATAACCGTTATCCCCATGGTAGATAGAGTAGACCTAGACCTACCTAAGCACCTAAGACGACATCCAGAAAAATGTGTTATGTATGATAAACAAGACGCACAAAATCGGTTACTCACATTACGAAAATGTAACGTGAGTAACCGTGGAATTGCCTATTACCATTTGTGTCCTTCGCAGGCCGTGTAGTCGTTGTTGGGAGTGAAGTCGGCATTCTTCTTGTTGATGCTGTAGTTGGTCAGATGCATGAACTTGTTGGAGAGGTTCTTCATGGACGCTGAATATCTAGCCAGACCGAAAAAAAAACAAGACATCCTGAAACATTCGTTCATCAATTCAACTTTAGAATTTCAGTACCTCCTAAAATGAGGTAAAATCACAAAAATTCCATTCTTGAACTTTCAAAGAAATTTCTTAAAAAGAAAACAAAAATGCAATTGAACATTCAGTTATAAATTCAAAACATTCAACATTTCTTTGGAACTCATCAACTGAAATGATCCAGGGTTTTAGAAGGTGGGGAAGGTGGGCGGGGGGGAAAGACAGGTTTACTAATGCTCTAAAAACTGTTCTACCCCTGGTTAATAAAGCACTCACTTCATTGTGGCGAATCTGGCAAGCCCATCCTGGAAGACGTAAATCTTGAGCGGGTCGTAGGACTTGACGTAGACGTAGATGCGTAGATCAAACTTGCTGTCGTTGATCAGGAAAGGTTTGGCGAGGTATCGCTGGACGATGACTGGTTTGCGTCTGGGGATTTGGTTCCACTTGTGGACCACGCGGATGCCGATACCCCTAGCTGAAGCCGGCTATAAATATAGAAAAATCGCACACAAATCAAACGGGAATTTACTATCTTTTATTATTTTTAAAAATACGTCTTGCTTACTTTTGACTTTTTAATTTAGTGCTCTGATATGTAGTGCCAGCAGGAGACCCGAGGTAAATCTCAAGGAGCTGCTGGAAGCAGAGATGTGCTAATCGCAGAAAATATTGGCTTAGCAAAATTGGCTTACCGGCCAAAATGGTATGGAATATTAATTACCTGTGTGACTGGTTCTTGGGTGTATTTTTGTTAAGCGCAGAAATTTGCTTACTCCTACATTTTGAGGTTTTTGTTAGGAGAACTCGACCCATTAGTCCCTGAACAACCCACAATCACCCTGCCTAATTACACAGTACAGTTTTACAGGCAATAAACACAATGTAATACAATGTAATACACAATGTAATACAATGTAATACAATGTAATACACAATGTAATACAATGTAATACAATGTTATACACAATGTAATACAATGTAATACAGCACTATTTCGGTTCAACTCACAGGTTTCAGGATCCACTTCTGTTTGGTCCCACCGTCCTCCCAGGCTCGTTTCAGCAGCTTGAGGTCATAGGGCAGGCAGAAGGTCTGAGGGAAGAAGCCGTAGTCCCGCTTGCCAAAATGCACCTGCATCTTGTAGAGGTTGCGCCAGAGACGGTCTTTGCGGCCGATCTGGAACGAGCCTGGCAGGTGGTTCACCTGAAAAAGGAGAACGGAAATTTTGCTCAATGCAACATAGACGTTTACCCTGTTTCTGTGTGTTGCATCTGGCAGGGTTAGGGTTAAAGGTAGAGTACATCATTTGAAGCTATCCCAAAAGTAACTGACAAAATTATTGTTGAAAAGCATATTTGGCTTAAAGATAGTAACGGCACTAAACTCCCTGTGAAATTATTCTGTCTGGGGTGCTGTCATTTTGAAGAAAACAATCAAAAAAGGCCATTTCCAAAGGTGTGTCAAGTGACACATTCTTGGAAGTTTCCGTTGGTAGTTGGTTTGTAATTCGGCAAAGCCGTGAATGGGTGCACGCAAACGTTGACACGACGTACAGGCACGCGCGGTTGCTATAATTCGTTGGTTCAGTGAATGACATCAGGTAGCTTGCAATCGGCTGAATGAGAACATGTCCTGGATGCTGATTTTGGGCGCGATTCAAAACATGACTTGGCAAGAGAAATCAAGATCTTAGAATATTGTTTTCTTGGAATGTACAGCATTCACTGCACTCAAACTTCACCAGGTATAGTTGTTAAGTACCCTTCATTAGATTTCGAGCACTTTTGTTGCTTCAAACGAAAAACATGCACAAATGACTAAATGATGTTCTCTACCTTTAAAGTAATACTGTTATAGAATGTCTTCAAGCTCAACAGAGTGTACTGCTAACCTTATAAGTCTTAGAAACTCTTACCTTTTGGTACTCCCGAACTACCTTGAAGGCGTTGGCTTTCATGTGCTTGCCCCAGTAACCAAGCCACTCATTTGCCTCTGTGGGGGAAAAAAATAAGAGTTTGCTTTCAGAAATTCCCAGTCTTTTTAAATATCTTAGCAAGCATTTTGTGCTGGTCCCAGAGGGCCAGCCTACGTGCTCATAGGAAACAACGCAAAATCGGACACAAAGAGCGCCACCTTGTGGCGCTCAGGAGCAAAATGGCAATTTTGTTTCACTCGAAATTAAAGATAAGACCTCTACGCCAATTTTCCGTTCAATTTGACCAGCGGTAGCCACGTCAATTTCTTTTTATATTGCCCTCTACCAAAACCGCCTCTAAAACGGTTGCCAATCCCTGGGCCCAGGTCCAAATGTAACCCCCAGCTCTATGCGAAATAGACCCACAAGTTTTTGTTTTTTTTCCGAACAAAATCTTCCGAGTTTGAAGCCACTAGTCGCAAATGCTTGATTTCCAGAAACATTTCTACAATCAATCCCAATTATAGGCCGCAAGGACCTCTTATTCAAAGTTACCTGTGGGATCACAAAATATTATTGAGCTCGCGCGCAGAAATTTACAGCGTTTTGGTGGTGTGCATCAAACCAAACAGTGCTTATCGTAACAGGATTATCCCATTACAACAATGAATGTTGGACTAGGTGCCAGTGGATTGAAAACATGGTCAGTCTTGCGGAGTACTTACTTCTTGTTGCACGGAACCCAGACCGGGCGATGCAGTTCTTGATGACGTTAGGGGTGATCGGGCTCATGCGCCACTTGAGGAGCTTACGGATCTCCCAGGGAAACTGGACAGCTGGAAAGGGGGTAGAAAATCAGCTCGAGATTAGATCAAGAAGTCTCCAACTACATCTTCTAGCAGTGACTTCTGTCAGGAAGCACCAATTTAAAGCTATAGTCCATCATTTGCAGCTAGCCGAAAAGTAACTGGCGTAATTATTGTTGAAAAGCATACTTGGTTGAAAGATAGTAAGGGGACTAAACTCCCTGTGAAATTATTCTTTCTGGCAAGCTGTCATTTTGAAGAAATCAAAGAAAGAAGGTTTTTCCAACGGTGCGTCTTAAGACGCACCGTAGGAAATTTAAATTAGTAGTTAGTTTTGTTATTCGGCGAAGCACGCGCAAGCATTGGTACGATGCACACGCACGCGTGGTTGCTATAATTCAGGCTTCAATTCAAAACATGATTCAGAAATTGATTTGATTTGAAATTGAGATCCTAGAATGCTGTTTTTCTCGGAATATACAGCTGAAGCTTAGCTGAAACTTCATCAGGTTAGTTGTTTAGTACCCTTCTTTAGATTTTGAGCACTTTTGTTGCTTCAAACGAACAAAATGCACAAATTACAAATGATGGATTATATCTTTTAATTATTTGATTCACAATTGGTTGTGCCTAAACAGTGAAGCCCCTCAATCATTTTCACTTTGACAAGAAAGTTTCAAGGGAAGAAACTATTTAAAAAGTATATAATTCTGTTACTGTTTTAATTAGGAAGACCTTACTCTCGCAAGATTGTAACATAAAAATTAAATAACATTGGAAACAAATGACCACATCTATCTTTCCATTTGACTACATTCAATCTCTAAATTATGATCAAAATCTTGAGAATTGGTTACAAATAGTGAAACTTTCAACCACATTTCAAAATGTCAAGAAAACAGATGATTTATCAAAAAACAGGTCTTCGAAATTTGGCATCTTAAAAAAAAACATGTTTTTTTAGGCACTTCCAAAATTTTCAGTACAGATTCGTGCCTGAGACAGATTTTTCTAAAACATGATTTTTTTTAATGCAATTTTACTTTGTTGAAACAAGCTTTGCCTACCTTTCTCTTCCACACCAACAAAGTTGATGGTGGGCGGGATGTGGCTGAACAGACTTGGGCTCAGCGCGGGCAAGGCATCGTCTGCGCCCGTGGTCAGGTATTGGAACATGCGGGAACCCGCCCGGCTGGACAGGCTGACCCTTTCGCCGTCCTGGGGCTTGGGGGACTTGCCGCTGGCAGCCGGTAAGGGTAGGTTGGTCAGCTGGTAGCGGGAATCGTTACTGGCGATGGAGTAACCGTCCGACTCGTCTGTGGAAAAAAAAACAAAGAGTTAAAGTTCAAGACAGTTTCGTTGAGCTGTTAAACACAAAAACCCTGCTTCATGCTTAGCACAAAGGAGTATTGCTTAGTAACACTACCTTACCAGCTAAAATGCCCTGCAATACATGCTTGTGGCTGGTTCCCACGTTTCTTTGCTTAGCATGTGAACGTGCCCAGCGAAATTTGTTCATTTTCTAAAGTTTCACCCAAAAGATTTCACATTTTCAAATCCTAACCAACTTTATCCCAAGTCAAAAAATAACAGCGTTGCTGTTGAAACCCCTCAGCCAGAGTCAAGTTATCATCCGGAAACCATTAACCTTTAACTCAACGTGGTGACCTTGACCTTTGGCCTTTGACCCCAGAACCAGTCCCAACATGCCTGTACCAATGGGAAACCCCCTACCGAAGTTAGACACCAACATTTCATTTCTAACTCAAGGTATCATTCGGAACCATTTACATTGAACTCACCACGGTGACCTTGACCTTTGACCTTTTGACCCCAAAACCAATCCCAACTTGCCTGTACCCAAGGGCAAACCCCTACCTCAGTCAGACACCAAAATCTCATTTCTAACTCAAGTTATCATCCGGAAACCATTTACCTTTAACTCACCATGCTGACCTTGACCTTTGACCTTTTGACCCCAAAACCAATCCCAACTTGCCTTCTCCCAAGGGCAACCCTCTACCAAAGTTAGACACCAAAATCGCATTTCTAACTCAAGTTATCATCCGGAAACCATTTACCTTTAACTCACAATGGTGACCTTGACCTTTGACCTTTTGACCCCAAAACCAATCCCAACTTGCCTACTCCCAAGGGCAACCCTCTACCAAAGTTAGACACCAAAATCGCATTTCTAACTCAAGTTATCATCCGGAAACCATTTACCTTTAACTCACAATGGTGACCTTGACCTTTGACCTTTTGACCCCAAAACCAATCCCAACTTGCCTACTCCCAAGGGCAACCCTCTACCAAAGTTAGACACCAAAATCGCATTTCTAACTCAAGTTATCATCCGGAAACCATTTACATTTAACTCACCACGGTGACCTTGAACTTTGACCTTTTGACCCTAAAACCAATCCCAACTTGCCTACTCCCAAGGGCAACCCCCTATCAAAGTTAGACACCAAAATCTCATTTCTAACTCAAGTTATCATCTGGAAACCATTTACCTTTATCTCACCATGCTGACCTTGACCTTTGACCTTTTGACCCCAAAACCAATCCCAACTTGCCTACTCCCAAGGGCAACCCTCTACCAAAGTTAGACACCAAAATCTCATTTCTAACTGAAGTTATCATCCGGAAACCATTTACATTTAACTCACCACGGTGACCTTGACCTTTGACCTTTTGACCTCAAAACCAATCCCAACTTGCCTACTCCCAAGGGCAACCCCCTACCGAAGTTACAACCCCAAACAACATTTCTAACTCAAGTTATCATCCGGAAACTAAGCTGCCCGGACGGACGGACGGACGGACAGACACACATACATCCGGACGGACGGACGCCCTAGGCGATGACAATACCCCTCGAGCCTCTCGGCTGAGGGGTAAAAACTATAATAGTTAATTAATATTTTGTTATAAATTTATCTTTTTTTAAAACTTATTTGTTCTTGTTCTTTTACAGTCAACTCAACAAACACTGTTAATACAAATTCTGGTCATAACTATCATAAAGCGTTAGTTCCAACTGTGCTTTACATACATGTACATGTGCACAATGAATGGGACCGACGTTCCTCTTAATACAAAATTCTGATATAACAAACATTTTGGCTAGCCTGAGGTCCGGCTGTGTTTATATTAACGAGAGTCAAGCGTAATTCCTTTTTTGGAAGAGGGAGAGCTCACCATCTTCATCAAGGTCGTCTCCATCAATCCCGTCCATTCCATCGTCCTCATCAAAGTCGTCAAAAGATGCTCCGTCTCCAGGCATCCTCTCACTGCGTGGAGGAATAAGTAGAGAAACAAGGATGCAGTCAAAGTCTCGGAGAGAAATCGAGAAAGCCCCTGTTTCCATCACGATGCCAACAAGGAATAATTAATTCAAGTTTATGAACAGAGCGCAACAGCTTGGGGTGCGACAAGCTTAAGATCTTGTTGGGGACTGTTGATTTGTGGGTTCAAGCCAAACCAGTGGTTGCAGTTCTTGTGTCCTTGAGCAATGTACTTTACTGAAATATTGACAAATTGCCACAATAAGTTTATGGCAAACATGTTCGTATAATCACATTATCACCCTATGTGTAATCACCAGTTAATGAGATTTTTGGCCGAAGTTGAAATACTTTTGGTAAACAAGTTGGCATATTTTGTTGAACACTTATATGTGTACATGTCCTTTCTTTGCTTTCAAAATCGTAATCAACTTCACTTTTTAAGATTGCCCTTGTAACCTCTGATCATGTAATTATATGGGGAGTGTGGCCTAATGGTTAGGGTTCGTGACTCATGATCTGAGGGTCAGGGGTTCAAATCCAGCTGCTGGCCTTATGTTGTGTCCTTGGGCAAGCCACTTCACCCCCACTTGCCTCTCTCCACCTAGGAGTATAAATGGGTACCGGCATTAGCCGGGGAGCAACTTGCGATGGACTAGCATCCCATCCAGGGAGGTCTCAGTCATTTCATGCTATTGAAACCAGAGATAAACGCTGGCCTGATGGGCCACATTGGCTCGTGACAGTTTTTATTGTTTCTTTTTTACGTCCATTTTTTGTTCATGTCCCTGTTGTACACTCTTTAATGCCTTCTTTCTCCCAAGGGTGATTATGTAAAGCCAAGTACATGCCAAATAAACATGATAAATAAAAATAGTTTGAAGGCAGTTTTACATGTAATTATACTTGCATGGCTAAAATTCCACAGGTCAGGTGTATAAACAGGGACATAATAAAAGTCACACTTCTGGACCCCACGTTTATGAAATGACCCATGAAAAAAATGCAATAACGCCACTATTAAACTATCACACAAAGTTATTTTCAATGTTCATAAGGCTTTACGCCTGGAATTTCAATAAGTAAAAAAGTACTGCAACATCAGAACAATTTTGCACAAATAGTTGGTCCCTACAAAAAAAAAATCAATATTCACTTTTTGCAATCAGTAAATATTGCACAGCAAAAAAATATTGCCCAGGTACATGTACAATGTAGGCACATCAAAGGGCCCGGGTCCGTTTAATAAGCCGATTCAATTAAAACATTGTTTGAATAGGGTTGGGGAGTTGAATTCCAGCTGTCCATGGAGTGTTGACTCTGTCAACTGCCGTTTCATGTATCGCATTCCGCTTGGCTGACTTCAAATATTTACATGGGTTGCAATATTAAAAAAAAAAAAAACCGAAGAAGAAAAAATTCCCTGTAGGCGACGTGTCAAATTATTAATCAATGTTGGAGTGCCTGTCGAGTGGGGGGAGATTCGAGGACGCTCAAAATTGAATTGGATTGGGGATTGTCGGGGGATTTTTGCTGTGACAGCTTTCAAACGGCGGTTGAGTGTACTGTCATTACTAAGCGTGCAAACAGGTTCATATTTCGCGGAGAGGTTGTTACCTAATTTTGTTCAAATATTGTGCGAGGGTAGGGTAGGATATTAATAGGAAAATTTTTGCCTGGTACTCGTACTCACACTTATGGAAAAGTATTCATACTCGTAGAAAAGTACTCGTACTCGTGGAGAAGTACCTGACTACAACACTGGTAATTTCTATCACTAAATTTAACATAGAATTTGAGACTTTTGACCATTTAATCTGTAAATGATTTTTTGGAGGAACATTAATTTTATTTTCAGCTAAAAATGTTCCTGCAAAACACAACTTAAAACAAAACATGTAATACACTGTTACATGGTAATATCTACCGCAATTCGATTTATAGGCTTATGTCATCGATTAATTTTAATGATTAATAAATGATTGTCTGTGCTCAGAGTTAATGATTAATGATTGCAAATAACCACAAGGTTGCAATCAATATTCATCAAAAACCTATATGGATTCACTTGAACTCTACTAAAATTCTGCACAGTGCAATACAAGCTATTTAAATTAGGTGGAAAAATGTCCAGAATCTTTCTTTCTACATCAAATTTTCACAGCTCGTCTTGAATCCTGCTCCCATCCTTTTATTATTATTTAAATCTTTGCCCTTTCTCACTTGTTTATTTATTTTATACCAGCTTGTCCCCCAAAACCCACTTTTTTACGATGGTAAACAACTATCACTGCCTCCAAGCAGGAAGATGAAAATGGGATTTAAATGTCTTCTGTGAGCAAAATTTTTTTTTTTTACAAATCTCGACTGTTTTATTTACCTGGCTGGCAATTTCAACAAGGCCAGCCCAGCAGTCAAAATAAATCAAGTGACTGTTTTTAACAGTTGAGTGCTCCCTGCCTTCATAAAACAGGATTGACTGGCTGTGATTGTTATGAAACCTGATATAGCTGCTTTGACTGTAGGAGATTGATAAGCCGGCTGGGCCTACCAGTCACCTGCTTTTGTCTGTTGATGGAATTTGACTGTCAGAGTGCTTACAACAAATATGATCTGACTGTTGCTGACTAGCCTGTGTAAAAGGCATGGCAGGGGAACAGGATTGAATTTTTGACTGTCTGTGACTGAATCAAACAAAAGGAGAGTTAAAGGCACAAATACTACGACAGCAAAGAAAAAATCACTCTGCTGGCATTGTGTCATCGCTAGGCAACAACAAGTGATCTTGTCGTTTTTCCATTAACTTTCCCGACGACGCTCCGAGCAGGACAGAGACGTCACTGCCAATCGATTCGTTTTCCCGGCGGGATAACGGTTTGCGATCTGCTCATTCCGACTAACTGACAGTGCATAACGAGAGAGATCAGGCATTAAAAATTGAAGATTCGCGGCTCACGAGGCTTCAGTGCAAAATTGAAAAAAAATCCTAAAAATAGATCTCGGTGATGATTATGTGGGAAAAACAGATGGTCGGCCAATTTTGTTGGATTGATGACACCGTTCATAACAAGGATAAAAGCCACTTGATGAAAGAGGCTACAGGAAAATAAGGGGAAAGACAAACACGCCACGGCCGAAGTGCATGCGTTGCTGGAGTACTGTGGCCTCATTGTAAAAAGGAGAGCGATTTGCATTTTTGTGGTCGAAGGCATTGAAAATGCAGGTTCAAATCATTTAGTGGGAATGGTGTTAATTTGTGTTTTTTTTATTAATTAATTAATTAATTTATTTATTTCAAGCAATAAACAGACAAGTGCTGCATTTGACATAAAGGCATACATAAAATACAAAAAATGTGCAATTAGTATCAAATCGTATAAGATTCCTCAAATTTCAAAATCAACTTACTAGTTTTTCGGAAGTTCTGAGAAAAGTACAACTGAGGAAAAAGTTTCAATATTTTACCTTCCTGACGGTTCATATTCGTCATCATCCTCGTTTTCGACTTCATCAATGTCGCTCCACTCCTCCGCGTCTTCCGACGAGGAAATCCGTGACCTCCGGTTGATTTTTGACCCCAACGACCTCCTTACGCTGCCCTCTGACCCTGACGACTCTCTGCTGGTTTGTCGTTGCGGGCTGGACGGGGGTTCTTTTCCCGGACTGTCCGGGGGAGGCTTGGGTTTGAAGTTCGTTTTGGGTTGTTTTTTAGTCTGACTCCCTTGCAATGCGAATTTGCTCCGAGGCTCGTTCAGCGGTTTCTTGCCGCTGATTGGTCGGATCAGCGTCCTGCTCGTTGGGATCGGGGGTTTGGATCGCAGCGAGTCGCTAGCGGCACCGCCGGACCCCCGGGCGCCGAGTTCGCTCTTGGCCCGCACCAGCCCGTCCGTGGTTTTCGTCCGCTGCGGCGAGCGGACGGTGACGTTGTTCAAGTCGTTGCGTATCTTGTTGAATTCTTCGCTAGTCCGGCAGAAACCGTTCTGGTCAACCCCGCCGTAGTTCGAGATGTTGTTGTTGTCCAGGTCGCCCCAGACCGGCACGCGAGGCCCCTCGCCAAGTTTGCTTCGCAGAAGTGGCCGGCTGGTCTGCTGGCGCAACGGCAGGGGCTTGATGTTGCCCGACAGGGCAAGAGTCTCCAGACCCCTCTGCAAAGTTGCTTTAATTTCCTTGATCTGGTTTGGTGTTGCCATGATGCAGTCCGTCACCCACAGATCCAGCAGACGGAATGAAGTCGTCTCGCTAAGGCACGCTGTACTTTTAAGGCCCACGCTGGTGAATGCCCAACGATGCGAAAAATCTAAGCGTCCTTTTGTCACCTACGCTCCATCACGGCTGAATCGATTTGAGCGGCTCAGGAGGGATGCATCCCGGGTAATGGGGCGGCAAGGGAATGCCGGAGGATTCTCGTTCAAGCGTGATAGCTGCAAAAACCTGAGGGGAATAGGAAATTGATGGTAATACTCGATTAACTTCCTTGGTTGAATACAGGTATCGATGCCCAAAGCACTTTTTTTCTTCTGATCGCTGATTAATTACATTGTCAGTGTCACAGTCACTCAAAGGTCAATGATACACGCCTGACTGCCTAGCATGATTTATTGGGAACCATATCCATCCTGGCAAATTCCAACACCATAATTATGGGAAACTGCACACACATACTTCTGACTTTGATTCTGGAGGTGTGCCAACCCAATGTAAAAGACTGTCAGTTTAGGCGTACTGCACCCATCCTGACAGATTCCAACAAAACATGCTGTTGGGGTTTGATGGGTTGAGTTCTGTAAGGGTTCAAACAAAAATGCACGGTGCCTCAAAAATATATTTATAGTCTGTACTAATGAGCTCACATGTTATTCAATCCATGCTTTAAAATGGACCATTGCTGTTAAAGAGAGCAAGTTAATTTTAAAACTCTTTGTTGTTGGTTTATTCACCAGAATTGAAATGAAAAATGCACAAGAATTTCCAATTTGCACAGAATTTTGTTTTATTCGCGATGACATAATTTCAGATATAAGGAAAACATTTGATGTGCTTGTTGAACTTTATTTGTTTTTAGACAGGGCCATAGGCCTTATTTTGTTTTTGAGGGGGGCAAAAGTTTAATTCATATCAATGATTTTTTGGTATAGGGCCAATGTGGCATTAGCATTTACCGGTAGACATTGGAAATCACCGAAAATCAACTGGAAAACGACGAAAAACACCCCCCCCCCAAAAAAAAAAAAAAAACAACCAAAAAAAACCCCCAAAAAACCCAAAAAGACCAAATAAAAAAAAACAACCGCAAGAAAAAAAAGATTTTCTTCGTTTCCTTTATTTTTTCTGTTGGTTTTCTTTTAGGTTACTTTACTTTTATGTTTTTTTTATAGCAAATCCTATTTTTTATTGAAGTAGATTACATTTTTTTTCTTAGCGATTCATGGCTTTGGAAGATTTTTTTGTTAAAAAGGAATTAGGCCTAATGTAACGTTAAGTCTGAGAACCGTTTGGTTGATAGGGCCTAGTCTGGTTCCAAGAGCCAAAGATCCTGACGTTGAATATGGTCAGGCATTTGTCAGGTCAGGGAACTAGACAGTCGACTGCCGTAATGATAATCGGGGTTTTTTTTTAGTTGCTTTCCGATGTTTGGCTTTGCGGTTGTTTTTCCTGTTGCATTGTTTTTGGTTTTCCGGTCGTTAATGGAAGGATCGATGATTTTCGGTTCGCTCGGCACGCGCCGCGGGGGGTACGGTACAAGCAAAATGATAGTAGGCCTATGCACATGCGTACAAGTGCAAGCAGGCCTACCGTACCCCTGTGGCGCGCGCCACTTGAAGCGAAAATCATCGATCGATCATATCTGCGTGCACATTTTAAGTGTCAGGCTGGCTTAGTGTGGAAAGGGCATATTTTTCATCATTTTGGCCTAAAAACCGACAGAATCCGCCGATACTTACATATGTCAAGAGGTATAGTTTAGTACAGAGTTTAGCTGTGCCGCGGTTCTGTGGGAAATGTCTGTGCTATTTTGACATGTTTGAATTGATTAGTGCATGTTGTAGACTAGAAGCAGCAACAATTTTGCGCGAATTGCAGTTCTAGGAGTAAACAAGTATTAGGTGCCGGTCACTCCCTCCATGCCATGTACCGTCCATGCCATGGTCACACTGGTTTAAGCTACATAGCCCCCCCCCCCCCCCACCCACCCACCCACCCGCTAGGAGGCCCGCCTACGTACGTAGCCAAATACGTATAGGTGCCTACGTACGTTTTTGCCGGCAAGCTCAGAAGTAAACAAGCCTTGCAAAACCTGCAAGAAAACAAACCTCATTCATGTCTAGCAAGCCTGTGGAGGTTTGTCTCACAGCCAATACATTCACCTCAATGTCAGTCCATTTTTGTTTGCCGTAACCGAAGTTTAAACCGGTTATTTGAGCTCAACGAAACTAATCCCCAACTTCCAGAATTAATATTTTTTCTTAGCAACACTAGGTCACGTGACCAGACCTGCCCCAAGAGGGCGCTAGTCCAAGATGATGGCTGATTTTTTTGGTTGGTGTCACTAGAGGGCGGTATAATGGTAAACAATTCCTCAGAGGCATCAGCCTGTTGAGTTGGCACATCTTTCTCTGAATTCCACAAAATTGTTGTTGCAATAAACGCAGAGATTTTCTCGAGAGGTATCATAGAGGACAAATAGGTGCAACGATGAATACATCTGCAAAGATTGTGGAATGTGTTCCCAATTTTTCGGAGGGACGATCGAAGGAGGTGATGTTCTTCTCATCTATGATTTTCTTGGGGGATTCTTGATTTTGAAACTTAAAAATTGTCTCAATCCAAAATAATTTCAGTTTCTGTGTCAGGCATGTGAGGAGATTCTCAGCAAATGGAGAGAGATTACTATTATAAATTAATTCGGAAATTCATGTTTTAATACACTATTTTGTAATGATTCAAGTCAATGACTTGACTCGAGTCCGACTCGAGTCACAATTTTTGGTGACTCAACTTGACTCGAGTCCCTAGGGCAAGTGACTCCACTCGACTTGAGTCACTGCGATCAAATGACTCGACTCGACTCGACCTTCTTCACCTAATGATTGGCCTTGACTCAAGTCACTACTTTAAAATGACTCGACTCGAGTCAGAAAAGTCAGTGACTCATTACAAGTACAACTCTGAACAAAATATCAAAATGTTGAGATGTTTATTCAATCAATGTACAGATCGTCGACGCCATCGCCCATGCACTCATCCACACCGAGGGGTGCCACTTACTGGATGTGGACCCAAGCCCGTCCACCAACCGCACCGTCTTTTCGTTTGTGGGCTCTCCCGATGCCGTCGTCGAGGGCGCTCTCAATATGGCCCGGGTCGCGGCGCGGCTGATTGACATGCGACATCATCATGGTGGGGTTTACTTAACTGCTGACAAATTTTACTGTGAACAACTTTTTCGTAGCATAACAAAGTTTTAGTTTTTTGTTTTGCTTGTCGATAGAATCTTAATTCTTGTTTACTTTGTTCATTTTGTTTGGGTCCACCGTAGGTGAGCATCCACGCATGGGGGCGCTAGACGTGTGCCCCTTCATTCCAGTCTGTAACGTGACCATGGAGGAATGCGTCCAGTGCGCCAAGGAATTCGGGCAACAACTCTCTCAAGAACTCTCCATTCCAGGTGAGGAATGGCTTTGTCCAGTTTCCTGCGAGATAAGGGTATTGGGGAAGTTGGTTTGAATTTAAACATCTCCTAAAACTCAGAAGTAGTCATTAAACTAGGATGCAGTTATCATCAAAAGGTGTGTATCATTTAAATTGTGAACCACACTTTATCTCTAAATTCTCTTTTGAGTTTAGACAACATTTCAAAACGCAGAACAGTTTTAAAGCTTAGGTAAACCAACGGCTTGATTGATGACGACCCTTTCATCAAAAGATGTTTATAATTCATTTTTTGAACCCCTTGTTTTTTCTGTTGTCTTTATGCTTGCAGTTTATCTCTACGCCGAAGCTGCCACAGAAGAGAAAAGAAAGTTGCTGTCATCCATAAGAGCAGGAGAATACGAGAAACTTGCCACCAAAGTACGTTCCAAAGCCCGCATTATGTTGCAGCCTGTTGTGAGACTTTGTCAAGTTATACAGTCAATTGCCAAATGTTGATTGTCTTTTGTTTTCTGCCTTAGCTCGCCGATCCAGACTGGCTCCCCGATTTCGGCGCGGCCGAGTTCGTCCCATCATGGGGCGCGACGGCCACCGGCGCCCGCAAATTCCTGATTGCCTACAACGTGAACCTGCTGGGAACCAAGGAACAGGCGCACCGCATCGCCCTCAACATCCGGGAGCAAGGCCGCGGAAAAGGCCAGGTGTGGATAAACGAGATTCGACCATCGTTGACAAACAATTTCGATCATTGTTCTCCCCGTTGGTTTTCAACATCGGTAGTTTTTTAGGCGAGTCAGTATAAAGTCTGCCACGAACCAATATGGCCCATCAGGCCGGCGTTTATCTCCGGTTTCAGTGGCATGAAACGACTGAGAATATTTCTACTCCCCCTGGATGGGATGCCAGTCCATCGCAGGTTACTTCCCAAGTAATGCCGGTACCCATTTATACTCCTGGGTGGAAAGAGGCAAGTGGGGTGAAGTGTCTTGCCAAAGGACACAACAAATGGCCAACAGCTGGATTCGAACCCCTGACCCTCTGATCACGAGTCACGAGTACTAACCACTAGGCCTCAAACTCCCCTCCCCCTTTTACAAGAGTCCCTAAAAGGAAAGTGGTCTTGAAGTACTCTTTAACCCATCTAATGCCAATCATTATTTGTGCCTTATTTCCCCAGCCCGGAAGACTCAAGTCCGTCCAGGGTATAGGGTGGTGGCTCGCGGAGGCCAACCTAGCCCAAGTCAGCCTGAATCTTCTGGACTTTGAAGTCTCGACAATGCATCAAGTTTTTGAAGAATGCGTCAAGGATGCTGAGGTAATCCCACCGATAATTAATACTTTATCTCAGACAGTAGGCTCAGAAAAAAGTAATATTATTAAAGTTAAAGTAATAAAATATGAATCAATAATTCACACCCAAAAAACATTGACCAAAGAGACGGTATATGATCATTTTCCAACATTGCATCGCAAAGTTATTCATGCTTGCCAGCACCCTCCCTATTTCAGAAATTCATCATTCATTGCTGAATTTTCTTCATCTTTTTTGTTATCTTTCTAAGGAGTTGAATCTAGCCGTCTGCGGCTCACAGATCGTCGGTCTGGTGCCCCTGCAGGCCATGCTAGACGCAGCCGACTATTACATCATGAAAGAGAACCTGTTCATCTTGGACGAAGACCAGAAAATACGACTGGTAAGTGGTCCAGAAAGTTTAATAATTAATTATGACAATTCGTATTTATTCAGTAATTATTTATCATTAATACTACAATGTTTGGTGAGTGTAGATTTCTTCTGTAATTTTATTATAGGTGATTCAAAAGTTGGGCCTGAGTTCTCTGAGCCTCTTCAAACCAAACGAACGGATTATTGAGTAAGTAGAAACTGTTCCTTCTGTCAAATCACAAGCCATCACAAGCCATCATAAGCCATCACAACTCATCGCAAGTTAATCTGAAGTCACCCCGTCTCAAGTCAAGCCACACGCTATTTGAATGAACTGTGCTAAAGGCATTCTTTTGTTAATAGAGTTGAGATAGAGTTGCGATTGATTTGCGATTGGCTTGCGATTGACTTGTGATTGTCTTGTGATTGTCTTATGATTGCCTTATGATTGACTCCTGATTGTTTTGTGATTGACTTGTGATTGTATTGGGATTGTCTGTGATTGCCTTATGATTGATCTGTGATTGAATTGTGATTTGACTTGTGATTGTCCTGTGATTGTCTGTGATTGCCTTATGATTGACTTGTGATTGATTTGTGATTGGCTTGTGATAGCGTTTTTATTGTCGTGTGATTGCCTTATGATTGTCTTATGACTGCTTTATGATCACGTGTTGATTGCCTTATGATAATCTAATGATTGCCTTGTGATTGCTTTACGTTTACCTTGTGATCGCCTTATGATTGCCTTGTGTTTGCCTATTGATTGTCTCAATTACACAACTCAATTTAGGCTAAAAAAAAAATTGTTTTGCTTCCGATTACATGGCATTTGAAAATAGGGTAGTTAGGTAGGGAAAATATTTTTTTTTGGACAAATTTTTTTATATACGATCTTATGCCGGTATCTTCGTGTAATCAAGGGTGAAAGGAAGTAACTGATGATTTTCAGGGTTTCTTCCCCATTTCCCCCCCCCCCAAAAAAATTAGGATAGTGGCTGTAAAAATACGGTAGGTAGGGTAACCGGAAGCAGAACTATTATATATTTTTGGCCTTACGTCATTACAGGTCAGAACTTCCGTCTTTTCAAAACGGATAATTTTAGGTTTTGTTTTTTATTTTCATCAGATACATGGTCCGGGAAGATGACTCTATCGACGCTCCTCTGGCCAACATGAGCCTCAAGTCCTTTATCAAAAGTGTCGGGGCCCGGACCCCCGCGCCTGGGGGCGGGTCTGTGGCTGCTGCCGTGGGGGCGTTGGTAAGACATTCTTGTAGTCGAAGCCGAGAACTAGAGTTTGGTTGAGGAGACATTAGGCCGAAGAAAGTTAAAACTTATGGAAAGAGCAAATTCAGTAAGACGAAAGAAATAAGGTTTTCAATCTTACCAATTGTTATTCATTCTCAAGCCAGAAAATCTATGAAAAATTCACCACGACATCAATATCAGTGTACGCAGAAAAACGCAAAATATTCTACCAAAATTTGTTGCAGCTAGATGTCATTTAAGAAAAAGGAATGTGTCTCATTTACATATAATGAATATTAAGATATATTTATAGATATTGAATATTAATTTCTTCAAAACGATGACAGAGTTTTGTTGTCATGTTTGCAACAATTCCTTAAACGGAGGCTTTTTTCTCTTGGTTATGTGTGAGGATAATTTTTTATTATTTTTTTATTCTACATGATATTTTTTCAACATTTTAATAATCAATGTTTTGAATTTGCAGTTACAGCAAATCATAGTTAACTATGTAACTGGATGACAAAAATTACAACCACAGAATTGCAAAAGGAAGAGAAATGCTCCCATTTTTTGGGGATAAAATTTCCATTTTGTCTAAAAAAAATTTATGACCATCTTTTTAGGGTGCTGCTTTAGCTAGCATGGTTGGGTGGATGACGTACGGCAATAAAAAGTTCGAGAAACTGGATGCGACAATGCGACGTCTCATACCGCAGATGAACGACGTCATGCAGAGTCTGATACCCCTGGTGGATGCCGACGCTGCGGCTTTCAATGGATTCATGGTATGGGGAAAGCACGACGAGACGGGGACCCAGACCTCGCTGTCAAAATTTACTCATAGACTTGCATTTCTGTCATGCATTGCAATGAAACTATGTAGAATATTTCATTAAAAGAACTACTGTAATGGAGAAAAATTGTGCAAAACGGGTAAACTGATGTGGAAAAAAAAAGTGTTAATTGTTGCTTTTTGTCTTCTCAAACAGACCGCCAGTAAACTTCCCAAAACAACCGAGGAAGAAAAGAAAGTGTAAGCGTCATAATTAATTCTATCTGAATTTTTTTCCATTATGCATACAGGGGTGCGAGTGACCACTGATAAAAATAGCTAAAAACAACTGAAAAAGGTGTTAAAAAGCTGAACTTTGGAAATCTCCTATACTTTTGTACACAGCAAGTGAGGGAAAAAAGCTGAAATCCAAAACAAAAAAAGCTGAAATCAGCTGTAAAGAGTGTATGGATTCTCACTGCCTGTCAATCAAACTTTGCATTGACCAATCAGGTCGCAACTTTTGGTCAGGTGACCACGGTAGTCCAATCAAACAGGGTCACAAGCACTGTGAGAAATGTACACTGATCAAAAATGGGTGGGACTTCATGGCCAAAATGGAATATTCCATAAAATTGTCATTTGTGAAAAATGCGTTTATTTTATTTTTTCGCAGGCACGATGAATGCGCGCAAGCCGCCATTCGCACAGCCATCTCGGTACCCATGCAGGTGGCCAAAAGCATCAACGACATATGGGAACCATTGAAGGAACTGGCCAGGCACGGCAATGTGCAGTGCGTCTCCGATCTGCAGGTAACTTGGAAAATTTACAAAAATTCGTAACGACATTGGCAATTTCCAAAACGAAATTTAAAGAAGTAATAGTAAAACTTTGGTGCTGAAAATATAACGGTGCAAAATTGACCAGAAATGTGGACTAAGCTGTTGATTGGTCAATTTGGCTGTCATGTTTTTGTAATACAACAACGGGTTACCGAAGACCTGATAAAAGGCGCCCGCTGAATGGTCAGAATCTCGAGGTCAGGACACAGTCTTGTTTTGCATAATTAATCGCCGAATCTGTTGGCATATCATAGACCCTTGCTGTGCAAGGGGATATTTCCATAGACAAGTTCCAACCCCCTAAAAAAATAATCACTCCCCACGCCCCTTTGTAGGAGATCCTCATCAGCTGCCTGTGTTTTTTTGATTCATAGGTTGGGGCCAGAGCTCTGGAATTAGGCGTATGGGGCGCCTATTACAACATTATGATTAACATTCCAAATGTGGAGGAGGAAAGCTACAAAGAAAAGGTAAGAACTTTCTGATCACTACCTCAGTATTTTTTGGTATACATTTATCGTCTTCGTAACTACAGAAACAGGCTATATATAAAAAAAGAAATATTGTCATATCTGTAAATCTCGCACTGCTTTTTTTTCCCCAATTTGGTTTTAATTTTCTGGCAGGCAAGGGAGGACATTGAGACTGTCCTGAAGCTGGCAAAAGAGGGCGCCGCAGACGTGCTGAAAATTGTGGACGAACGTGCTTAAGACAGAGCAAGCTTAAGACAGTTGTGCATTCTGGGAATTCTGTCGGCCTGTATAATGTGTGCAAAATGTGTGAGTATATATTAAAGTTGGTAAAACCGTGCTATGTGGCGCTCAAGAATTTATTGTTCAAATTGAATTATTACTTGTTTTAGCATGAGTCATGAGCTTTCAAATGAGTCACCGAAAAGTTTTAAACTTTGAAATAGAAGCATTCTGTATTCGTATTTCAAAAATGTGAATATATATTTTTGTGTGCTGCACAAAAAATATTGTGTTTCTAGGAGACCAGGGTGATAAGCATTCACTTTTTTTTTTTCCTAATTTCTTTTTTTTTTTTAATAGTTTTTTTAGAATTGGTTATTTCAATTAAAAACAAAATTAAAAACAGTTTTCACATTTTAAATTGCCCAGTGTGAGTTTAGGTAGGGTACATGAAACATGATGCAATACCGTAGCAGTGCAGGTATAACAAGAATATTTGAGGCCCTCTTGTGGTGGTTAATCCCAACGTTTTATTATTTAACAAAAACCCCGAATAGTATTGTACTTACTACTTCATGCAAAGTTTAGGGACATGCATATATTTTTCTTCCAATACAGAAATTGTATGGCATATATGGTAAAAAAAAAAGTGTGATGACAATTTTAGTTTGGTTTTAATCAGCATTTCCGTTCTGTAATAGTGGTGTGTGTAACTGGGTAGCATGGCTTCTCTGGCATGTTTATATATAAAAGCAATGCGGTGAAATTGATGTTAAAAACAGTTTTTGTCTGTTGTAAAGGTAAACTTCCTTCAAAAGGAATGCATAATAAGCAATAAATGAAACAGCATGTTACATGTATATAACGCTGTAGATTAACTACAAAATGATTTAACACATGTAAATTTTCAAAAAGTGCCTTATCAAGTCGAAAAGACACACACAAACAAAAAAAGCTTGATGAAAGTAAAAGTTCTTTGTAATAAGCATATACTAGCTTTTAAAATATCCTTTTTGGAAAAAAAAACAAAATTTAATGTGGTTTAATACTTTATTTGGCCTGCAATGTCAGATTATATTTACCGTGCAGCTTGTGTAATGGATTTGGTGTTGAATAAAAATAGCAAAAGCTATTCAAACAAAAGTTAAAATGTCTCAGTTAGTTGCAACTGTGTCACTAATTTCTCTGCACATGCAGCCAATAAATGCATTCTTTTCGCTTTAGTCCAGTAATTTTATAAGCTGTGTCCTCTTCAAGGCCGGGGGTGGGGGGGGGAACCATTCAATGGGGATGCATGGTAGGGGTAGTTCCTTACAAAAACATTCATGCGTGACGAGTATAATCGAATGGACATGTTGGACAGTGAGCAACATAGAATTGAAGGTGCATTGTAAAAAGATCAAGCATTCCACAATTGTCTCCTTTTCATTGGCTGAGTTGACACTGGGGGGGGGGGGGGGAGAGGGGGGCGTTCGTAAGTCATTCTTGTGGTCAAAGTCGAGAACTAGAGTTTGGTTGAGGGGACATTAGGCGAAAGATCTTAAAAGTTACTTAAAAGAACAGCTCCACCAAAGAAAAATATACTTTTTAACCTAAAATGTTTGTGTCACGCTTTACTTCAGTCATACATGTATACTGAAATTCACTGTGAAATTGATATCAGTGTAAGGAAACGGCATTTTACCATAATGTGTGGCCACAGGAAAGGAACATGGTCTTTTACATATAATGAATATTAACATATATTAACATGTATTTACATATAATGAATATTATTTTCATAAATTTCAACAATTTCTGGGCAGGAGTACAAGTAGCATTTCTCCCCCACAGTAAAGGGAGGCTTGTTTTTTTATAGTTCTTGGTTATGCATGATGATAAATAATATTTTATAACTACAAATTTGTTAATACTTTAATAATTATCCTTTTGTATTTGCAATTGCGGCCAACCATAGTTGGCCAACAACTATGCAGTTCACGCATGCGTGAACGTAAATCATGTACCGCAGCTACCACACTTAATGTCCGACAAATTCAGGATTGCCGTTGTTTGCGCATCAATTTAAACCATCAAGCAAAGAAAACATGGTTTCATTGTGCCTTTGGGCCACTAAAGAATGATTCAGGCATGCCCAACAAGTTGTTCTGTCAAGCGATACTAATTGTTCCCTGCTGGTTGCAGGCATTCATCTGGTGATCAACTAACTTAAAGAGATTAAACCTCAACATAAGAGAGATAGGAATTCCTGGTGCAATCTTAATGAAACCAAAACACTCGAATAAACCGATATAAAAGAGGATTCACGGCACGCATGTAAATTCTCAATAAGTGCCTCAAGTCCAAAATGACATGGAAGCCCTGCTGGAAATTCATGATTCTTTGACAAATAAGCAGTTTTATTAGCTGTTCAAATATCATTTTTGAAAAAGAAGAAATTTATTGTTAGTTTAATAAACTGGTGAGTTTCTGAAATGCCATGATTTTGTTGGCCAAAGGATATTAAGAGATTTACCCACCTGTGTTTAACAGATTTGATGTTCAATCAAAAGGTGAATGTTTTTCAAAATAAATACGTCTCATTTTAGATTTTAGAAGGAATCAAATAAAATTTGCACATAAGAACTAATATTTGGTGATGCGGCACGTCAAAATATATCAAGTTAAGTGTATGTAGAATATATGACAATGTGGTGAAAATAATACAAACGATATGAGCTGCAGACATATATACAGTAACATCAGGCATGCAACTGGGAAGTCACAAAAAAAGAGGAAATTCAAATTTTTCCCAGACTTTGTACAGTGTTTTTCTATTTTCAATGGCACACATTGGAAGTAAAAAAAGAGAGGAAATCAGCTGATCCGAGGAAAAGTTGCATACCTGTAATATAGATGAAGATGTAAATTGAAAATTAAAGAACAAAATCTGTTGATATCAATTTGGCTGAATGAAGATAAAACAACTATAGTCGTTTTATCTTCATTAAAGTGGGGTTTGAACCTACAACCTCCGAAATGGTTCATTAGACTTCTTCAAAATATAAATTTAAAGGTATATGACGGTATTTGTGGTTGAAACTTAAAGTCACATTTGTGTAATTTAGCATCCTGAGGATGTTATTGTTATTTTGTTTTAAAAAGAACTTGTATAACTTACTTTAAAATATCAATTTACGATTTACAAAAATAATTTTCATTTGTGTGTGTGTGATTCTCTACACACAAATTAAATATTCGTTGCTTAATATGTTTAAATATCATTCAGAAATACCTAAGACAAGGTACCAATTCCTATTGGTCGAAAGCCTGTCACATGGGTGGTTTTAAACCACCAATAAAACATCACTGCGTTCTGCGCCACATCCCTAAGTGCACGTCGCACACGCGCCAATTTCCATAAAAGGAGATTTTTTCAGACCACGTGCCTATACCCGGACCATCCGGACACGTAACGCACCCCGGATGCTGACACGTAAAAAGACTAGCACGAGCGGCGAAGCCGCGAAGGCCTTTACTATCTCGTGGAACTAATCACTTATTCATTTATTCACGTAATATACATCAAGCAATATGAACCAATCATCTAATGGTGGTTTGCGGTTACCAGCAACAGCACCTACGCTATGGCGTGTGTGCTGTCTGGCGCCAGACGACGGCTGATTTACATTAGTAATGCTGCATTTTCATTGGTCAATTTACAACGGGTAATGCATTATGCATGTCTACCAAATCGGTAGACAAATGTAAAGAAAAACATAAGCGTTCTCCACGAGATGGTAAAGGCCCTCGCGGCTTTGCCGCTCGTACTAGTCTTTTTACGTGTCAGCATCCGGGGTGCGCCACGTGTCCGGGTAAGCGCGTGGGACTTGACTAAAGGGGCCTGGTCGCAGATAGTAACCCTTGCCTTCGGTTCCGGCTATTATCCCCGTCCAGGCCTCCCGCCAGTTTTAATCGTACATGTTTAAAACTGGCCAAGCACATATCTATTGCCTTAAGAATGTCAAAATACTGATTGATGAAACATTTGATAACATCTCTGACTTATATGCAGGTAGAAGAAATGATCGGGTACTGTACATGGTGGAAAACATAAAGTGAAACACGTTATCGACTTGATTCAACAAAACAGCTGCCTCTTTTTCCAAAAACTTCCTCCTTTTAACCGTTTTGCATTACAATTGAGGTTGTAGAAAGTTTCGCAATTCAATACAAAAGGTAAGACAATTTGCACATATACATGTAACAATGTCCTTTTTGATTATTCGGACACTTTTATTTAATTTTACATTTTGGGATTCATTCCCCACCCCCCCCCCCCAAATCTTCGCAGAATGAACTTGTACAACTCGCTGCATAGTTCTTCAAGGGACTTTTTTCTAAACTTAGCACACTTGGAGCACTGATCCCAATATGAAACAGCCTGGGAATGCCGGGTTCCAATAAAGGAACGCCAGGTTCCTAGTTAGGAGTGCCAGATATCTGAATATCAGGTTCCCATATAGGAATGCACATTTCCCATTTAGGAATGCCAGATTCCTATATCTGAGTATCAGGTTCCCATATAGGAATGCCAGTTCCCATATAGGAATGCCAGATTCCTATATCTGAATATCAGGTTCCCATATAGGAATGCCAGTTCCCATATAGGAATGCCAGATTCCTATATCTGAATATCAGGTTCCCATATAGGAATGCCAGTTCCCATATAGGAGTGCCAGATTCCTATATCCGAATATCATGTTCCCATATAGGAATGCCAGTTCCCATATAGGAATGCCAGGTTCCCATATAGGAATGCCAGATTCCTATATCTGAATATCAGGTTCCCATATAGGAATGCCAGGTTCCCATTTAAGAGTTCCAGATTCCTATATCCGAATATCATGTTCCCATGTAGGAATGCCAGGTTCCCATTTAGGAGTGCCAAATTCCTATATCTGAATATCAGGATTCCATTTGGGAATGCCAGGTTTCCATATGGAAATACCAGGTTTCCATTTGGGAATGCCAGGTTTCCATATAGGAATGCCAGATTCCTACATGGGAATGCCAGGTTCCCATTTAGGAGTGCCAGATTCCTATATCTGAATATCAGGTTTCCATATGGGAATACCAGGTTTTTATGACGGAATGCCAGATTCCTATATGGGAATACCATATTTCCATATGGGAATGCCAGGTTTCCATGAGGGAATGCCAGATTCCTATATGGGAATACCAGGATTCCATTATGGAATACCAGTTCCATTTATCGAAATGCTGGTATAGAAATATCAGGTATCAATGTGGGAATGCCAGATTCCTATATGGGAATACCAGGTTTCCATTATGGAATACCAGTTCCATTTATCGAAATGCTGGTAAAGAAATATCAGGTATCAATGAGGGAATGCCAGATTCCTATATGGGAATACCAGATTTCCATACGGGAATGCCAGGTTTCCATTCGGGAATGTCAAGGTGGCAATCTTGGAATACTAAATTCCCATATAGGGATACTTTCCTATAAACAAGCTTGCTTTACTCTTTTAATAAAAAAAAAGGAATAATCAAAATAAATTCCGGACCGTCCTTGATTTGGGCCTCATTTGAGTTTGATTCTCGGAATAATTATTCCCAATCGACAACTCCGGGATATTCCTCCTTGCCGATCGACTGTAGGATCGGAAACCCGTCTCCGTCCACGGCCTGGTCCGGATTGCAGTTGACACGGAAATACGCAGTGATTACTTGCTGATCCGTCCGTGTCATGAGAGTAAAGTTGAAGGTCGACCTGAGAGGGAGTAAACAACAACAACAAATTATCAACCAAAAAAGTAAACAGACTTGAAGATATTTGTACCAACAAATAAATTGTCATGGGTTGAATACCCTTCAACTAGCCTGAAAATAAATTTTTAAAATTTGACTCCCCTGTTTACATTGTGACTTTAGTTGTGTATTCATTAATGCCAAAGACAGTTTACCTTTTCCTATTGGTCGAGAGCCCATCACATGGTTAAATTCACCATACACCGGCACAGCTGCGTTCTGCACCACATCGCGCAGTACGCGCCACGCGCACGTCAATTGCCATATAAGGAGTTGTTTACAACTACTCATGAGACTGGACATAGAGGAGTGTCCCAAAAAATATGAAGTATAATAATTGCTGGACAAAATAGTTGGAAATTTATGATTTTTAACTTGTTTTAACTTTTGCACCAAACAATGTTGATTTTTTTTTTACCGAACAATGTTGATTTTTTTTTTACCAAAAAGGTATTTATGAATGGGAATAAATATGTGCTTGGCCAGTATTAAACACAATGAACCCGAGCGGGATCCAGACTCCAACTGGTCTTAAAACGTACTGTTTAAAACTGGCCAAGCATACATTTATTCACTGAATCAAATATTGGAAAACTAAAATGCATACTCACTGGAACATCATGTATATGAAACTATCGCGTGTTTGTATTGGACTGCAGTACTTGCTATTGATCAAAAACATAAAAGAAAAAAAAAGAGTATTAAGGCCAAAAAAAAAAAGTCTCCGGTTCTGGTATGCGCGCGCGTCGCCGTAGCCATGCGCGTCGGCAAAATGAAAAAGTTTTTTTTTCAATGAAAGATGATGCCTCAAAACCGCCAAACTCACTGGTTTGACTGGAATTCTGCTGCTGCGCAATTTCAACGTGGTTTTAGATGGGGTTATGATCGAGAATAAGCTTTTTGTGGCCTCTCTGGACTACCATATATTTGCACTAAGTTTAGTTGGGCACCATTTGCAGTCACCAGCCGTCATTTGAAGCAAAAAAGTCAGGTAAAAAAAAAAAACAAGTCGCGTCGCCGCACCACTTTTTGGACAAGCTCCATACCAGAAACCGGAGACTTTTTTTGGGGGGGGGGGCCTAAAGGGAATATACAACATTTGTAAACATCGAAAAATAAAACCACCAAGTTTTTACGAAATACTTTACTAGAATGTTGGTAAATGACAGTATAAAGCACCCTGTAAAATTATGGCACCTGGTGTCGAGTCATTTTCAAGAAAATAGTATTTTTGTATACATTTCCAACGGTGGTCGGCCAACCACCATTGGAAAGACCTAACTATTTTTCAACTACTGATCCACATTTACCATTTTTTCAGTCCAAATTTAGTTTGCTATTGGTTACATGTTCATGAACGGGTGCAGGCAGGCTAGACAGGTTCCCTTACCTTACAATTTTCCGGCATCTATAAATATTGATCTATTTCATCTTTAGTGGAGTCAGGGAACCAGACTGCTTGAACATTTTTGTTTTTCTTGGTTTTTCCGGCATTTTCGAACACAAAACTTCAAACACGTTGTAGAAATATGTGATCTATTATACCAACCCCTGAATAGTTAATTTCTGAAAATTACAACAAAAGCCAATGATGTACATTCACTTTAACATGCAATATGTCGTGGAATGTCTTTCAAAAATATGACTGTAAATTGGCACACAAGTCTAAAGTCATATAAAATTATAGCATTGGCTGGAATACAGTAGCATTCAATATTGGTACAATTTCAATAGGTCCAAGTAATTTTAACTCACACAGGGAAGTACTGGTTTGTCAACGTCATGTTAACGGGTTGTTTAAGCTGCAGAAGAAAGAAGAACAATGCCAAAATGAGATGTGAACACGCAAAGTTTGTTACTGATTAGGGTTGCCGAATATACCAGATATTCGATCATTCAACCGCATATTCGAAAAGCTTCTTGCCAGTTTGAAAATTCGAAAACCAAAAAAAACTACGTACATACAGGTGGGGTGGGGCAGGTGTGCGGCAGGGGACGCGCAGGGGGTGCAGAGGTGGATTAGGGAGGGGGTGCAGGTGGAAGATGGGTGGTGGATAGGGTAGGGTGGTTGGAGTACTAGGTGTGGTCGAGAGGGGTTCAGAAGCGGCAAGAAGAGTTGGGGTGGGTTAGGGTGGAGGTTGGGGTGGAGAAGGGGTGGGGTGGAGGGGGGGCAGGGTGAGGTGAAGATGGGGTGAGGGTTGGGTGGGGGTGAGGGTTGTTTGGGCTGAGGGTGGGGGTGAGGGTAGGGGCGAGGGTTGGTTGGGGGTGGAGGATGAGGGTGAGATTGGGGGTGAGGATGTGGGTGTGAGTGAGTTTGTTTCTGCATTCAATAGGGGACGTTGAACAATAGAGGACAGCAGGGTCCCCAATTCCCGAAGGTCCCCAATTTGGCGATTGTGTACGAACCATATGGGAGGTCTTCCTAAAAAGTACAAACAAAAGAGGGACAATAGGGGGTCCCTGATTGCAGGCAAATACACCCTTGTCTGTGTGGGTGAGGTTGGGGGCAGGGGTGGGGGGTGGGAGTTGGGGGATGAGGGGAGAGTGGGAGGGGGCAGGACAAGGTGGAGGAGGGAAAGAAGGTTCTACTCACCAGTTCCGTGGCTCTGATGGGTACCGCTTCATTCTTGACAAATTTCTCGGTCGTAATGATCTTGTTGTGGAACAGGACAGTGACTTGCAGTTGAATGTCATTTGTGGTCACCGACACAAAATTGTTATTGGTGATGTTGTAAAATAACTGGAGAAAAAAAAAAATGGAAAAAAAATTCGGATTGAAATGAATCAGACTCAGACAAGGCCAAAAAAAAAAATAAGTCGGTCTCTGGTCAGCGCGCGCGTCGATTTTAATCATTTTTTTTTTTTCCAAAATGTTCCGCAGTAGCTCCAACAGCGCCCTCTATTTCCGCACCTCCTCAATTTTTTTTTACCAAAGAGCACCAAGGAATGGAAATTGCACCAGGCAAATGATCGAAAGCACCAAGGCAAATTATGGAGGACACCAACGTACATGAGGACACCAAAAAAGCACAATAGTACCTCCCTTGTCTGTACAATCCAAGCTTGAAGAAGAAAAAAAAAAGCAAAAAAAAAAAAAAAAGCCGCTTGGCCGCGTCAATTCCGGAACTTTGGTCTGACCAGAGACCGAATATTATTTTTTTTTTGGCCTAAACATTATACAACAAAACCTTACACATCAATTGACCTGGGCATTAAACAATCACAGCTGACCATCTGGGATTTCAAAACCAAGAAGCGGACGGAAAAAAATCAGTTGATCAACCTGAAGCTTTGGGCGCAATAACTAACCATCAATTCCAGTGCGCAGGTGTCATGTTCATGGGACGTCGACACGTTCAGATCGACGTGGAGGGTGGTGACGTTGTCGTGAACGACGTCTACTGTCCGTGGTATGAGGAAGGCACACAGGGTTCCGGCGAGAACAACGCACAGCAGGAACGAGAGAAAGACATAGAGCCAGCTGCGGAGAGATATAACCGATATTCAGAAAAAGAAACACATGAAATGAACAACGTATTTCTCCTTTAAAGCTATAGTCCATCATTTGCAGCCATCCGAAAAGTAACTGGCGTAATTATTGTTGAAAAACAAACTTGGTTGAAAGATAGTAAGGGAACTAAACTCCCTGTGAAATTTTTCTTTCTGGGAAGCTGTCATTTTGAAGTAATCAACGAAAGTAGGCATTTCCAACGGTGATTCTTAAGAAGCACCATAGGAAAATTTAAATTAGTAGTTCGTTTTGTTATTCAGCGCAGCGCGCACAAGTATTGGAACGACGCACAGGCGCGCGCGGTTGTTATAATTCGGCGGATCAGTGCGCGACAGTGGAATTCAAAACAATTCAAAACATGATTCAGTAACTTTTGATTTGAAATTGAGATCTTAGAATGCTGTTTTTCTCGGAATGTACAGCTGAAGCTTAGCTGAAACTTCATCAGGTTAGTTGCTCAGTATCCTTCATTAGATATTGAACTCTTTTGTTGCTTCAAACGAACAAAATGCACAAATTGCAAATGATGGACTGTAGCTTTAACAAGCTCGATCGGATCTCGGAAGCTGCGGGCCAATGAATTTGTGTTCACCTTATTTTGACCTACGACTCCATAGCTGTAGGTCAGATGAAGAGGTCACGATGGACATTCTTTAACCCTAACCGCCCTGAATCCTCCAAAATCCTTTTTGCAAATTGGAGGAATTTGCAGGATTGAGGTTACATGGCAAAAGTGCGTTGCTGATTTCAGAGTACGCACTGTGTCAAGGTCTTGGGCCGGACCTTGTGTTGTTTATGCTCAGCCGTGCATAAATTTAGTCCTTGATTATACTTGACATCCTCCGCACTGCTCCAGGATGTCACTGCCTCTGCCTCAGCCTATTGACAGTCATAGTCGGAGGATTTTGCAGGATTCAGGCAGTGGTCACCCCTCCATGGACCATATTCAAGAAATAACGGAGGAATTTGCAGGATTGAGGCTATATGCTATTTTTCCATGAGGCCAATTGGAGGATTCTGCAGGATTGAGGCTACATCCTAGCAAAAATGCCTAGGGAGTTAGGGTTAATGTTTGACCAAGGCCAACATGTCGACAGCGCTACTTTTGTCATTTGAGCTTCTTGGTCACGTGACATTTTGGGGCTGGGCTTCTGATACTTGTGACAAAGTTTGGTTGTAAGCAGTCAAAATATGTTGGAGCAATAGACACTGTCAACGTTTGTTACTTACTAACTAACTAATGAACGGACTAACTGAGAGAAACGATGATTTGAAAAGCTGCTACCCGCAGCCAAAAAGTCAACTTTTTGGAGCAATTGAATAAAAAAAAAGACAAAATAAGTATCGCTACATGCCAGTTGGTTTGTTCCCACTTACGTTCTTCGGGGTTTCAGCCGCTTGTCATTGTATGGAATAAGAGCTACAAGATCATCTTCCTGCCCTGTTTGGAAAATATTATAAGCAAAGAAAGTGAGCAAAATAATGTTCAACTAAATAGCTTTCTTGGTTTCAAGTTTGAAGCCCAATTTTACTCAATTCTCCTTTTAGGTGACAACTTGCCAGTGAGATTGGGATGGTTGTTCTTTTATAAATACCTTTCCGGTCAAAAAGTCAAAACAAGTCAAAAATTGTGAATTTCAGACGATTTTGTTCAACAAGTTTACCTCATGTTTTTCGAAACACCCCTCTCGCCATGTTATGGTATGTCCCTCCTGAGAGTAGTCGTAAGCAACTCCTTATATGGAGATTGGCGCGTATTGTGCAGTGCAGAATTTAGGACTCGCGAAACACAGACCATTGGTAGTATTGCGCATGCCTAAGTGAAGATTGTGTGAACGTTCCACCAATAAAAGGGTAAAAGGAACCAGACTTCATAGTAGTCCAAATTTCATGTGACACCGGGAAAGTGTTTAAGACCAGCCAGCCGATGTTTTATTGACCGTTTAAGATTTTTTATTGACCGCATTCCAGCGATCAGGCATGAGAATAAATTTCAATGGAAAAAACAGGAAACTTGTGCAAAAACAGGAAAAAATATGTGAAATCAGGCCCAAAAAAACCCAAAACAAGCTCAAAACAAAAACGCAGGAATTTGGGCAAAAAAAAAAAATGGGAATTCCTGTTTAAACAGGAAGATTCTCATGCCCGAGGGATAACTTATAATTGTCTGGTCCCTCAAAGAACAAAGCCTTACCTCTGGGGATCTTCCCCGTTCCTTGACACGTCGGACATGTCAGCCCACTGCCTAGCTCCTCGTACGAATACATTGTCCCCGACGCCCGTGCGCTCGCCGCTGGCGAGACTGGGTTGGAGTTCAATCTGTCCTTTACGTCATTGGCTCTGTTGTTTTTATCGATGGTGGAGTAGTTACCGCTACTGGAAGACATGGAATCCAGGATGGGTCTGCTTGGATCGGAATGTCGTCAGGGCTGATGACGTAGCCACTCATGCTAGTAATAGGCTATTAATACCAGAACAAGTACCCTGAAAAGGAAACGTTGGTCTTAAATTCTCACCAACGGTTCTTGAATTTCACCTTCAGTTCGGGAAACATCGTTGTAACACACGCCTTGTTTGAGGCTGCCGTTTTGAATTCAGGAAAAGTAGACTTGTACATGACTCTGGCTGGACTTTCCTGGGAAGCATCAGACAGACCACTCACAGGGCACTTTGATTGGTCACCTGACCTATCACAGGGCACTTTGATTGGTCACCAGTCCAGGTGACCAATCAAAGTGCCCTGTGATTGGTCTGTCTGATGCTTGCCAGGAAACAGTCTAGCCAGAGCCATGCACAAGACTACTTTTCCTGAATTCGAAATGGCAGCCTCAAACAAGGCGTGTGTGACAAGGATGTTTCCCGAATTGAAGGTGGAATTTCTCTTTCTTTTCTTCCCAAAGGTATGTGAACCTAACCACCACCATTTGTATTTTCAATTCCCACTGAAGCCTACAGGAGTACAGGGGTGCATAAGGCAGTTTGAAGACTGTTTTTGGGTAGCCCCATAAATGTGGCCTATTTACTGGACTGCCTCCGTAAACATAGGCCACACATCCACATGTACAAAAATCGTGTCGACTTTGCCAAATTTTGATTTTCACATTTAGGCTTAGTTTGTAGGGGTTTTTTGCTTTAGAAGCATACTCACCCTCTTTATAGGCTAATCAGAAAGTGCTGCCTTTTTCAGATGTCTAATTTTCGTGAAATTTCCAGATTCATTTTTACACGTTTGTGTATCAAAATTTCAACATGAAATTTCACAAAAATTAGACATCTGAAAAAGGCAGCACTTTCTGACTAGCCTATAAAGAGGGTGAGTATGCTTCTAAAGCAAAAAAATCCTACAAACTAAGCCTAAATGTGAAAAATCAAAATTTGGCAAAGTCGACACGATTTTTGTACATGTGGATGTGTGGCCTATGTTTACGGAGGCAGTCCAGTAAATAGGCCACATTTATGGGGCTAGTTTTTGGGGTGAAATCTGAAGATTTTGATTGGGGGTACGAGTGGAAATGGTCAAAAACAATTATTAGTAGACGCAATACGGCCATTGATTTTGGACTCTCGCCGGACCGACCATGTCCAAATGTTAAAAAAGCAATCCAGCGTAGACGGTAGAGTCCTACTTTACTCCGACAACCCAGTTAGTTAGTACGACAGTCAATAGGGCCTATTCTGCTGAGTGCTACTGACTATTGTCTCGGGGAAATATGTCCTAAAAAGTCAAAATTAGCAGGGACAAATTTTGAATTTTTACTGAGAAAACACTTTCAGACCAGTGGTTTGTGCACAGGCAGGACAGGTGACAAGTGAATTGCCAGATATGGGAATGTTTCCTGTCTCTTTTTTTAAAGTAAAATTATATATGCTTTCCAATAACAATAGTAATACTCACCTTATGAACCTGTTACTGTGGGGATATGCCTACGTACGTGCATTTCGTGTAAAACAATCGTCAGTTTCCACCGCAAGAAAAAATTATCCGCGTCTGGTCATGTGAATGTTCTTAATCTTGACTTGTGCAAAGTTTACAGAGCGCCCTCTATAGACTCAAAACGACAATTGTTCAACTTGGGGGCGGGGTACATGTGAATGCCCCCCCCCCCCCCCGAATAATATGGCATCCTTCCAAAATGTTTTAGGATATCAGAAATTATGAAAAGCAGGTTCTCTAAAAAGTTGAATTCTTTAACAACATTGACCCCCCCCCCCCCAAAAAAAAACCCTTCCTAACAATTAAAGCAACTTGTGTCCCTTAGGAGGACACTTTACTTCAATGTATTTTTTTCATGACAGAAATTGGGTTGCCAACTCCATGATACAACTGATCAAAAGCAAAATCGTTTAACTCCTAAATTGTCATTTTTTCTTTCATGACATTACAATAAGTAAACACAGTACATTTGGCAGGGCCCTTGTGAAAATAAACAAAACCACAAAAAAAATGTTCTTTTCATAAAGAAAACATTCAGACGAAAAAGGAAATAAAACAGAAACTGACAGTATAGTGTCACAACAGAATAAATCTATTTTCCAGTGATACTGGAGAAAAAAATCTGAAATGTTTTATTGAGAAAGTGTTCTTCAATGTATGTACAATAACCATAATAATATTAATAACAATTTTCACAATCAACACATTTACAGGTTTGGTATACGTTTTCCAACGTCCAATAAGATCTACATGTACTGTACACGTTTCTAAGAATAACGACATGTTAACAATAACCCCCTGCACAGATAACATTTAAAGACTGACCAGCCGATAACATAAAACTTGTCGATCAGACTTATAACACATTTTGCCAAAATCGTCCAAACAACGGCCTCAGCAAAACCAATAGACATAATTTTGATTTTCATTTACAAAACGAACGATTTCTAGTTTTGATCCTTCACACCGTGCTTCCTAGCATTCATTGGTGCAATGCTAGAAACATTTTTAAACCCTTTAAAACAAATGTTAACACTGGTCTGATAATCCAAACTTAAAACGTTTCATAACAACACTTTACTTTTTTCTACAAAGCATTTTCCAGTACAAAAATACCATTTTACTATTTTGGGTGAAAGATCTACAGAAAATGGCTAAGTGAACAACAGATCCCACCCCACCCCAGCCCCCTCCAAAAAAAATAGGGCACTAAGGAACATCCCTAAAACTGGGGGGAAAAAACAAATTTGCTTAGTTCCAAAAATTATATGTGACAGCCCAACTTCTCATATGCTCAAGCAAGCACGTCATAATGTTTCAGGGACAATCTTGAAATGTGGATTGTTCTCATCTAATACTAGAAACACCAATTTAAACAGGGCAGCATATTCGGTAGAAATGCTCTGGGGATAATTCCTAAGCGGCGAAATCATCAAGGCAACTTCACAGCACTGTTATGCATGCAGAAATTGCCGCTGAGTAGATTTCACCAGCTTTAATCAAATTGGCTGAGGACCAGTTACAACTGGCATGCCAACTGTTACATTTTTGGCTGGTTCCCGGTGCAAATTGGCCAAGCGCTCAATGTCACTCAGTAAGTGTGAGTAAGGAATGCTACAAATTTCACAGTATGATGAAATCATTTCTAGTCCAACGATTTGACTAACTTGTCATCTAAATATGAAAGACAATGACAAAGAAAATTTATTTCAAAAAATCCGAAAATTATGACAGACAGGCAGCCTCAAGAACTATCCTATTCATTAAGAAAACAAGACAATAAATGCATTAAGTTTGACAATTGCAACCGGCAAAACTGATTGGCAAAATTAAGAATTCTGATATCTGGTTGTTTTTCCTTTGGCATGAAGAAATATGCCTCTTTCTCCAAAGCTTGCTTGTTTTCAACAGAAACACAGATTTGTTATATACCGATACATACGTAATCACAATTTTTACCATTTCTCATCTTTAACTGGTTTCCCGTGGAAAGGAATAAAGTTCTAAAATATACACCAAAAGATTGACATACGACATGTACAATAAAACACCACTAGTAAACATCCAGCGTGCTAGGGAGTTAATCTCTTGATTGAACCAATATACACCCAGTACCAAAAATTTTACTCCCTAGGCTATTTATATTTATAAAGTTCATCGTACAAACTGGCATTAAGCAAAAAATTATGTACAGTGATAAAAATGATGTCTGCATTTTCTCGAGACCTTTTTTTTTTTGCACACATTAGACAAAACACTGTATTACAAAGCTTGCAAAAAATTCTTTTAGAGTTTGGAGAAAAACTTTCAACTGATAATTTACTGTTACTTTTTATTTCGCACCAAACGTTAATAATGGGAACACAAGTTCATATCTCAACGACTTAAATGAATTAAAACCGACCAAGAAAAAATTGGATAGATTTCACTTGCTAAAATGTTTTTTTTTGTCACTTTGGTGTCAATTTTGTATATTTCTTCCAAGAACAGTTAAAAACGAAAGGCTCTTAAAAAAATTACAACTTCAAGTATAAAAAAACCCCAAAAATTAAAAAGACGCTTTCAAATTGTTTTTGTTCAAAATGGAAAACTTTAAAACTGGTCAAAAAGTTTGCAGCAAATGCATTACAAGTGGAAAATGATAAAACATAGCTTTCAACTTAAAAATCAAAACAAATTTGTAAAGAAAATACAGACACTATTCACAACTAAATCAGAAAGTAAGTAATAACCTACAAAATGAATGTCAACCTTATAAAAGGCAACCAAAAAGTAAATAAATAATTACAAATGTAACTCAAAATTCCCTTTTGGCGAAAAAAATCTTAGAAAAAAAACAAACCAGAGAATTTTGAAATTTATCTCCAAGATAACTGCAGGCATGCAACGGGGAACTTAGAAAAAAACGAGGAAACTCCAAATCAGACAAGACTTTGTACAATTTTTTTCATTTTCAATTTGTAATGGTATTCATGAGAAGTAAACAAAAACAGAAAAAGTCAGTGGATCCAAGGAAAAGTTGCATGCCCATAACTGGCTCTCAGCTAGTCAATTCTACAAAAATGTACAATTCTTTTGGTCACAGGAACGTGAAATGAGTCACTAAACATAAAAAACGATGTCAACTTCGACTTAAATTGAAACAAAATTCTTTACCGGATTTCTTTTGGTTTTAACCCTCCCATGCAAACATACATTCTGTGCAAAGTTGTCCTTTCAGTCAAAATCAATCAAGTGACTGCTTTCAACAGTTAACAGCTCCCAGCCTACATAAAGCAGGATTGACTGCCTGTGACTGTTTTAGAAACTTGATACAGCTATGCTTTGACTGTAGGTGATTGATATTAGCCAGCTGTGCCTACCACTTGCCTGCTTTTGTCTGCTGACTGAATTTGACTAGTCACAGTGCTTGCTTGAAATATGATCTGACTGTTGGTGACTAGCGTGTGTAAAAAGGCATGGCAGGGGAAGAGGATTGATTTTTTTGTGACTTTCTGTGACTGTTCAGACAGCAGGAGGGTTAACGACCCATTTCACGTCACCTCACGCCTACACTATTCTACTGAGTAAACATAATGAAGTCACTCTTCAATATGTAGAGAAGATGATTCTAATTAAAGGGAATATACATCATTTGCTTTTGCTGTAATTTTCAGAAATGGATGGAATTGGGGGGTTGGAAATATAAAGCAAATATAGTTACACTGACTTTTTGGAGGTTTTGGGTTCGAAAATGCTATAAAAACCAAGAAAAACGATCATTTTCCTGTAGTCTGGTTCCCTGACTCCATATAAAAAGAAACAGAGCAGTTTACATACATTGGGGAATTGTAAGGTCACGGAACCAGTCTAGCTGGCTCGTACCCGTTCATAGGTTTGTAATCGATTGCAAACAAGTGCAATGGTCAATTGGGGCCAGTATTTGAAAAAAAAGCCAGTTGTTTCCAACGCTGATCGGCCGATCAGCGTTGGAAATTGATACAAAAATACCACTTTTCTTGAAAATGACAGTATACCAGGTGCCATAATTTTACAGGATGCTTTAGACTGTCATTTACCAACATCCTATTAAGGTATTTCGCAAAAACTTGGTAGTTTTATTTTTCGATGTTTGCAAATGTTGTATATTCCCTTTAAATGAAATAAAGAACAAAAAACAAAAATAACTTTATCGGTAAAGAAACTTCCCACACTTTACCCTTGGTTCTAGGGGAAGGCAACATGCAAAACAAATTTTTATCAGAACAAAGCTTCTATATGACTTGGTAACAGTTTTGAACATGAAATTTTCATACTTTTTTGTTTTATACAAATATCTACTTTTGTTCCCTGAAAAACCTTACTTTATACAAACCGTGACTACAGGTACACAAACACTGGACAACACTAGTCTACTTTCACATTATATTTCCTGAGTCTCATTCTATTTTTCTTTAGTTTTGTATTTGTTTCTGTACAAAAAAGTGTTGGATTGTGACCATCAAAAAACACTGGAAAAAAAAAAAACTTTTCAATGTGCCAAAGGGTTCTTTCTGTTATAAAAAAAAATTCCACCTTGTTAAGATATCAGTACCATTATAAAATGTTTGTCATTTCTCCATAAACAATCTAAAAAAAAAAAAACTTTAAAGGGTTTAAAGCTACAGTCCATAATTTGCAGCTATCCAAAAAGTAACTGACGTAATTATTGTTGAAAAGCATACTTGGTTTAACGATAATAATGGACTAAACTCCCTGTGAAATTATTCTTTCTGGCAAGCTGTCAATTTGAAGAAAACAATTAAAGAAGGCCTTTCCAAAGATGTGTCTAAAGACACATCTTTGGAAATTTCCGTTATTAGTGTATTTTTAATTCGGCGAAGCGCACGCAACTGTTGACACAATGCATACGCGCGCGCAGTTGTTACAATTCATTGGTTCAGTGCGTGACATTGCATAGCTGCAATCGGCTGGATGAGAGTGTGTCCCAGATGCTGAATTCGGGCGTGATTCAAAACATGATTCGGCAACTTTTGATTTGAAATTGAGATCCTAGAATATTGTTTTCTCAAAACATACAGCATTCACTGAGCTGAAACTTCGTCAGGTTAGTTGTTAAGCACCCTTCTTTAGATTTTGAGCACTAAAGTTGCTTTAAACGAACATAATGCACAAATAACAAATGATGAACTGCACCTTTAAAACACTGATATGTTTGCTATACTGGCAGGGAAAAAAATGAACATTTTTTGGCACAGGCTTCGGGTTGATAAAAAGCTTTCTCACTGTTTGGGATAAGGATACCAAATTAGTGAAATTAATTTCAAAAATATATATAATACTGATTTCAGTGCGCTACTTAAATGTCATCAAAAGTCACTTAAGTAAACATTTAAAATGCCGTATAAAAAAATGAGGAACTGTTTTTATATTTAATGAATTTGGAACAAAATGGGTCTTAGGCATCATAGAGTTTGTTTGGAACATCACAGAAAATCGGAGTTAAAAAAAATCTGCGATGACCGTTGACTTGTGCAACACTTTTTGAGAAGTTTATTCTTCGTTGCCATGTAAGGTCACGTGATCTCATTTCCCGGGGCCAATAGAGGGCGCTTTGGTAACTTTTCAGCAAATTTGCGTAGAACTGATACAAAAACGATTCCCGGCAAATGTCTACATTTCATGTCCCAAATTTTTTGGTCATTTTTTTTTTTTTTTTACAAAATGGGTCTTATTATTTGAGGGAAGGGAACACAATGATAAAAGTCTCCTAAATTTTTTGTTAAGTATTATTTTTATTACAAACTTACGCTAAGCAGTTAACTTGATGCTAGCTCTTGTCTTTAGAACTTGTTTGTCGTCTCTCGCCTCCTCTTGGACTCTGACCAAAAAAAAAAAAATTTGCCAAAAAACTTCAAAATTTTAATTTTTAACAACACTTTTTTTTCACCACATGTCTAGTTTTTTTTATATTTTATTTGTGTGAATATTCGAACCGGCAAAAAGTTATTCGAATGTTTAGTTGATGATCGAATATTCAAATATTCAGTATATTTGGGGCAGCCCTAAAATGTTACTCCCAGATTTCTATAAATAGATTACAGTCTATTAGTTTGTACAGACTCTGTGCAGTAAATAGTCCTGTTTCTATTTATAAACAATGATGTCATGTTTCTATTTATGGAACAATGATGTCATGTTTCTATGGTATGGAATGATGTCGTACCTTGGGTCTGCTGGTGTTCTGTGGCTGGGTGTGTGCCGTCAGCGTCTGTAGTTCCCCATTGAGGGGCATGATGGTGGTTGTAGTGGTGGCCGTTCCGATGCCAGTGGGGAGTAACACCGACAAGCCCAGCCCGGCTTGGTTCTGTGTCTGCATCATCTGGTACACTAAATGCTGATGCTGTTCCTGTTGGAAACAGAACAGCCAAAATCGGATTGTTACAAATTATAAATGAAGGGCGGAGAGATAGCGATCTCTAATTGGGGGGGGGGGGACGGAAGAGAGAGGGGAAGGGGGTAGGAGGAAGGTTGACGGGGACGTCCAACTTACAGGCGTCAGATGTTGCTGAACCAGCGTGCTAAGGTGTGGATGCTGGAGGACCATGGTTGGATGTGAACCAGCGTTGACGGTCGGTAAACTGAGCTGATCGCGACTCGTGCTGTCCCGACTGGAGTGAGACGACTCAGTGCTCGTGCTTTAGAAATGCAAATAAAGAAATGAACGATAAGAGTTAACAATGTGTTCCTTATAATTATGGAGCTTTATACCAAAGTCTCAACAGTATATTACAATTATTACCCCCGTTCATCAAACCATGACTCGTTTTCTGCAGCGACTCAAAATGAGCTTGAACTGTCAATAGTTCCAGACCAGAGATTTGGGTGAGGTCTAAGTGTAAGTACTAACCTGTCTCTTGATGGCACTCGTTTGTGGACGTCAGCCCCGTGACCCGATGACGACCCTTGACCCAAGGTCGTCTTGACCTGCACAGGGGTCGCCCGGTCCTGGCTGGGGGTCATGCGGCCCGGCGGCGCGTGACCCGGCGTGAGCCGCCCGGGGGGAGGGGTGGCCTGCCCGTGACCGGAGACGACCTGGGTCGCGCTGTGGGTCGCGGAGACCCCCGTGGAAGTGTGGGAAGGGTTGGCGGGGCTGTGGCGCGCCGTAGAGGAAGACTGGGCCACGTGGTGCGCCACACCGTTGTTCTGCGGGGTGCTGGACGGGTGCAAGGGTAGCTGGGCGTGGTTGAGGCTCATGTTAGGGGGCGTGGCTTGGGAGGGCTGGGAGGCGGGGAGGGAAGGGGACTGGTTGTAGGAGTGGTTCAGTGAGTGGTTGAGGCTCTGGGTGCTACTCCGACTGCTGTTCAGGTCCTAGGAGAAACAAGATATAAGCAAAATTTAGAGATTAACAGAACACGTTACCAAATTAAAAACAGAGCATGTGTCGGAGGACGAAATTCAAAAACCAAAATTTTATAACTGTCTACCTGGCTACTTGCGCTCAGCGTCGTCACATCCGAATGGATCACGTTATTGAACCTCGGACTCCGCCGCGAGTTGGCGTTCTCGGGCGACCCACCCTGGTTCAGAGGTCGCGAGAGCCGGAGGTTGACGGCAAGCAAGTGATCACGACGCTGGACCAGTGACAAGATGTACTCCTCCAAGCGCGTGTTCTCCTGCCGGAGCTGGTACAGGCAGGACAGCAGAGAGGCGACTGCGGAAGACAAAAAAAAAAGGTGAGTGGGACGTGAACCTTCGACCACTAAACTCCAATTCAAGTGCACCACCACTAATAAACTCCCGGCACAGCTGGTAAGGGCATGACAACAGGGATCAAGCAGAATGAGATATGAACCAGAGACAATCAGATTGCAGCTCCAGTGTGTTACGAATAGGTACCATTCTACAATATCAACTCCCTGCATGGCAAATGAGTAAATGGGATATGAACCAGAGACCATTCAGCTGCAGTTCCAGCGCACTACTGATTGTTTCAATCCAACCTAGAGAAATTCCCTGCACGACAGGATAGCAGGGAGGAACTTGTGGGAGTGTCGAAAACTGGAAATGCGAGCGAATTGGATGTGAACCAGAGACCATCAGATTGCTGTTCCAGTGTACCATCGATTGGTTCTATCCACTGCTAAGGACACCCTACATAACAGAACAGCAGGAAGGCAACTAAGGGAGCAGAAAATGTGAGCAAACGGGATGAAAACAAGAGACTACCCCCTTCCCCCCCCCCCTCCCCCCCAAAGGAGAATCACTTACTGTCGAGATGAGTGGCTTGCTGCATGAGAAATTCAGAGCCTTGGTCCCATTGTCGCTCTAATAACTGCTCCATGGTAGCTGGCATCCCAGAACTAAAATCCACCACACAAAAAACAACAACAATATCAGAGCAGTTACTAAATCCCTCTAGCTAATTCTGTAATCAATGTGTACCTTTCAGTTATCTGTATTGCATGTATCCCCTTCTCTCAAACAATGATCAGACTTGAGATAATAATAATAATATTAATACCGGCGTCTCATATAGCGCACGTATCTACCAACTATTAGGTACTCAAGGCGCTGGAGATACGTTTATTATTAAAGAAAGGTAAATAAAGTTTATGAGAGATATGAGACCCATTATGTAGCACCTTATAAGGGTTCACAAGGTGCTGCGGGGCATATTATAGCCACTGCCAGAAACACCGGGGCAAACCCCTTCTCTTAGCGATAAGTGTTACTGGGTTCTTTAACGTGCATTACACAACACACGGGACATACGGCTTTACGTCCCATCCGAAGGACGAAGCAATAATGGTAAAGTGCCTTGCTGAAGAGCACAAGCACCATGTTCCCACAGTCAGGATTCGAACCCATGTACCACGGCACACGAGTCGAACACCGTAACCATTGGACCACAGCACCCCACAGAGATCCACAATTTGAAATGGGATAAATGTGTGTGTTTTTTTTTTCTGTCTTACGGTTGGTTGGCTTCTGTATGCTGCCGGTTATGGAGTGCCGCCAGCCGCGACTGTGGCCCGATGAGTCCACTCTGTCCGGCCATGTTGAAGACATCTTGGATTGTAGAATCTTCTGTGAAAAGGAAACAGTTGGACAATGAGGCTTTTACCATTTTATTCAGTACTCCTCTGAACTGTATGCCTCGGTCGTGATATCCACTAACAAGTCTCATTGCTAGTGAATGCACAAAAATGGTGGGAAAATTACCGCGCGCCAGTTTTCAGTTTTAACACTCGTTGATTTTGAAAGTTTAGTGTGCTCTGCCATTATAGCTATTTGTCCTGGAGAAGGGATCAAGGTGAAACTTGAGACATGTGAGAACGTTGTGTTTACCGTGATTGACAGCCGGGCTCAGGAAGCTTGGCATGGATGCCGCTGGATACAGCGGAGAATTTAAGCCACCGCTGCCACCAGGTCCGCTGAAGCTTAACCTCGGCATGCCTATCCCGGAGGGGCTTCCCACGGATGATCCGCTGGACCGCCTCTTCTTGTTGGGCACGCCGTCTCCCCCACTCAGCGACCGCATCGCCGACCGTGGCCGGTTCATCTTGCTGTCTTTCCGCTTCGCGCTTCGGTGCTTCTTCCGTTCCCGCTTGGTAGCCTCATCGCCGCTGCTGGAAGTTGTGGATATTGCCGCTTTGGAGCTGGAGGGTTTGTGGACGACCGGCTTGGGGGTGATTATCTTGGACGTTGGAGGGAACGTCGGTGTTGGAGAAAAGGTCGGCGTTGGAGGGAAGGTCGACGTTGGAGTGAACGTCGGGGTCGGGGGATCGGGTGAAGTCTCCTCCTCCTTCTCCTTCTTCTTGCTGGGCCCATCTTCCTGCTGCTCCGATTTGTACTTGGCCATGAATTCCTCATAGGCATCTGTGTAGGAGGTGGTTTTACCTGGTCCAGTCCTGGAAGGTGAGGAGGACATAACGGTCTCGACGTCCACTGTGGGAGTCTCACGGGATTTCTCAGGTGGTAGGTCCTTGACCATGACTGTTTCTGTGACCACCATAGGGGTTGTGGGAGTTGGTGTGGCGGGGTTGGATTTGGATCCAACCTTCTTCGACTTGGTCGGTTTCAGACTGGAGGTGGAATCCTCTGCTGACTGATTGGGGGAGGAGACGCGTTCAGAATAGCTGACGCTGAACTCCGAACCACCTAATTTTGACGATGCAGCTGTAGACTGGTTGTCACCAGAGCCAGGTGCATCTAACTTTAGCGAGCTACTCTTCCGACCCCTGTGACCAGGCTGAGTAACAGTGTTCCGGGTGAATTTCAGGATCAAGGAGCTGTCGCCTGAAGATGGATCCTCTGCTGAGGCAGACGGAGGTGTCCCTGCAGGACCAATGACAGTCTCGGTAAAATTGGCGTTGGTAAACTTCCCAGAGGAGTCTTCCTGCTTTCCACCACCACTGGGAGAGCTGGATGCAACTGTCACTGACTTGGAGTCAGCGGCATGTGCTTCTGTGAGACGTGCCTCCGCGGCTTTAGCCTCAGCTGCTCTAGCCTCTGCAGCACTTTCCTGCTGTGCCAGCAGGGCAGCACTGGCCTCTGCTATGCAAAACCTGTTCTTGCGTTCGGGTTTCCCCTTATTGACCTTCTCAAGTCTCAACTTTTCTGACTTGTCCGTTTTATCTGTCTTTATATCAGTCTTATCAGAAGGCCTTTCCGCTGCCTTTTCGGGGGTGCTGTACGCACTGCCAAGAGGCTTGAAGGGAGGTATTGTCTTGATATCCTTGTTTTTATTCTGAAAACAAACAAGCGGCATATCGTAAAAAAGCAATTTGACTACCGTATCTGGAGCAGCAACAGCAACAACAATGATGATGAAACAATTTTTCAGAATCAGAGAACTCCACATTTTCACAATTCTTATAGAACCACAGACCGTCAAAGAAGCTGGTCCTAGAAATTACAATTCTTACCAACTTGGTGTAGTGATATGAGCAGTAACCTGTGTATTTGACGTTATCGTTGTATGGTCCAGCCTCCTCGCACAACAAGCCGTCCTGCTGGGCACTGGGGAAACACAAGCAAAAACCACACACATCATACGCAAAAGACCGAGAAAGTGGTACAAACAGGCTGCAAGTAGAAAAGAGTTGACATTTTTCATGATCTTGTCAGGGAAACGATTGTGTTCAGTTGGCTATTTTGGCTTGTGTGCCATACTATGGACCCTGAACAAGTTCCATTGAATCAGTGACAACACAAAACAATGGCACAAGTTAATCCTGAGGTCCCTCCCGATTCCTTCAAAATCTACCAGGAAGTTTTGTAGGATTTTGCAGGATTAAGCGCTTTCAGGAATGTTTGATTCATATTACGCTATATAAATGCTGTTTCATTATTACTATTACTATTACTTTGCATGGGGATTGACAGACTTTGAAACTTGGTAGGTACAAAGGGTGTGCCATTGGGTTCCTGCACATTGGAGGATTTTGTAGGATTGAGGAAGGTAGAGCCCAGCTACTGTTACTTTACCTGGGGCTTGATAGCCCTTGAAACTTGGTAGGTACAAAGAGTGTGCCATTGGGTTCCTACACAGTGGAGGATTTTGTAGGATTGAGAAAGATAGAGCCCGGCCACTATTACTTTCCATGGGGCTTGATGGACCTTGACACTTAGTAGGTACAAAGATTATGCCACAGGGTTCCTGCACAGTGGAGGATTTTGTAGGACTGAGGAAGGTAAAAGCTCAGCCACTTTCGCTTTGAATGGGCGGGGTGGTACTTGAAAGTTCAAATACAGAGACCATGACGTGGATTTCGTACAATGCGATGGACTTTGAAAGAATCTGGAAGACTTGCAAAAAATCTGTAAGCCTTTGGATTTAGAGTTGAACAGTGAGTCAAATGTTTTCACTGTCGATTGAAAAATAAAACTTGAAACTCACCAAGTGACGTGAAACGATTGTCGGCAACCGTTCTTATTACAGGTCATACAAGCACCAATGGTAGCTTTACTCTCTCGTCCTTTCGTCTCGCACAAACAACACGACTACAGGAAAATATAAAGTAATTTGCAAAAGCAGAAAATTGTGAAATGCGGGTGGTAATAAACTGCTGTGGGACTGTTCACGTCGATGCTAAGCATAATATATTTGTTTGTATGATCAGTGCAACATGTGACGGACAAAAAAAATCATTAAAAAAATATACAACGCCTGAATATATCCCAGTCATCTGACTGGTGGGTCTTTGATCACATATCATTGAATTATTTGACACCACTGTTCATGAATATGGAAATTTGTATTACCATAAAAACAAAAAAGGCATTGAAACACATGGGTCCTTTAAGCAAATTATTTTATGTTTTACATAAGCATTTCCTGTGCCTTGCAACTTTCTGTGTTAGGCACAAAATGGCAACCTTTTTTTTTTACCTTATTATATCGATCATGAGGTACAGAAGATAACAGGATAGGTTCCATAGTTGTCACATTTCCAAAGTCAACTTCGGGGATGTAAAGCGCACAGACGACATGCGCCCAGCCTAATTTAAAAGAAACAGGAATGTCCAATTACTTTAAAGTTTTAAAATACATTCAGTAATTCAGAGTGAATATTATCATTACAAAACTGCAATTCCTTTTTAACATCTCCAACGGATACTTGGTGTAACACTTTAAACTGAGCTGGCGAAGGCATACAAAATCAGTGTGCTTGGAGAGAATTATTTTAGTCAAGAACTGTGACTAAAATTCCAAAGCAAAGAAGAAAAGTTCACTGATTATTGATCGAATCTGAGAATGCATTGGTCCTAATTTATTTTAAACTCTGTATTAAACCTAAATAAGAAAACACAACAAAAAAACTAAGACTTTGGCCTCAAATTTTCATTTTAAAACTGCCAATGTTGGATTGGAAACAATATATATAAGATAATTGTACGCATTATTCCTTGCTGTTACTTTTATCAAGTACTGACGTACCTCCATTATCGGTCCTTTTTAAAGCGCCCTCTCGCTGCGGGCACAGCTCACAACGCTGTGAATACAAAAAATTCAAAAACAGTACAATTTAAGGATTTCCGAAGTGGAAGATTACCAATTTTACTTGAAACAGTTCAAGACTTACGCAAGTAACATCTTGTAAAAATGAGGTGCAGATAGCTCAATTACATTGTATATGCTATGTATAACTATACACTGAACACAAAAACTCGGGTCATTGAAAAACCTTAACGGATATAATTCCATACCTGGACATCACTTGACACCCTGTGCACAAACCCTATGAGACTGGTCTGAAAAATTCTTAGTGTTTTCTCAGTAAATGCTTCAATATTTGCCCTGCTAAATTTGACTTTTTCAGGACATGTTATCGCTTTCTGATGGCTGATAGGTCACTGCACGGAAAATTTAGTGATGTCTGTGTATGGAATTCTTTCCACCTAAACAAACACTTTTCCTGCTTGTTAAACACAAAACCTTTCTGACAAACATCTTTCTATGCATGTACATTTTGTACAGTCGTCTCACTTAACACAAACTCGTTCGGACCTAGCCAAATTGTTTGTTATTTCGGAATTTTTTATTAAGAGGAATATCAGTCCCATTCACTGTACACATAAATGCACAGTCGGGACCAAGGCTTTATGTTTGCTTTAACCAGAATTTGTATTAACAGTGTCTGTACTAACAAGAGTCGACTGTATGCAATTCTGAACAAAAGTGGACATTGTTTTTCCCTTTCAGTTTCTGATCCTTTGATATGGTGGGGTATCTGATCAATGTAAAATCGTTCCTTGTATGCAACTCATTAAAACCCAGACTGGGAAGTTGCTTTTGCAAAACTGAAATCAGGCCAACTTCACTCACTATTTAGCCAGCAAATTTCTCCACAATTTTCACTCGGTATTTCACCAACCAAGTTTGAAGACTCAATTCAATTTTTAAAGGAGACTTTTCTTCAATATTTTGCACATGAGAGAGAAGTCAGGTGATTTCAAGATGAGGCTAAAGACTAGACTGGTGCATGTCCAACCGAGGTCCAACTGTTTGAAAAGACTGACCTCTTCATTCAGTGTCATTAGTCTGGTGGCTGACTATAGAGAAATGTGTAGAAATAGAGACTGGTACCTGACATCCTAGATCTTTCGGTTGGCAGAGTTGATTGATGCAGTACTGAAGGGTTGTCAAACTGGTCGTTTCAAGGTGCCAGTCTATTTTCTTGTGTTGCGTGTTTTCAATACCTTAAGTTTTGGGACTCTCATACACAGTATTGAGAGTGCCAAATTTTCGGACTAATTAAAACCATGCTTGTGGTCTTTTTCTTTTTATTCTTACCACTCTAGCAGCTCTCTCTTGTGATTCACACTTGCGGCAATACCAAGGTCCAGTGGGGACTGTCACTATTCCATAACAAGCTTCAACAGAAAAAAAAGTTATGCCTGATCAGGTGGCGAGGTCTTTTTCAGCAAAGTTTGATACTTTTTTTTAGAAAATAAACACAGGCATGCAACAGGGAATTCAGGAGGAAATTTCCAACCACACAAGGGAAAAAATGCTGCAACCTGACGCCACTTTTTTCTTCATCTCAATGAAGGTCAGTCATTGCAAAAATGATGATAAGACATGAATCTGGGACTGAGAAACATTTCCAATTTTGTTAGGAAATACTTAGAAAATTGTCTTGACTCTCCATAGACTTTGTTCACATCCACTGAAGTGGCATCAGGTTGCAACATTTTTTTCCCACACAAGACTTTGTACACTGTAGTGTTTTTCAATTTGTAAAGGCAGCAAGACTGTTGCATCCTGACGCCACTTTTTCATCATATATCATCTCAATGAAGACCAGTCATTGCAATAATGTTGAAAAGACATGAATCTCGGACTGAGAAACATTTCCAATTTTGCTAGGGAATACTTTGCAAATGTTCTTGACTCTCCACAGACTTTGTACACAACTGCTGAAGTGGCGTCCGGATACTATTTCCGCAATTCATCAGATTTTTTAAAAACGAAGAAATCAGCGGATCCGAAGAAAAGTTGCATGCATGCCTGTAAACAGGCAGAATGTTGATTCTATTTGTTCCCCAAATAACCTAAAGTTAAAGACAGTCAGTCATTGAACTCATTGCAAATAATTGTAATGTCTTGGGGGGGGGGGGAATTAACATATATGGGACTGAGATGAGAAACAATTCCAATATTGTTTTTTTTTTTAAATGGCTAGGCCTAGGGATGCTTCATTCAAATATTTTTCACAAACTCCTCAAATACAAATTTTGTTCAAAAAAACATTTTACTAATGACAGTAGTTGTATACAACACAGAATAATGTAATCATGGCAATTATAAAAGATAGTGGATATTTTGCCGGAGGTAATGACGGCAAACTAACGATTACTAAAGGTTTGCCGGCGGCAATCCATATCAACAGAGGGCGCTGTACTCTTTAAAATAGGGCTGAATTATAAGACGTATTAAATTCCCACTAAAAGTTGTGTAGCACGTTTGGTGTAATGGTTAAGCAAGGGCTCTACTAAGCGGGATGACTCGCGTTCGAATCCGACCGCACCACATTTTTAAGGTTTTTTTTCTCATCCCCAAATAAATAAGAATATTCTTCTTTTATTATTTTAACATGTCTCAAACATTTTTTGCAGAGTATTACATTTTCTTTTTCAGATTTGTGGCTCTGGAGGATTTTTTTTAAAAGGGAAATAAAGTCCAAAATTATAAAATGGTCTGAATCCCATCTTGTGAATACGAGGTAACAACGATAATTTTGGCATGGAGCCAGACTAAAACTTGTCACCGGAAAATGTTTAAGTACAAAAAAACAGTAACTGCGCATGTTCAGTGCATATCCAGCAAACTAACGTTTACTTAAGGTTTGCCGTCTCCGGCAAAATATACACTGCCATTATAAAATGTCAGTTGTAAACTGACAAAAGTTATAAAAGTTTGTCAGTGTCAGTCAGTGTCTTCACAATGAAACTGAAACAACTTGCTAGCCTAGGCCTACTTTCGTAAGCTGATGACTGCCGTCGTGAGTGGGCCTGAACTTGGCAATGGGAAAACCCTTTTCTCAATCTCATTCTCAGTCAGTGTCAGTTGAAATTGAATATTTATTTCCTGATAAGCATGATAAGTGATAAAACAATCAACCACTAGCTTCAATGATAATCCTCAAAACCCACGACTACTAGTAATTCTGATTGGTCTGTTTTTAAGTCAATAAATAAAGGCGCGTAGAAGTCCACCGGCATGCCTGGATTTTAAAAACACCATTCGTTTACACAGTGCAAATTTACCTTGGTGAACCGCCACATTACAAACTTGCCCGTCGCAATATACCAAGGGATTCTCAGTCCAGCCGCGTTCATCCCCGCAAACACAGCATCCCCCAATCATCTCCTTCATATTGGAAAAACTATCAACCGAGGAATTCTCACCAGCGAGTGGGAGAAATGGAGGTTTTCCGGCCCCAAAATGGGTCCCCTTTCCGTAGATTGTCCATCGAATCGAGGGCAGGATTTTTTTATTTTGTCCGAGCGCCAGGTCACTGAGCGTGCGCATTGACCTGAAGAAAATGCATTGTGGGTAAAATGCCAGTGAGGTCAAAGAACTTTACACCGGATGCAAACAAGCGCTCACAACGCTCTGATGATATGACTGACTGAGCTACAATAAGAGACGTTTATGCGGCTTCTTATTGAAGTCGGATGAAATAGGCTAGGAGAAGAAATTGGATTTCTAGTCTCCAGGTGACCTCCTTCACCAGCGTCTCCTTACAATTAGGACTTTTTAATTAACTAGGCACAGTGGGGGTAAAGGGATTATGGTTCTAAGAGGTCCGGGTGAGGCTATATTTTTATAAAGATGATGATGGTCATGATGATATGATGGGGATAATCACGATCATTATCATGATGATTTTCTTTCAAACTCACAAACGAAACTACTTGAAAATAACTCCCGAGTGTGAAACTGTGCATTATATATGATGTTTCTCTTAATTTACGGTATAGGGGTGGGGCAAGCAATGTACTTGAGAAACGACTTCAGAGTGAAAAGAATTGTCTCGTCCGGGCTTTTTGATTAAAAAAAAAATGGAGCCGGGCGCCTTTTCTTTTTTCTTTTTCTTTTCAAAATGGCGGATTTTTCAAGATGGCGGATGAATTTGTCCATTTGCTCGACTACAAAATTAAGTGTCGTCCAAAAGAGCCGTAACCATTTCTACATAACTACAATTTTGTTGGAAGCAAATAAAAAGACAATTGCAATATATATTGTCAATGTACACTGCAAAAAAAAATTACCGGAAAAGAACGGCAGATAAACTGTTAAATTTACAGTTTTATTACCCGTAACATTCAATCGACGTAATTTCCCGTAATTTTTACGGGATATTGTTTTATAGTGTACGAATTAAACATTTAAAGGGGGGGGGGGACACGGCCTTATGTCCATTGTCGTAGCAACTTAGCCTTAGGTGTCAAAATGATTTCGTTTTCCGCACAAGTTTCCAGGTATTTGAACTAAGGTTCGAACACCATGTTTTCGGTTTTTGGTCTCATGTTTATTTTTTAACACAATAACCAGGTATTTCTTATTTGAAATCTTATAGAGGTTTTATTACCGTGCTTTTATAACGAAGACCGGGGATTTGAACTTATTTCTGGCAGTTCAACTTCGCCAAATATTCAGTTTAGTTTTATTAGTGCGCAGAGGCGGAAAGGGATTGTGGGTGGAGCCAGGTTGAATCGGCGCAAGCTACTAGCTCATGACGTCAAGTGTTGACTATCCAATCATAATGCAGCGAGTCTTTCAAGGGACCAAAAAAAAACGAATTTAAAATTCTGAATCAGGGCCACGTGCACGGCAGAACTCAAAAATAAATAATTTCGCGTGTCTACATTTCAGCACGAATGTGCAAGTGCCCTTTAAAAAAAAAAATGTTACCCCCCCCCCAATAAAAATGGCCATGCTACACCACTGAATCGAACCACATATTTTCCTGTCTTCATCAGTTCCAAATGGGAAAACGTGTCTTCCTTGTTATCAGATCGGCTGATAGTGGGGAGGCGCGATCGAGCATTCCACTGGTAAAGTTTCATTTTTTTTTCTCAAATCAAAAACGAAAAACGGTGGAACCCCCCGCTGATGACATTTGACCCCTGAATTCCCTCACGTCCACATGTGGGTGGGGGATGGGGAGTGTTTTTTAAACCCGCCGTACCAATTTAGTCGTGTATACCCAATCTTCCCTAGCCTTCCCTCCGATCTTAAAACAACCAAAACAACCACCTCATGATCAACAAGAACATAACAGCAACTTGCTTTATATGGGTGGGGTAAGTTGAAAAGGGACGAACCTGTGTTCACAAGAATGGAGTGCCCATCTCTCTTTCAAAGCGATTGGGCCAGACTCCTCCATGTAATGCTGCTATCATGGGTGGGGGGGGGGGGGGGGGGTCGCCACATCTCCTCCACAGCGACTCTGTTACCTTCACTGCATCGAATACTGCCGGTACCCATTTAACAGCTGGGTTGAGTGAAAACCTTTCAGGTTGGGACATCATCTGTCAAAGTGTTAATATTGACAAATAAATAAACGTGCTGCAAGCTGCCTACTGACTAGATTGACCTGAGGTATCAAACAAAAAGTTAGATCGCCTATAACGTTTCGACCTAGAAGGATATTATGTCAAAGGCAAAATGATAGAGATCATGTTAGGATCGAACAATTTGGGCTCTCTATATAGCTTTTTGAAGTGGTAAAAAAGTTGTTAAACGCCTCCCCTTAAAAGATTGAGACAACTAAACATCAACATCCAAGTTTGAAGTTTATTGGTCTTTTCTGGATTCCACCGAAAGATTTTCTTGTTCTCAACAGATGGCAAAGTAAGACTTGAGGCTTTGCAGGGTGGAGATACTAATGAATGAAAGGTTTGCGGAAACACCACGTGGGAATAATTAAGAGAATGGTTCTGAAAAGAACCAGAGGTACAAACTCGACCTCCCAGTCAGTATGCTCTGACGTCAGTACACTCTCCTGAAGACGGTCAGAGCATACTGACCGGAACGTCGAGTTTAGACCTTATTCTTTTCAAAACCATTCTCTGAGTTTGAGAAATTATTCCCACATGGTGTTTCCGCAAACATTGCATTCAGACACTGTACAGTGCAGTGTATTCGAAGGACATTAACTACAACCACACACATGTAGGCGAAAATAAGTCTTTGTGTCCTTGACTTTAATGGCTTGGAATATATATTTTAACTTTTTATAAAACAAGTGAACAACAGTTAACATCTTGGAAAATCGAACAGCTATGTTTCAAATTTACACAGTATAACTACAAAAAAGAACAAAATGTTGCTAAAAATGTCCTATATTTGGTTTCCCAACACCGTTTCCATTGAGTCCCATAAACTTTTACGATCCTTTTTTTCTGTTGTTTCAAAAAAATAAAGAAGCAAAAAGCGGAACTGGTCAGCATTTTATACCAAGCTCGACAACACTGTGAAACCACGCGGGCTGAGGGCTGCCTTATTTTGGTGGAGATCTTTAAAGAAAGATGAGAATACTGCAGGTGTAAACAAAATTCCCGGTCATGCATCCAAATAGGTTGTCTGGGAATGGTTGCCAAACGTCCCGCCAAACATTGGTCAAAATTTCAGCCGGCTACACTTTCGGGTCAATTACTGTAAGTCGGTACAGCCGTACAGTCCAATTGCCGGCTATAAATGCCAAATTTTATGACAATTTTCACCAACTTATTTTTTTACAGCGTCTTTATAGCCAAGGCACCAAAACGTCTTCCAATTTCTTAACAGGTAGAAAACCATGTAAGTAGCATCATTTACATGTACCAACAATTGTGACAACAGTGCAGTTTTCCAAATCATGTAATGACCAAAAAACCCGGAACTTTTAGGCCTATATCTAATCAACGTTTTCAACAACAAACACAATACATATTTCAACTTTGTATAGGCAGGACATTACATTACAATGGACGGCTTAATTTTCCCCAGGTTCTAACCAAAAGACCATGCAAGAAGATACGGCGGAAAATTGAGACACCGCTATCACAAAAAAGAGGGGAAAAAAACCTTGCAAACATTTTGTTTTTGAAAACAAAACTGAGATTGGCTAATTGACTTCATATCAGGCCGATATGTGATCTATTTATGAAAGGCTAAATGTCGGTTATGTGACCTACTTTAGGAACAGAATTTAGGCTGTGTCGGTTTTTGAAGGCGCTCCCTTCAACGAAATTATGATTTTTTTAATGTGATGTTACTCTTATGTTGTGTGTATACTGCAGCTGCATACAACCGAGTGAAAGTTTACTGCCGACCCCTTCGGATCTTTTGCAAAGTTAGCGTTTTTTTCCCCGTACCGTACACGGACGAACTTGTAAAGCAACACGGCCATTTTGTCTCTCAAAAGCACAATCATTATTTTCAAGTCTGTTAAAAGCAAGCTACTCCAAAAGGCGGGAAAAACTGGGCCATTATTTCAGCTGTGATTCCAAAGTGTCTATACGAACCATCCGTTTTATGCTAACATTAAGTTCATGCATGGTACACATTTTCGAGCCTACTATAAACGAGTCGCAATTGTACCATAATTTTGGCGGCAAAACGATTATCGTGACACGTACCATTAAGCTTCAAACTTGTAAAAATGGCAAACACTATAACAACCGTTTGTACACAAACACCGTAACGTGGTAAGACACATTAACACTGCTTATATACGGCATTAGTACATGTTTTTCGCGTTGATTCGAAAATGGAAGTCGTTTATATATTACAAAAAACGTAGTTAAAAATGGCGGTATGTGTGAGTGCACGTAATATGCAAGTACAGGTACATGTACATGTACAAGAATTGTAGGCCTACATGTATTTCTAAACTGTGCGTGCAACGCAAGTGCAGATAATACGAAAAAGGTTCTGACCTTCACTGTAGTTTCGTTCAGTCTCTCTCTAAACTGACAATGTGTATACATTCTCAGTTCGCACATGCACATGAGACCCATGGAAACGTACACATGTACATGCGGAAACAATAAAGTTATGGCATGTATTTGAACAATTTTTCAAAAATTACAACGAACGAAACTGTGGAATGTACATTTATACATTCAATGTCGAAACATTCAACTACAATCACACTAATCTTGTAATAAAGATTTTGTAATAATATAATTAAATCAATAATGAAACATGATTGGTTTTGTGCTTCAATCAGCACCAACGTTAGCGTATAGCATTCACAGTTTTATCTTTTGGTATAAAAAAATACAACAGTTATCAACGAATCTATTTTCTTTTTTTTTCTGTTTGAAAAAGAAACAACGTTTTTGGTAATTCATGTTCGGGGTAGGGGCGGTTGGCCGAGTCGCCACCGCCAGATCGGGTGGCTTGCCGACGGTGGTTCACCCGGGTCGACAGAGGCTCGGTACGCTGGATGGAGATCGTTGTCTCGTACAACTAAGGACGGAACCACGGAGAAGAAATCGTTCAGTTTGAATTCAGAAGGGTTAAGTACGGGTGCCGAGAAACCCTTACTGTGCCTCTTGTTCGTGTCGCCTTTGAGTCGCTTCTTCTTCTTCCTCTTCTTCTTCGTGACCGTCTTCTTACGGTCCCGCCGCGACTTGGGTTTGTTCGTCCGTTTTTCGTCTAACTCCGTTTCCTTTTTTAGCTGCTTGATCTGTGCGTTTATGGATTCCAGCGCCTTCTCCAAGACTCGCACTGCTTTCTGGGGATCGCTGGGAAGGCGAAGCATTTTCCCCGTCTGATTGCTCGAGTGATGCTGATTCTTCTTAGAGGCATTTTTCTTAAGTTTCCTCCGGTGAGTTTTGCAGGCCCGATGCGAACGTGGATGCGAATTCTCCATCGTCTTGAGATGTGAACCGTTTCTGTGCTGAACGCAATCGCGATGGATCGCTTTTGATTTCGTCGACTTGCGGTGGCGGTGATGGCGACAGTGCTTTATTTTCGGCCGGTCCAAATTTGTTTCCCCGAGAAACGAACTCGTAATTCTTGTTTGCTCTGTGACTTCAGCTTCATCCTTTTCAGATTTAGGTTCACGGGTTTCCATAACACTTTGCCATTCGCCTTTCACAGCTTGCTGGCCACAATCTAGTGATTCCGAGAGTGATTTCAAGCTTGCTCGACCCAAGTCTGGCCTAGCTCTTTTGGCATCACGGGGACTTGCTGTCTCACCAGGCGCCCAAGTCCTGCGCCGTATTTTCAAGACAAGGGGCTGGGTGTCTGGAAACTTCTGTGTGGTAGTGGTGATTGGTGATCTCCGCTGTTGACGGGAACTAGGGCTTGGAGTTCCGTGTTTCAAACTAGAAGTCATAATGTCTCCGTTCTGGGAGGTACTTTTCAGGCTGAAATTGGGCTGCTTGGACGAGTTATTGTTGTCAGTGATGTTTTGGTCTCTACGATCTGAAAGCTCGAACTTTGAGATTGAGTTATTAACAGAGTGGGCCAAACTGCCGTGTAGAAGATTGTCATCATTTCGGGGAACTGGAAATGAAGGCTTTGGCGAGGCAGGATTTGATGGGATGGAGGAGTCGGAGAGATTGGAGTCGATCTCCAAACTGGAAATGTCAGTTTCGCTTTCCTCGCTGGCCACGCCAGTATGGCAGCCCGTCTTGGAGTTACTGTAGACGACAAGGCGCTTCTGAAACCCGTTGACGAAAGCTGACGGTTTCAGCGCCGGTCCGGGTGGGTTGGACTTGGTCAGCGGGGCTTGGGGCTGAAGCTGGGCCGTGGCGCACGGCCGGCCATGTAGCTCAGCCGCGGCCCGCCGTCTTGCCATCCCCGTGAATCCAGATTCTGAGCTCGTTTTACCGTTCCCAGAATCATGCAATACCGGATACTGGCCGCGACCTGCACTCATACAATTCAGGACCGTACCACTCTGTTTCTGATGTTGGCGTGCATTCAACATCGTGTGCACTGTTTAATGAGGCAAATCATTTTAGCTTCGGAGCCCGACCTGTATGCCGTTATCAGCGCTCGATAGTTCAGTGTCCGCTCCAGCGACCGCCATCTTGCGCGTTTATATAACCCTGCTTTCCTTCCATGATGATGATCCACACACTGCAGTCAAAATGTGTAAATAAACCACACACACGGCGCACAGTCGTCCTTCTCTAGTACGAAACTACGATTAGCATGAACGTACAGCGAAGAAAAGGAAAAGGGTTCTAATTTTTCAATGTACCTCAACACATAGGCCTACATGTACACATGGACGTTAGCAGTCATTTTCACTCCGACCGTTGTATTTGCAGCACAAATTGGGTTACCTTTCACGTGAAACTCTAAACGCTCAAGACGAATTATCTCCGTCTTTCCTAATATAATCTACCTATGCATTTACGAGTTTAAGTTCGGTAAATCTCGGACCATGGTCTGCGGTTAAATCTCATCACGTTCGAATCCAGAAATATATCGACTGATCTTTGGGAAATTCAAGAACATTTTCATCGAGCTACGGCAGGTTGAGCACTGTCTCGGGAAAAATGCATTGAATTTGAAGTATCATGTTATTTTATTAACACGGTCACTAAAAACGATTTTTCAGCTTATTCCATGGGGATGTGTAGTGGGTTTGGTATCTTCACAGTTTTAGCTTGACACCGAATATTAGTTTCTGAAAATGAACTATGGGTAAATGGCCATCGCTGCATGTATTTGCGCAGTGGGTCTACTAAGTGGTTTATGCATGTGAAATGTACAGTACATGTACATGTACATGTATGTACATGTACATGTACTGTACATGTACATGTACGTATATTCGTATAGTAAATTGTACATGTACATGTACATGTTCATGTGCTGCACTCTGTATGTCGGAGCATAGAGCTAGGACCTATGGTCGGCATGGTCGGAGTTACGTGCGCGCGTTCGATCGTTTACACGAACGTCAAAATAAGTCCCTTCGGTGCACTTTACGTAATATACGTACAATGTACGTTACATGATTACTTTAATATGGCTGTGAAATTTATGTACTGACACCGTTTTGAGATATGGTTAGGTAGCCTGAGTATCACCCGTTATATCCACGGAGCCAAATCCAGGAGAACGTCCGCTCATAGTCATATATCTTACTCCTGACATGCAAATTTATGCAAGCCGCGCGCCAGCCAATCGGAGTCTACTTTACTAAATCGTGACGTCATTTCATTTCCAAATCAGGACTAAAACTGTGATTGGTCAATTCGAATGTAGTGTTTTGTAATACAATAACAGCTGGGAGCGCATTCGCATACAGAGCGCGCACGCCGTGCTAGTTTTTTGTATCCATGTCTATCCGGTTCGTAGTAAAAATGTCATACACGCGCGCGCGCCACTGATTACTAGCGCCCATTGGATAAACACTCAGTTGCGTTAACTTCCGGTTCCAATGGTTCCAGTGCAACATAATGGCAGTGGGCGTGGTTTAAACTGTAGTGACGTCACACTAACGAACCGGATGACGCACAACGGGTCAATGACCGAAGACCCGATAGGATATAGAAAGCGCCCGCTGATTGGTCAAAATCTAGGAGGTCAAGAGGCGGGGTCTTACGCGCATAATAGACCACGGCATTCGCCGTTATTTATTTCATTCTTAAGTCAGCGATGCTGACAGGGGTCATTTTAACCAGCAACACTTTCAGTTTTGAATCTTGAGGAGTAATAATTGTTTTCCAAGTATAATACCGCCTACAAACATATATCCTCTTATTTTGAAGAAAAGAAAATTGAAGACGCACAAAAAATTATGCTAAAAGACATAAGTTTATATCAAGCACACGGTGGTGAAATAACTGTCAAATCAAACATTTTAATTGCTCCGCAATAGATAAAAAATCATAAATAGATAACAACCTCATAAATAACACGTTTTTATTATCATCAATTACAAATGCCATTGAGTTATTCTTGAGGGCGCTCTGCCAAATTGACGGTCCTCCAAAATACTGGTTTCCGCCTGCACTTTATGCATTATTGCATGTTCTGCGTGTGCAATTTATCGTGCACCATCAGACAGTTCCGTCAACATGTCGCTGAGCAGACGACGTGTACATTTCTTCTCGCAATTTCAAACTTTAATTTTGACGCTTTTGTTGTTTCTGTTTTGTTTCGTGTCGAATGTGAAAGCATGGGACAACGAGGACTTTGAGCTTTTCGATTTGGTGGAGGATGTCCAACTAAATTTCTATGATGTTCTCGGCGTCGAAAAGGTAAGTCAGCTCAGACCATCAGACTTGGTCGGAGTTTACACACACAACTCCGTGACACACATACACACATGCAACGCCATCCGCCGAGCTAGCTGTGTAAGCCGGGGGGTGGGGTGGGGGGGGGGGGGCTGCTACACTAGTTGGGAATTTGTCTCTTTTAAGAAAAATTGTGAACAGATAAACTTTGGTACTTACAATCAGTTGATCTTGAAGGGGAAAAAATGTGCAACCTGACGCCACTTGTGCGATTTGTGTACAAAGTAGACTATGGAGAGTCAAGAAAATTATTTCCTAAAAGTATTTCCTAACAAAATTGGAAATATTTCTCAGTCCCAGATTTATGTCTTATCATCATTTTTTGCAATGAATGACCCTTCATTGAGATGATATATGAAGAAAAAAGTGGCGTCGGGTTGCAACATTTTTTCCCTTTTTTCCCCAGATAAAAAGGTTTACACCTCAAAATAAATTTGATATACATGTAGGAAAAACATGATTATGCCATTTTGTTTCAGACGGCGAGTGCGGCAGAGATTCGCAAAGCCTACAGGAAACAATCTCTGCTTTTTCACCCTGACAAGAACAAGGAGGACGAGGCCGAGGAAAAGTTCCGGCAGGTAAAGATCAGAGAAAATAGATATTAATCCCGCTGGATTGTACAACGCCCTCTTTGACGCGTATACGAGTAGGCCTACATTATGAAACGTATTGGATGACTGCCACCATTTGTGCAACACCTGTGGCCGATTGGATAGCGCATCTATCTAATGAGTGAAAAGATCTCTTGTTCAAATCCTGGCTAGCGACATTTTCTTCTTCGTTTTTTTCATCCCAGAAACTTAAGAATATTCTTCTTTTATTATTTTAAATTGACTCCAACACTTAATTGCAGAGTATTGCATTTTCTTTTTCTGATTCGTGGCTCTGGAGGAATTTTTTTTAAGGGAAATAAAGTCAGAAATTGTAAAATGGTCTGATTCTCATCTTGTGAATACAAAGTCACAACTATGCTGTTGGCGCGGAACCAGACAAAGATTTGTCATGGTAAAAATTTCAAAGTCCCCAAAACAGTCACTGCGAATGTTCATTGCCTATCGGGCAAAATATCGTGTACTAAAAGAAAGCCGAATCCAGCTAAATATCCACTACCAAGAAAATTTGTAAACCGTAATTCACGCCCACTTTACTGACCATGTGCAACATAACATTAAACTATAATGCGTTGTAGACTATGATAGTAATATTGTAGCTTTTCTCGCTTTTTGTCCCCAAAATTATGTGCAGTTAGTTGCTGTGGCAGAGGTTCTCAGAGATACAGATATGCGAGAAAGGTAAGTTTGGATATATTTAAGAATCTTTTTCTTTCATGCTACAATCGCTCTTGGAAAAGCTTGGGCTTAAAGGGAATATACAACATTTGCAAACATCGAAAAATAAAACTACCAAGTTTTTACGAAATACCTTACTAGGATGTTGGTAAATGACAGTCTAAAGCATCCTGTAAAATTATGGCACTTGGTGTGAAGTCCTTTTCAAGAAAATGGTATTTTTGTAAAAATTTCCAACGGTGGTCGGCCGACCACCGTTGGAAAAACCTAACTATTTTTCAACTACTGCTCCAAATTAACAATTTTTCTTTCAGTCCAAATTTTGTTTGCTATTGGTTACATGTTCATGAACGGGTGCAGGCTGGCTAGACTGGTTCCATTACCTTACAAGTTTTCGGCATCTGTAAATTGATCCATTTTATATTTAGTGGAGTCAGGGAACCAGACTACTTGAAAATTTTTGTTTTTCTTGGTTTTTTCCAGCATTTTCGAACGAACACAAACCTTCAAACATGTCAGTCTAACAATATTTGATCTATTATACTAACCCCTCAAATAGTTCATTTTTGAAAATTACAGCAAAAGCCAATCATGTATATTCCCTTTAACCCTTCCTCTACTTCACCATCAATTTTTGTTATCCAAAGATACGACCAAATTCTTGAGCATGGGCTTCCCAACTGGCGAGAGCCGGCCTTCTACTACCGTCGAGTCCGCAAGATGGGCCTGCTGGAAATGGCTGTCTTGCTCTTCATCATCATAACGGTGGGTCACTACGTCGTCCTGTGGTCCATCTACTGGGAAAGACTTCTAGATCTTGTAAGTTGATTCTCTGCGTCACATCCGGGGGGTAAATGTCAGAAACACTGTGGGCTCCATGCATGAACAGACATGGTGCTTCATGAGTCGGATACTCTGCAATAGTGCATTGAGCTCAAAACGCTGTGGGTCATTTTGCAGTGTTTGTGTCCTTGGGCAAGGCACTTTACAACAATATTTTGCTACTTCCAATGTGGGAGTACAGTTAAATTAGTGCAGTGAGGGCAAAATGGATATTGGGTTTGGAAAGGCCGTTCGCACAGAAATGCTAGCGTTGAGGTTTGTCACGGTACTCCCAAGGACCGGAGGTGGTTTTGGGAATATTTGTGGGTCCAATGAGCAGGGGTAATAATAATGTAAAAACTTAAAACTAGGAAAGAATGTTGCATCCTTTTTTTTTCATCGCATATTTCAATGAAGGTCAGTCATTGTAAAAATGTTGAAAAGACATGAATCTGGGACTGAGAAACATTTGCAATTTTGTGAGAGAATACTTTGAAAATGCACTCGACTCTCCATAGACTTTGTACACAACCAAAGAAGTGGCATCTGGACACTACATTGTCTCCTTAACCTATGCTAAAAAATTGCTTATTTTGTCGTATTAATTGAGTAAATCCTTTATTTCACAGGAAGCAATCATTCCAAAGAAGAAACGGGACAAAAAGTCCAAGAAGGCAGGCCGGCAGCCCGCCACCACCTCCGCAACTACCCCGACAGACGCCGACGAAAATGCCCCCCAAGACCCGGCCCTGGACGACCCCCTCCGCCCAACCAAACCCCAGCTGGCCGATGCCCTCCCCTGCAAGCTCTATCGCCTCCTATTCACCACAGCAGTTTCCGTCCCCTCCATGCTGAAACAAGCCAAACTCGAACTCGAGATGTGGCGGGAGAGGCGAAAATTGGAGGCGGAGCTAGCTGCACAAGAGGAGGAGGAGGAGGACGGGGAGGAAGGCGGAGTTAAGAAGGTCAAAAAGAGGCGGAGAGTGGATCCAACCGTTTACGAGTACGAGCCAAGCACAACGACACCTGTAACCTACACTCCACAGGAAACCACGGACGACAATAGCAGCAAAATTTCTAATATAAAGGTAAAAGTCCAATTTGTGAAAAGTAGTGGTGGGATTAAAATCCGGATATTCCACTATTTGGTTTGGATTTTGGAAACCGGATATTCGAAACCAACCTTAAAATAAAATTAAGCCTTCCATTTTGTTATGACACAAGCTCAAGAACATTTCTGGAAAATCCCCCAAATTGCTCAATGGTTCTCTGATTGTGACCACATTCACTCGCTAATGGTCTTCGCGGTTCATGAATAGCCTGCTCATTGGACTGATCAGAGGGTTCCCATCAATTTTTTCAATCATTACAACTCTGGAGTGTGTTTCAAAGGCAAAGTCGTCAATAAATCTTGCAAGCTATACCCAATTATCGTGAAGGGCATTGCATGCGGCACCTCATTCATCACTGTCTGTTGGCACGACCGTGAACTGAATGGGAACTTCTGGTGGAATCAGATAACCGTTATTCGGTTTGAAAAAAAATTAGGATATCCGGATTTTGAAATATCCGATTTTTCCCACCATTAGTGTAAACTCTCCAAACCCTTCAAATCCCATCAGGTTTTGGAGGATTTTGTAGGATTGAGGAGGGCAGAGCCCACTTGTTTTTCTTTAGATGGGACTTGAGCCCCCATTAAACTAAAAATTTCAAAGAATGTCTTGTTGTGTTACTGGTCAGTGAGATGCAGCCGAAGCTAGAGGCACAGCCATAATTTGGAAAATGCCCCATTTTTTTCTTCCCTGATTGGTGTATTTGTTTAGTCTGGTGACTGGACCCAAGACGATGTGACCAGACTTATCCGGGCCATGACCAAGTATCCTGGGGGGACGGCGGCCAGGTGGGACAAAATCGCCGAAGAGATCTCGAGACCTGTCGATGAGGTTAGTACCAGGTAGTGTCGTTGTCAAGCCCGTCCGCAAGTCCCTGCAAGCCCTCTCGAGTTCATCACAAGTCCTCCCGTCCCAAGTCAAGTCACAAGCTATTCAAATGAACTGTGACTAAACGCATTCCTTTGTTATTGTTCATCCACTGTTACTTGTGACTGGACTTGTGACTGGACTTGTGATGGGGAGTCAGGTCGGCATAGCGGTACTTTCCTCGCCTTCCACTGCTGTGACCCGGGTTTGAATCCCGCCTGGACCAACATGTGGATTGGGTTTTCAGTCCCTGCCTGAATCCGTGGGTTTTCCCCAGAATATTCTTCTGGGTTTTTCCTCCCACCTCTAAAACTGCAATTTCTTCTCATTGTGTTCTCTCTACAGGTTTCTTCAGGCTTACGCCTAGGGCGCTCTTGAAGATTCCTTGGTTTCATTACCAGAAATAAAATAATAATGATAACACTGGTACCAACTTGTCAGTGGTGATCACAACCTCTGTTTGTGTTCTTTGGTGAATGAGTTTAAGTGGTGACCCACTGTTAATTCAGCTTAAAAACTGGCCAGACTACCCTGACAAATTTTGAGTGGTTTGAGTGGTTGAGACTGCACTCTCGAATAGGAATTCATTTGTTCAAAGACAACATGATGAGCTTGAGATTTTTTGGCGTTTTTTTTTAACGCTTTGGTGCAATGGTTACGATGTTTCTACTCGTATGTGCCGTGGTACGAGGGTTCAAACCCTGACCAGGAACATGGTGCTTGTGTTCTGGGGCAAGACACTTTACTACAATTGTCGCTCTCCACCCAGGAGCATCATTGGGTACCTGTGAAGGCAGAGACCAAATTGCGCTGAACTCGAGCTGCTGCAGAAAGATGGTCTCATTCCTGATGAACAGGGATAATAATTGTAAAACACTTTGAAACCTTAGGTATAAAGCGCTATACAGGGTGAGTAAAAAAAAAAAAACCCAAATGTCGGGCCCATTGTTTTATTAAGTTCTGCATGTAGCACTTTCAAAATCTAGGAAATTAAAGCCCAATTCATAAGCTTTCTTTCAGTACAAGAATTATTCAAATCACTTATGTACTTTTCAAGTTACAGAGTTTTAAACTCAACCACTGTTTTAAGGTTCTGTCCACAGATCACCCAAAAAGTTCATTGTTCTTTCAGCAAAACGAAAATAAATCACATAGGGATGTGTGTGAATTGTTTTCGTTTTGCTGAAAGAACGCACACCTTTTTTGTGATCTGTGGACAGAACTTCAAAATGGTGGTTCTGTTTAAAACTCTGTACCTTGAAAAGTACATGAGTGATTTGAATGATTCTTGTACTAAAAGAAAGCTTATGAATTGGGCTTTCATATCCTAGATTTTGAAAGTGCTACATGCAGAACTTCACTAAAACAATGGGCCCGACATTTGGGTTTCCTTTTTTTTTTACTCACCCTGTATAAGTAGCACATTATTATTTAGAACTACTGGTGGGTCATATCAATGAAGGACAAAAACCCTATATTAGAAATATGCTCACACACCCACCCACTGTGAAAAATTTAAGCTTGCGAGCTTTAGAAAACCAGAATGTCGATTGAAGCAATTACTTTTTGATTTATTTGTAGGTTACTAAGAAAGCCAAACAAATCAAATCTGGAGGATTCGTAGTCAGCGTGGATGCTTCGGCACAAGGTTGGTATTTTATATGATCTCACCCTAAAGGATCAAAAATGGTCCCACAGCTTTTTTTTATCCCTTGTAAAATCATCTTTTGAGTATTAACCGTCCTAGTCATCTGCACTATACAACCCTTGAAGTTTTGCAAAACCACTTTCGCCCACAGAGTTAGCACCCACACTTCAAATTCCTTTGAGGTAATCTTCTGTGGAGTATGGATAACACTTCAAATCCCTGCACAATTCTTTTGTGTGGTTATGCTCAGGGCAAGCAGGCAGATATGGTCATGCTTCACTGCTCTCCACAGTGCTGTTTTATGTGCGGTGACTCTCTGTGTGACACAGTTACTTTAACACTTCATATCCCTTCACTTGAAACTGACCTGCAGCGTTTTAAAGACATTTTACACATTGCTCTGAATATTGACTTCCAACTAGGAGGGTTAGACCGAGTGTTTTGGTTTTTTTTATGTTTCAGGTATAACTGGCGCAGTGAAGCACGCAGTGACCAGCAAAACGGGGAAGAAATTTACTGACGATGACATCACAACTCAAGACTTGACAACATCCGACCCAGACGACAGCCACAAGGAAAACCATGGAAAACACAAGCCGACCAAACCTCCCAAAACTGCCGAGAGAACGTTGCTCATCTCACAGACGTCGGGCAACGGAAATCTCGAGAGCCAACGGGATGAGACAGAAGGGGAGAACGCGGAGAACGCTGGGACGGAGCAAGATGTTTTGTCGCCGGGCGGGGCAGGAAGCTGGAGCCAGCGACAACAGAAGATCTTTGAGAAAGCTCTGACCGTCTACGGTAAAGGCGTGGCCGAGAGATGGGAGAAGATAGCTGATGCTGTCCCTGGGAAGAGAAAGGTCAGAAAACATTCTCCTTATGATATTTCTAGCCATCGCAAGTCCTGTCACAAGTACATCGCAAGTCAATTCATAAGTCCAGTCAGAAGCTACAGAGGACGAACAATAACAAAGGAATGCGTTTGTCGCAGATAATTTGAATTGCTTGTGGGGGAAATGTGGCCTAGTGGTTAGGGTTCGTGACTCAAGATCAGAGAGTCAGGGGTTCAAATCCAGCTGCTGGTCATATGTTGTGTCCTTGGGCAAGCCACTGCACCCCAACTTGCCTCTCTCCACCTAGGAGAGTATATATCAGTACATGTACCACCATGAACTGGGGAGTAACCTGCGATGGACTGGCATCCCATCCAGGGGGAATAGAAATATTATCAGTCGTTTCATGCCAAGGAAACTGGAGATAAACGCCAGCCTGATGGGCTCATTTGTAGTGACAGCCTTGCCTTTACTTACTTTTCTTCCAGGAGGAGTGCATCTTGAGATACAAGGAGCTCGTGGAGACGATACGACGGAAGAAACAGGGGAACGCAGGACCGCCACCAGAGAGGTAGCAGCAACAGAACGATGATGGTAACATCACTCATCATTGGACGACTGAGTTTGACAGTTTTTAATAAATTAATTTTAAGCCTAACACCCCCTGGTCATATTTTGCCAAGAAACTCCCTGAATTATCCAAAATGTTGCAGTGGCCGGTTTCAAAGGGTAGACTGGTTCCCGTCCGCATAATATGGGGATCGGTAGCTAGTTCCTATTTAAAGCCATTGATTGGATCACCTCTGAGAGTGTGCAGCACGATCTTTTAATGTTTGAAAATGATGTTTACTGCTTTGCGCACGGATGACAGTTGAACACATGGCTATAAAAAAAAGTTAACTCTTACCATAACCAGTAGGCATATTTAATCGGATGTGTCTCCATGAAGACAACTTCCAAGCATTGCAACTGGATATGTTTCAAGTACTTAAAAGTAGTGCCACTTGACTGATATCGACTGAAAGGACAACTTTGCACAGAATTAGAGGTACTTTTGGAGTTGTACTTTTTTTTTAATCCACACTTTTTTGATGGCTTTCCAATTCGATGCCTTAAACAAAAATCCAATTTTGAAATTATCTCTTTTTACAGTAAATTCAGTCAGATTGACTGCTTTTATGTTGGACAGTTCGTAGGTAATTTATGTTTTGTGAAACAAGTCTTGGTTCAAATATTGATATGTATTTATTTGTTCCCATTTGAATTTTCAGGGTTTAGTTTTTGTTCAAAAAATGTTCTGCTAAATCTAAGGTCATGTTTCGTCTGTATTGATCTTCATTGTTTGTGTGCTTAGCACAGCACTTTAAAAGTTAAAGGGACACATCTTTCCGAAATGGCCATTTTAAAAAATATTTTGCGATTGTTTACTTATCCTATTTCAAAGTTGTGGTCGGAAGGAAACTAAAAAAAATGTTGCACTGTTCCTGAGAAAGAAAAAAAACTCGGTTGCGTACTTCCGACGCGGAGGATATTTTGTGGCATAGGCGTACTTAATTTTCAGCCGTTAATGTGAGTAGCCTTCCTGGACATAGGTTCTTTCCAGCTGTCGGACGATTCAATGTACGGTGCACGTCATGTGTGTACATTAAAGTACACGCTGTTTCCCGCACGTCTGCAGTTTGCGATGCATTGGTGGAGTGTGTGCGACAGGATTCACGACAAGCACCCAACAGCTCGATTATTGAGAGTCAAAATTTTGACCCCTGCAATTCGTTCTCGCTAGAATAACACAAAAACAGCAAATTTTCAAAGGATGGTTGTGTGGACGTTTATATTCTACTTTTAAATGCTCTTTCCAATTTATATCATTTCATTCAAAATGTGTTTGTAGCCAAATTGGGCACTTTTGCAGGATGTAGTATCCCTTTAAGCCTGTATGTGGTGTTCATTTAAAGATACAGTCCATCATTTGTAATTTGTGCATTTTGTTCGTTTGAAACAACAAAAGTGTGCAAAATCTAATGAAGGATACTGAACAACTAACCTGATGAAGTTTCAGCTCAGCTTCAGCTCAGCTTCAGCTGTATATTCCGAGAAAAACAGCATTCTAGGATCTCAATTTCAAATCAAAAGTTGCTGAAACATGTTTTGAATTGTTTTGAATTGCAGCTATACGCAATGTCGCGCACTGATCCGACGAATTATAGCAACCGCGCGTGCGTGTGCGTCGTGCCAATGCTTGCGCCCGCTGCGCCGAATAACAAAACGAACTACTAATTTAAATTTTCCTACGGTGCGTCTTAAGACGCACCGTTGGAAAGGCCTTCTTTCGTTGATTACTTCAAAATGACAGCTTGCCAGAAAGAATAATTTCACAGGGAGCTTAGTCCACTTACTATCTTTCAACCAAGTATGTTTTTCAACAATAATACGCCAGTTACTTTTTCGGATGGCTGCAAATGATGGACTATAGCTTTAATGATACATGTATCATGAAGTACAGTGGAAAAATATGCACAGTGAATAAAAGTCATTCTCTGTCCACTTTTCTTGCCAAATTGTTAATTTTATTGGCTATTCCAGCTATAAACTTAACTAAATTGGTGTATGCTCATATCAAGAGTTTGCATGTAACCTGAAGTTATGTGAACCTTAGTGTACATATTTTATGTTACATTTGTAACGGTTGTGCCTAAACCTGATTCCATCCTAGTAAAGACTTCAACAAAACCCGAGCCGAATTTCTACTCGCAAAATGGAATAAAACTTTGCATGGAAAGAAATTCGTTTACTGCTGTTGTAGTTTGTTATCAGTTATCAGTTCTTGTTTTGAGGGTAAAGGGGTGGGATTCACATATAAACACACAGATGAAATATGGGAATTGAAAATAACAGGCACAAACTCTACGCAGATATAGAGTTGAACAATTGCACATCTCCAAGACGGGCCGTTCTCATACTTGCCCACCTTTAAAATTTGGTTTCAAGAACAAATAATTGTATCATTTTTGTTAATATACCATGTCATGGCAATAAACAAAATAACGAATCAATATCTGGGACTATTAAGCCAAACTCCTCTACCCACTACCCCCGCCCCCCAAAACCCATTGAACTAGATTTTTAAGCACACTTTAGAAAAAAGTTCCAGTGGTCAAGAGAGGGCGCCCTTTGCAGGCCAAGGGGCCGGTGTAGCGTGAATTTACGTTTCTATGAAATTTGGACTCATTGTTAATACCGCGCATGCGTAAGTTGGTAATTAGGAAAGTGACCGGTCACGTGAGAGGGATTAACCAATAATAGGGAAAAGGGGTCCGATTTTCATAGGAGACGGATTTTCATGTGACACCGGGGCCGGGGACAAACATTTTTTTTTAACGGTATGTCGGCATGCTAAGAAACAGAGTTCTTGGGCCATTGTAGGTACAGTCGAAGAGGAACTGAGAAATCAATGAAAATGATAGAAAACAGAGTGTTTTTACTGTTGTTTTATTCCCAACTCATTTTAAAAATAAAATCGGGATGCAAGAATCTGTGATCCTGGTGTGAGGACTAAATGTAGCTTCCAATCCGGCACAATTTTACAATAAGCCCCCCAAAAAGTATTCACAACGCCACCGGTGTGTGAAATTCTCGTTGCTTACTCTAAGCGCCCTCTATCGACATCAGCTATCCAGTGGCAGTCAAAAAACAGTTCCGGAGATTTTTAATCTAGATTTATTGAATTGTTATTCAAGTAATTTGATTTTGTTTTGGCAGCTTAACCATAAGTGTGATAATACCCACTTAATTTAATCCAAATGAATGAAATTTCCCACCCTCAAAATAATGAAACTTCGAGCTCAAAACCAAAACATCGTAAATTCGTAGCCAAATGATGTTTGTTTTTTGAGCCACTTCACTGGTACTCGGTATTTGGCGGCTGAACGCAGAGATCACGAAGTGACACCAGCCAATTTTGTGCGTGCCATTTTTGTGCACGGAGATTCAGCACTCGGTCAGTGTGCATTTTCTGCACAGTGTCACCGACATTGCTCGGTTCTTGACATTTTTGATCTCTGGATTAGGGTGAAAATTACCGCTTAGAGATGGCGTGACGTACTGGTGACAAGATGGATACGTCCCTTTTTCTTCTGGTCTTTCTCTTGGCCAGCCCTGTCCCTTCTTTGACCGATCCATCTGGAAAACTGGGTGAGTTTTGGGCTTTCTAATTTTTGTGTTGTGACAGCCGGCCATCATTTTTCGTCTGCTGCTGATGATGTCATCATGGATGTCATTGTTTATTACATCAATGACATTGTATTTGTTGTAATTGTGATGCGTAATAGTTGATAATAGATTTAATGTCACCGTTATGAAATTGTCAGTAAATTCCAGAGTCATGTAATTAATTTAATTTTATGTTACTCCACCTTTTAAAATAATTAAGGGGATTACTAACTCCAGCTAGGCCGGGGATTACTTGGAACATTGGAGGGATTCCCGTATCTGGCCATCACTTGTCATCCTGTGCACAAACAGTATGAGACTGGTCTGAGAATGTTTTCAAAGTAATTTCTCAGTAACTACCTCAATATTTGCCCTGCTATGGCATGGATTCAAGAGCCATGAATCAGAAAAAAAAATTAATCTTCTTCAATAAAAAGTAGGATATAGCATGATTTCACGAAAAACAATAAAACAATTAAAAATTAGAAAATGTATTTATGATTTTGGGGCACAAAAAAAAAAAAAAAAAATTACACCGATATTCAAACCTGTGCATTCGGCATTCTAACAGTTCCGGATCATCGCCATTTCCGGATCACTTGATTAAATAAATATTAATTCAACTGTAACCAAACTTTTTTTTTGCGAGATTTTGTTTTCACCAATTTTGCAATTGTTGGGGTAAAGAAATTTTTGAAATTGCTAAAAACACTACCCACGATCCAGTTTGGCAAAATATCTGCTTGTTTTGTAACTGGCCTGTGAAGGAAGCGTGAAAAGGCCAAAATCTGGTTTCCTGTGGAAGGAAGTCAACATTGATCGTCTTTTTCTTCACTTTATTTTAGGTTTTCTTGTAACTTTTTGTAAGGATAATCTAAAGTAGACCCTATCACTGAGTACATTGTAATAATGATTTTGGCATTTGAATTTAAAACTGAATTGCCATATTTGGGGAAAGGTTTTTATCACTCTGTTTCACACGATGCAGACGCACTGACTCCATTTTAACTACACGTACCTACTTTTTATTGAAAAAAATAGATTTCAGTTTCTTCTTCCTAATCAGTGGCTTTGGAGGATTTCGTTTAAAATTGGACTTAAGTCCAAGAACCGTTCGGGTGATAGTCTGGTTCCAAGAGACGTTGAATACTATAAGGTCAAGGAACCAGATGGTTGATTGCCGTAACAATAGCCACTGCGTTTATTATTAAAACGTAAGAGCTCCCGTCATGGAAGAATGTCAAATAAGAAGAACACTAATCTTCAAATGTTTTTGTCTTGCCTAAGGGTTTATTTGAGCGTATGTATTCCTACAGTTTCAGATATAGCCATAATTATTTTGGTCTTATCCTAATGTTTCTTTTGTTTACCACTTCGGCTGTACTAATCATCCCCACATTTTTACCCAAAATTTGCAATCTAGCATTAAATGACAAATTATTTTGTCAGTACATTCATAAAAAAACCCATGATGATCATGTAATTTAATTGCATTCTGCCCATGGCCATTGCAGTGTGAAACCAATTCTCTGTGCAGATCACTGACGTCATTACAATCACTGGTCATTTGCATTATTGAATTGTGGTCAGATGAACGCCCAAGTGCGTGCACCAGTGTGTGTCGTAGTTCCTGCGCGGCGTGAAATTTTGGTCTTCATAAGAAACACGAACTGCCTGACCATATTGTGAATAGATTCTCAGTGCGTGAAGACAATGAGAAGGCATAGGTAATGGTACATGTCATGGTGAGAGATGTGGTAAGAAATGGGATTAGGGTCGGATGGGATGGAACAGTAAGGTTTGGGTGGGGATTAACTCTAACCTCCGCAACTCCATCAAAATCCACCCCCCCCCCCCCCAATTTTTGGTGGATTTTGGGTACTTGGTCCTGCAGGCCTGGTTTCACTAAATATTGATGGAGTATGATGGACTTCAGGGCCCGGAGGCCTTTTAGCAAAGCATGCATTGGAAGTAGTGTGATTGATGGATTTTGGTGGACTTGGTCCAGTACTTAGTAAAAGGCAGTAGGGAGTCAGGATAAAAAGTCTAAATTCAAATTTTATAGAAAATTCATTTACAAAGTTCTAAATTCAAAGATTTGATATTGAATTATCACAACATCTGGAATGGTGCTATCTTTAATAGAGAAAATATCACAGTGTAAAAACTGTTAATTTTAATCAGTTTTTCATTAATTTTTACGGGACAATAAATTGTACAATGTGTACGGCCAGTACAGGTACATTTTCTTCCTGAATCTGAATTTAAAATAAAAAATTTAATCTTAATTTTTAAATAGAAAATCATTCCACAATTCAAGTTTCTAAAGCGAATTGTTAGTGTGAGTAATTCCCCTGTAATTAATTATTAGAACAATTTTGATTGAAGGAGAAAGGGATACATAATTTGTCTTAAAAATAATTTGATAAATTGTAAAAAAAAATGTTTGTAGCACCCAGTACCAACACTTGTGAGTAAGTCCAAGGTTTGCGTATAAGACACTCTGACACGTACATGTACATGTAGCTGCCAAAAACTGTAACCACAATTTGTGTCGTTAAAAGACAAATTGCCTTTTAGTTGTAAAAAGATGCAAATGACTCATCAAAATACGGGTAGATAGAGTGCCTGTTTGTGCAAATGACCGCACATGAAGTTGATTGATCGTCGGACAACTCAAAACCTTTTGTTTTTTTTACAATTATATACATGTGTACGTGTACATGTCGACAAGGCATTATGCCGTAACGAGAATCTTGTATAGGCAACACTGCGTAAATTGCTTTCCCCGCAGAGCCCCATTAGCAGCGCGAGGGTGAAAATCACGTCATGCTATACAGTGTTCACTGCTCTCTCGGATACTGCAGTTGCCATGGTTACGCGGTTTGATTTACATTGTATTTACTGTGCCGTGCGTAGAACAATTTCGTCTTGGATAAGATTTAACCTGAGGGTCACCGCCGTTTCCTGTTCATTAAAATATAAGCCTGTCAGGGTTTCCATTTTGATGCTAATAATATACATGTACCAAGGTATTGCATCATTTAATTTAATATATTCATTATGTTCACAATTTTTGATTTTTTATTAAATTGGGTAAAAAAACATTGTTGTTTTATAATTGTGACAAATTTGTATTGTCAAGAATGGAAACGCATAACGGAACTGCTGGCTCGAATTTATGGAGTTGTTTTCTTCAACATGAATACTTCAAAAAAGAGACCGAAATGATTCTCCAACCATTGCTGATTCCACTCTTACCCAAAAGATATTTGCTCAGAAAACCCACCTCAATTTGACTCAATATTTTTTTCAAAATGTACCTCATTTTCTTTTTACCTGGCATGCCTGGAGATGTTTACTCCAATTTTTTGTGGGCAGTTATTAAATTTAAAGCGAGCAAGCCCCATCACAATGGTATCGTCACGGAGGGATGAAACCTACATGTAAAGTTACGTGTTCACTGACCAACAACAAGGCTATTGCTCATTGTGAATGCTATCCATTGGAGGCCTCTGCCCTCTTCAATGCTTCCAGCAAATTGCAGTGTCGGATGAATTTGCCAATCTCTTGTACCGTGTACGCACCATTGTACTTGATGGTTTCAATCCTATTTTCCCATTTACCTTGGATCAGGATCTGCAGAAAGTCCCTGGGTATTCTTATTACGAAAACCATTTGTGGTGAATAAAAAAAAAGATCACTGCACTGGAAGCCAATGGAATTTGTTTATTCTTACGTAAAATTGTTTAGGCAACATCAATCCCAACTTAACACTACTGCTATCTGAACAGTCACAGACAGTCAAAAATCAATCCTCTCCAATCCCCTGCCATGCCTTTTACACTGGCTAGTCACCAACAGTCAGATCATATTTCAAACAAGCACTGTGACTAGTCAACTTAAGTCAACAGACAAAAACAGAAAACAGCTGTCTTATCAATCACCTACTGTAGGGTCAAAGCATAGCCTGTCAATTGATCCTGCTTCATGTAGGCTGAGAGCTCTTACATTGTACAATGTAACTGTTGAAAACAGTCATTTGATTGATTTTCACTGAAAGGACAACTTGGCACAGAATGTAGGCCTATAGAACCAATAAAGTGTTGTTTTTTTCCCTTGATCATGTTGATCCTGCATAGGCCTAATCTTCCAAATCTCCCTGCAGTGGATTTTTGAAGGAAATTTGGACCTTAACCTGGTGTACATAAATGTACCTTAACTACGGTACCATACATGTACATAATTGTGTAGGTGTACCTTGACCTGGGGTTTCTTGATTGAAACGCTCCTAATTGTACATCTTCAAGAACCTCACACAATCTCCACATCCATCCTATCAGGTTTGCTATCAGAGAGGAGCAATTGTGGCAAAGTGCCCTGCTGAAGGACACAGGTACGGTGTCACACGAAAATCCGACTCCTATTACAATCGGACCCCTATTTCCCTATTATTGGTTGATACCTCGCACGTGACAGGTCACTCTCCCGAAACGATCCTAAATATAGCATAGTACCGTACTCACGCGTGCGCAGTACTACCAATGAGTCCACATTTCATGGAGTCGGATATTCACGCTACAACGGTACTACAATTTTAAGATCAGGGGTCAAATCCCCGTTTAGGTGTTTCGCAGTAAGGCTGCTCTAATTGAATCGATTGCAGCAAAGTGTCTTGCCCAAGGACTATAGTGCTTCATGATTGCCAGGTTAGGGGTTAAAGGAATTTCACAATTTGCCTTCATATGTACCGACCGGTACCATGCATACAGATCACAAAACTTTGTACATCCCGTCAGCTGTCTTCTTGCTCGTTACTCATCCTTTTGTGGGTTTTAATTGTTCCGTTGATATTTAAGCTCAGATCTTAAGCCTGATTAAACACGCAGAATTAATCGCGGCACTGTATTAGCATAAATTTGCATAATCAACATCGCGTTGCATCCACCTGTACAGTCTTTGCCTCATCTTCTGCACTTGAC